AACACGAGTTTTCTTGCAGTCCATGAAGTGACGATGGGCGTCCCCCAGGCCTATTCTTCTACGCAGAGGGCGTGAGAGACTAAAGCGGGATGGCACCGTTACTCATTCTGTTCTCGCGTTTAACATTTGTTTAAAGTCTGTTGTAACATTTACTGTGTCGTGCGCCGCATCCACCCCTTTGCATGCCCCCCACCCACCCCCCACTTTGAAAGACCTCACATTGCAGGGTCTTTTCTCTGTCTTCCAGCCGCTGCTCATGTGTTTCTTGTGATTTTGGCTCCCGTATATATACACCCACCCACATAAAGTGTGATGTTTGAGAAACGTGGCCTAGTTTTATATATATTTAAAGGGACATCGGAGTAAGGTTAACCTATGAGCTCCACAGTTGCCAAAACTTTTACCACATCATTTATACGCTGTCGACTTTTAAACACTTTTTGTCACAAGGCTATTTTCAAAGATAATTATCGTATGGCTTTATAAAAATGTCAAATTTGGATGGAATTTTTCGCTTCAAAAATTTGCAGCCAAAAACTTTGAAATGAGTAGGTTTGGAAAATATTAAACTCGAAACGACTGGGCTTGTCCCGTGACCTCCCGTCAGCGAGCCTTCAGTGACACCCCACGTGACCGCCACGAAGGGGAACCAGCCTGGCACAAACGCTGTCGTCTTGTCGCTGTCACCTCGTGGCGAATGGTGACCTTTTGTAAAGAAAACAAAGTAACACATTTCGCTGTCTGTTGGTCTTTGTTGCTGTGAAATCGTACAACTGACAAATAATGTATTCAATTACAAACTGGTGGTGCAGTGATAATTGGTGTTTTACCCTTTTATCTGGCAACAAAACTGACACCTTTTTTTACAAGGAGTCATGTTTGCATAGACCACAATACCTGCAGTCATAATGCAAAAAAAACATAACTCTGATAATGTATGCACTGTCCTTGAAGTTGATTGGTCCACACCCGAGACAGCTTTCCTTAGAGCCTAGTCTCACATGGTGTTGGACCAGATGACGCCAAAAGGCGCACAACTCAAAGACAATGCACCATCAGAGTATGAGAGCTCGGGATAAGCATTTACACCATTGGAACCTCATTTGCCAGTAAAAAATTGATAATTGTTTTTTTACCCTTTTATCTGGCAACAAAACTGACACCTTTGGTGGTGCAGTGGTTAGCGCACTGCACTGTGCTTCTGTAGCGTTTGTGGCCATGGATAATATCAGTGGCGACTGATTTCGGAACCACTTCTGTCCAAACCTCCCCCCAGCCTTCACCAACCCGCACTGACCATTGTGGTGAAGTATCACCATAGCGTGCAGAGGCATTCATCCTGTATTTGTTTTGTTTGGTTTTGTAACTTTCTTACAAAACCATACGTCATAGGATTGTTACTCAAGCATTGCCTTGCGTGACATTGTAATTTATTTTACCTTTGGGGTTAAAATGTAAACCTGTAAAGAATATCAAATACTTCAAATGCTTATTCAAGCGGGACCATGTTATTCGATTTCAGGCCTTGTCAGTGATATTTTACTGTCTGAATGAGTGAGAGCTGTATTGGAGAATATTCATCTTGGGCTAGCTTAACCGTTAATATCATTCCTCGGCTGCCCGAGTTGTAGTGTCTTGCACGGCTTGTGTGTGGCAGGTGCTCGTGAAGGCTCAGAGACAGGATCACAAATGTAATGAAATGCAACCGCGTTCCATATTAAATTGATATTTCATTTGCATAACTCACCGGCATTGCATCCACGTTCGTTGCTCGTTGTGCCACTACATTTTAATTTTAGCAACGGAACGTGCTGCCGGAAATCTCGTGTTGTTTTACAAGCGGCCGCCTCCCTCCCAGTCTTTGTGCCACGGCCTCTCTTAAAAAAAAGTGGTTGCCTGATCACGGTCTTCCGTCTAGCTCTGTCCGTGAGATTACTCGAGCATTCTGCTATCGATAGTCCTCCCAATTGCAGCCCACTTGTTCAAATTACTAATGCACTTAATTCGCTGTATTCACCCCGGCTTCACGTACCTAGAATTGTCCCAGTCAAAACACATTCATATTCAGTCTCTTAATTTCTCATTAACGTGTCCAAGAAATCAAACTTCCTTTTCTCTAATTAAAACTCAGTAATTTTCTTGTCGTGTACCTGCTATCCGTTTACAATTTTTGACATCCTTCTTGAATACAATAATTTCTGTCGCTTCCAGTTTGCTTTGCAGGGCATTTGTAATTGTCCAGCTTTCACATTCATACAGGACACCATTTGCAATTTTAATTTGGCTCATGCATAAAGCAAGCAATTAAATTATATGTCTGGCTATTTAATTAAAATACTTCCTCGATATAACTTTGCATTCTTACACACAATAATAATAATACTACACAGCAGGACAATATTCATTTAGAGTCTCCTTATAAATCCCACTACTGGATGAAAACCTTCCAATGGCAAGTCGGTCATGGGTTTTATTTGACCATACTTCACCACACAAGGTGGGATTAGGGACCCGGAATTGGATCAGGCATTATCTTAGCAGTGTCCGTAGCCGAGTTCATATCGCGGTGTGCTGACTGCTATGCCGGGCGGTCGTAGCTATCCACGTGTCCTGCAATCCAGCACTGTGGAGGGGGTTTGGTGGACTGCACAACTGTTGCACAACTGCCCTCCCGTGGGCGTCGAGGGGGGTGCCATACCCTGGCTCGCCAGGAGAAGGCGGTACAGCGAGTGGACTAATCGCCATCTGTATGGGGATAGAGCGTTGCTCCCCCCCCCCCCCTCGCCCCTCATCGCGAGCTTGGATTTTCTTGTCCGGTTTCCTCCACGAATGCTTCAAATCATGATTCCTCCCACTTGTATGAACACATCGTAAAATAAAAACCCAATCGAGTGGGATCCTTCTGAAAAAGTAATTTAACTCGTGGATAAATACATTATATATACACGTAAAAATACATTGTTATTAATTATATTATGTCACCAGTCAATCAATCGAAAATTGCACAAATACAATTCAGGTTGATGTTGCATCTAAATACAACTGCATCTCAATATTGGAAATGTATTACAGTCTTAACAGCCAATGAAATATCTTGTCTTATTCCATCCAATATAATCTCCATGAATGCTCATGAGCCCAGGATTTGGTGTGTGTGTGTGTATATATGTAGCAACAACAAAAAAATCCCTTCGAAGATGCGAGCAGGTGAGATTTGAGATTAAAATCATCGGCGCAAGCCTTTGCGGTTGACTGACGGTCTTCCTGCGCTGTCGTTTTTGTGCAAAATTGCGATGGGAATTCTGGGTCAGGTGGCGTGGCGCACGCAAATATTTGTAGGCACCCGTTTCCAAATATATATATATATATAATAAATGCTGCGCTCTTCGTATTCGGTTCTGCCAACAAAATGCACATGCCAAATGATTACTAATCTACAACTCGCATCGTAACAATAGCCTGATTACTAATCTAGTATATTTACAATAACCCCCCCTCAAATCTTTGCACCTGACGAATTAATGAGTTAATGATGACGTTACCCTGCTGCTGCTCTATATAAGAACGGGAGACACATCAGAGCCTAACCATTCTGGCGAATTGCCCGATGATGCTGGATGCAATTATCAGCGAAACGTCGTACTCAAATTGTAAATTGTTGTGGTTTCACGCTTCAACACACCGGTGGGCTAAAGCAGTGAACTAATTTGTCTTTTGTCAACGTGACACTTTTTTACCGATTGGCCGTGTCGGGTGGTGGAGGGTTACGACACATAAATAACGCGATCTAAACCCAAAAACGTTGATTATGAACAAAATGCTGCTGTTGACTTCGATGGGAGCCGCCGTTGTGGAATTTTTACGAAACTGACTGAAAATACTACGGCACGTCACAGAGCTTTTATCTGCATTGCATTTTGGGTTTCACCTTCACGTTAAATTGGAAGTGTCTAGACGTGTTTAGTTACAGCTGCGGTTGTCTTGTGTTGTTACCCTGTGTGTAAACATCATCGCGCCGTACCGTGCGTGGCCAGGAGACCTTGGTTTCATCTGTCCAGGTGCTCATCACTGGCTTGCGCCCAAAGCCCACAAGACAATTTTTGCATGAAGTTTTGTTAAAAAAAAATGTTTTACGGACATCTAAGCCCCTCTAAGGAAATGGTATGTTATTGAAATATTTTATGAAAAAGACATTTCACTCAAAATGTACGCATGTTGAACTGATTTCGCAACCGTACTTAGCAAACCGCGGTAATCAAGCTGGGATGCTGTGACCCCTGGTGTAACGGCGAGGACGCTGGACTTGCAATCCACTTTGATCGACTTCAGCGGCGGTTGGCACAACGGTGCAGGTTTAAAAAAATCCCACTCCCTCTGTCCATCCAGCGGTGTGAATGGGCACACCACAGCGAGTTGATCTGCAGGTCACGTGTCCATCCAGCGGTGTGAATGGGCACACCACAGCGAGTTGATCTGCAGGTCACGTGTCCATCCAGCGGTGTGAATGGGCACACCATAGCGAGTTGATCTGCAGGTCACGTGTCCATCCAGCGGTGTGAATGGGCACACCACAGCGAGTTGATCTGCAGGTCACGTGTCCATCCAGCGGTGTGAATGGGCACACCACAGCGAGTTGATCTGCAGGTCACGTGTCCATCCAGCGGTGTGAATGGGTACACAGCAGCGAGTTGATCTGCAGGTCACGTGTCCATCCAGCGGTGTGAATGGGGACACCACAGCGAGTTGATCTGCAGGTCACGTGTCCATCCAGCGGTGTGAATGGGCACACCACAGCGAGTTGATCTGCAGGTCACGTGTGGAATCGTAGTGGCAAAATACCCTCTCGAGAGGCTCTCCAGAGCTCGCGGGAGTGAAGGCGCGTCTGGCAACAGCGGCATGTGTAAGAAATTGCAGGGCAGCACCTTTGACCGTTTTTAGCACCAGTTTTATCAACACGTTTGCAATTACGTGATGCTCTCAAACGTGTTTCCTTTTTCCAGATAATGAATGGCAAGCGAAAATGTCTCGTGGGGTTTCGTCGGACAGAAGCACAAGCTGCAGCAACCAGCATCAGAAGGTACGTCGTTAATGCTCGCTCACAACCAACCGCAAATCACGCCATGCACAGAAAATTAATGAGCCTAAAAATAGCAACCCTTTTAACGAGTTTCCTCTTCCCGGAAATAATTTGGAAGCCGTGCCCGCACAGTAAAACTATTGTCGGCAGGCATTAGCAAAGAATAGATTACGACGCTGACCCTTTGCTTGTCTGGGCTGTGAATGTTCAGAGCGCATTCCAAGTCTTGACTGTTTCAGAATTCATTCAGTGACATCATTATAGTGGCAAAATGGTCCATACATGCTGTGCTTTCAATGGGGTTTGTATAGTTTTGCTTAACACCTTTTCAAGATTGCACCTGGCCCTTGCAATATCAACAAAGTGCCTGACATTTCCTTCGGGAGTACCCACAAATGTATAATATATTTTTGTTTTTTTCGCAAATGTCGTCTTTGGGGTTTTTGTTGTTGCTACAATTCTATTGCGAGCAGTTTGATGTTCTAATTTAAAGGAAATAGCAATGAGTTGCGAAGATCAAATTTTCCATGCCGAAATTATTAATTTAAAACTTGGTCAAACATTAAGTCGTTATTGAAGCTAATTGACACTGCAGGAATTCAATGTTTAAAATTCACATTATATTTCAAATTGATAAAAACGAAATGAGGAATTATGTTTTGCCAACACAACACGAGCCGTTTTACATTCTCAGCTTTCAAAATATAATATTTTCCATATTTTATTTTGTGTTCCAGAGATGTAGCATAATTTTGTTTTATCAACAATGAAACAGAAAAAAAAGTACGAACAATTTTGGCCAAAAATCTAATCTTTATTTTTTCATTTTATTTCTTTCATATTGAAGATGCATCCGTTATAAAAGTTAATATCTAAACAAATGCACATATTTTCGTGACTAAAACAAGCGGAGTCTCGTTTTTCATTTCAACAAAATATAAATAAATATTTACGTACCAACTGCTCAACGTTAAAGAGTACTACAGTACTTAATATCGCATATAGACATCAAAATTTGCACCTGCAAGTTGTCACATTCTCCTTTATTGTAATTATATTAAAACATGTAAACACGTGACTTGCTACCAAAGTTTATCATATACCCATCATGCAACAGTAAACTGAGAAACGGCTCTACATTATTATTAGCAATACAATGTTCCCTACCCATTTTTTTAAAGTCATTTGCAAGATGGAAATATATCACAGGGTTGCGAAAGATGGTGGCAGCTTTAGGATGCCTTCATCCAATGATTGCAGAAGACACTCTTTAAAGTTGTACTTAATTTGGTTTTCCCGCGCCTCCGATTATCACGCTGTCGCAACTGTTTAACAAGGCTCTAGAGTCAAACTCGCGACGAAATTTCAATACTGCAACACAAACTCTCAACGCTTTTGTCTATAACACTGTGGCTTTAAATAGAAGACATATACGCGACCTTCCGGGCAATGGCCATTCTTCACAGCACACCTCCCTGGCCTGTGCTGTGAAGGGCCAATGCCTGAAACGTCACATATTCTACACTTTTAATTTTGTAAGGCCACAGCGTTTGACGAATGTGATTTTTGTTGTGCTTGTGCACCACTGCCAACGCAGTGTCACCAATGTTCAATATTGGAATAATTCCTATATTGCAATTCCACTCAGGGCTGTAAACATTCTACACCGTGCACTGCATTGTCTGTATGCATACCTCCCAAATGTTTCTACACCGTGCACTGCATTGTCTGTATGCATACCTCCCAAATGTTTCTCTCATCCGACCTTACCATACCAAGACTGTGTGTGTGTGCAAAGACTACGTCTCAACAAATATATTTCACGTAAGTTTTTACAGCGTATAATTTTTAAATTCCTTTCGTATTGGAATGGCTACAATTGCTGAACTATTTCGTTATGCTGCTGCGGCCCGAAAGGCATATGAAAAAATACACGGATTGCATGAAAGCTGTTTGATGCTATTTATCGCTCGCCGTTTCCTTACAGCCATCGTTCAATATAAGGACGCTCGTCCACTCTCTGTAATTTAACATGGCAGATTAATGATTACCCTTACACTGGGAGGGAGTACGTGTACATTTCAAGGCAGAAGAACTATTGATCTATAAGAGGCGCTGCACTGTAAATCTGAATCAACAAAGGCACACAGAGAGAGGAAAAAAAAATCAGGCAGCAAGGTCACGCCGTACAATTACACACAGTCAGGTGCTCTGCAAACAGAGAGGATTTATAATGCTGTATAATGCATGGGCTTTCGTTCGTATTATTTAGCATTATGGGATGGAGGGCGAGGTGGGAGTGGGTCTGTGGAGACCTTTAGCCGTCCCTATAGAGGTGACCCTTTGTGACCCTAGGGTCCATGGAGATGTATGCTGCTGCTGCTGCTTTCCCCAGCTACCCCCAGCACTTCATCCATAACCTTCAAGCAAAATAAATTATTTCGCATATGTTGACATTTTGTTGTCTGGTAAAGAGCTCTGTAACAAAACGGCAGAAACAGGGCCAGTATTGAACTCGGGGAGGGGGGTGTAATTGTTCTTTTGCACAAACACAGGGCGCTAAGGAATGAATGAATAATGGTGATATGAGTGGCAGTGAAGTCTTTGCGCGAGTACAACCGGGTTGTGCGTGTTTCCAATATCGTCCCAGTCTGCCCTACTTTACTGTGCCTCATCTTTTTTTATTTGTGAACCATTCGCTCATGTTGGAGAATTATTCTTTAGCATTTAATACCAGAGAGTGATGTGAATGGAGCTGCAATGAAAGTGAGAATGTAAGGCAGAGCGACTGTCGAAGTGGCAATAACGCGGCCGATGCTCTGTGCTGTTATTTCTGTCCAGTCGTGCTTGAGCTGGACCCTTCTCTTGATGCCTCCTCGCACCGAGTTCCGCTGATGTCCTGGAAGATGACCATCATGGGATGGGGGGGGGGGGCATAATGAGCTTCTTCCCTTGAAGTTGCGACGTGGAGAACACAAGCCGCTTGGATGCCTGGCTTTAATCAGGCCAACTTTAAAATAAAATACGCATCTAGTGAAGTTCAAATGGCCTAAATCAATTTTGGAAACATATTACATTTCCTGTGCCATGATTAAAAAATGTTTTTTTATGCTTGTGATTTTCGTTTACCTTACGTGCAGTTTGTATTGTATTTGAATAATCCTAACGATACTGCTGAATACAAGCCAATGTTTGTTTTGATGTTTCATGTCAAAGGTACATTTTAGCTACATATTTTGAAAGTAATCACTGTTCAATATTGTTATCTTTTAACATGATTTCAATAAAAAACTGATTTTGAAATATATATTTGTTGGCCTGTGTTGGATTTGAACCGTGGACCTCTTGCACTTGTGAGATTAAAAAAAACATGGCTGGCTTCCAGATTTACCTCTGCGCCACATAGGCAGGGATGCACCAGCATGTTCCATGAACTTGTATTTAAAGATGTGTGAACAAGAGACATCTGAAAATAAAAAAAATAAAAAAACAGGGCTGCGCCCCACCAACAGAATCCCCGCGGCCGTGGCAGCCATTTTACCTCCCAACTCTGCGGTTGTTTGGTAAAATGGCCACCAAGCAACGAAGTTCTGCCACTGCCAACCTCGGCAGACAAATGTGTGCTATTATAAACTATACTCATGGCTTGCTTGGGGTAGCAGACCCCTGTGCTGTCTCTTGCCATAATTCTCCACAACCTGCAAAGGACAGAAAGGTAGCAATATCAATGATTAATTATTACACAAGCAGAATTCTGTTATGACTCCATACAGATATACAAATATGTTTTAGTCCTTCAGCCTAATTTACTTTTCAGACTAATATCATCAAGCTGCACTTGTTTAAGCATCCTGGGTCTCCTTGCCAGAGTTAGATGTTATTGGCAATAGCACTCGATTGCAATTTAGAGGGCTCTGTTCAACACAAAGCTATATCAATTTGAGTAGTGCAATCATTAGGTCTTCTCAACAGTGCAGCACAATAAAAGTAGCAAGAAGAAAAACACAACACTGCTATTGCATCATGGGACATCCTTTGCCAGTACCAAAATATAAGAATAGGTTTTCCCCTTTTTTCTGGCGACAAAACAGGTGTTAAGATGTTAAAACACCAAACTGCAACCTTTTACAAGGAATCATGTCTGCATTAACCACAATACTTGTGGTCAGAATGCAAACAAAAAAATACTCTGATAATATATGCATTGTCTTAGTCCCAAACGGTGTTAGACCCCGAGCACTCATTACTCTGATAGTACATTGTCTTTGTGCTTTTCGCCTTTTGGCGTCCTCTGGTCTAACACCGTTTGGGACTAGGCTCAAAAGAAAGTTGTTTCTGGTGTGGACCAATCAGTTTAAAAGACAATACATATATTATAAGAGTATGTTTTTTTGTTTGCATTCTGACCACAAGCATTGTGGTTAATGCAGACCTTGTAAAAGGTTTCAGTTTGGTGTTTTAACATCTTAACACCTGTTTTGTTGCCAGAAAAACGGAGAAAACCTCTTCTCACTGCTATGCATATGGGGCATTGCCAAAAACGTTACCTATTTTCGATTTTCTTCTTCTACATGACAGTGATTGACACGTTTTTTTACCGTGCTTATGTACCACTGCCAACATAGTATCACTTTTTTTTGTTTGATTACGTAGCAGTGTTCATTTGCTTCACTTAGCGTACACGATTGCTATTTAATATACCTGAAACATCTAACAGCAGTGTTACCCTCGAAAACAATGGTATTTTAAGATCATCAGCAACCGCACAAGGGCATAGAGTAACATTTTGGTATATCCATAGTTTCCTTCAAATGAGTCACCTGACATCCCTTCACTCTATAGTTAACCTGCAGTTATACGTGAACAAGGAATGTCCTAAGGGTAAATTTTTAAAATCAAAAATTGGTTACGTCTAATCGGACGTTTAAGATTAATTAAAATTAATTGCTCTAGTGGCCTTGGATTCAATGTTATGAACTCTATAACGTAAGCTATCTTCTACTAAATTAAGTCTAGAAATAATTTTTTTTTAAATTACATGAAAAAAATTGCGGAGTAAAATTAAGTAAGCAATACTGTAGCTTACAATAATGCAAAAAACAGCTGTTATTTGTATGTATGTTCAACTTCTTTCGCACCATGCTTAGCCAGCCGTGCTAATCGGAGCTTACTTGGTTCATGAAGGTTCAACGTCTTCCAGCTGGCGAAAGCGCTGCTGTAGGGCAGTCCAACCAAGTAGTGGACTGCATTTTCTCCCTAAGCAACCATCATAGCACAGGAAAACAAGTTAGGAATAATCATGCGTTACTCGCGAATTATGTAACATTATTTGGTGAAAATTCGTTGGCAGTGTTGCACAAGCACAAATAATAAACGCAACACATTTGTCAATAACACTGCTTTAAAAACAAGTTTCTTTTTGAGTTTTCGTGGAATATCCAGTGCGTTCCAATATGGGGTTTTCTTTGATCAATTTGGCCTGGTTAAAATGGGGTACATCCTTCATGGCAACACAACTTTATATAACAGTTGAGATCATTGTGAACAGCGTTATTACCCCACCCCTTCCCCCGTTACGAATGAACAGGGCTCAGCATAAATTATGTTTTCTTTGGTTGTAAAACATGAACAAAACAGATCCATATGCACACCAAGGGCACATCACAACTTCAAAACAGTCACAAGTGATGTCAAATCTGATCGGAATTATGTTCAGTGGTCTTCTATTGCAGCTTTCTATGTGAGCGTAACTGCCACCACTGTCGACGTTCTTGGACTGTGGCTGTGCTTGTAAAAGAGCTGCATAGCTCAATGGGACATAGCAGCTGAAAACACATTCCTGCGGAGGGAGCTGGTAGGAACGTTGGGCTGCTCGGCGAATGGCCAGGGTCAACGGCAGCGTGGTGTATTCCGCAAATATGCCCGACTGTGAGGGCGGGCACAAGCCGGCGTGAGTAGGTTAAACGTTGAGTTTTATAAGGGTACCACGGGGTGACCAGCCCCTCCCCACCCAGCCCCATCCTCCCAACCAGCCCCTCCCCACCCTCCCCAACCAGCCCCTCCCCTCTCCACCCAGCCCCACCTCTCCCATTTTTGGATGCACGATGGACGGACACAATAATCCCCTGTGGGCTGGTGGAACCAGGAGGTTCCTACCAGTATACAGTCTGAATCTGGAGTTTCCTGGAAGCCAATGCAATTTTCAGAAAACAATCACAGTTGGCTACGCTGGCCTTTGGCTTTGTCCGTGAGGTCCTATTCGGCCCACGTGTTCTGCATTGTGACTTGAACAGCCACCCCCATTGCAGATGCACCCAAATCATTATAATGTGATTATTGCACGCAGCACGGATTTGAAGTGTTCAATGTGGCACGGCACCAGACAGCGGGGCTGCTACGGAAGCTTGCTTAGTGTCAACTCATAATGGTTAGCAGATGGCGGAGCATTCTTGTTCGTGATTAGTTAGACAGAATGAGGCGAAGAAATGTAATGTATTAAAATGTGCGTTGGACAGGAGTCAGAAAGAATAATGAGGGTGTTATGATGATTACATAATTTATTAGTACCTGTTTTTGAGGTTGTTTATTAGTTGGCATGGTCTATCCACTGTGGAATGATGACCTCCCTGTGCCATCATTATCCCTCAGTCTTACGACGCCACAACCCATTGCAATCCTGTAAATGAGCTCAGAATTCGCTCACTCTTTAAGTGAGAGAACGACTCAGAGGCACGAGGAACCACAGGCAAGCATTAAGGCAGCCAGGCAGTGAGCCGGCATCAAATTCATCCACAAGCTCTGCGGTCCTCTATATATTAAGGTGTTATTGGTCAAGTGACGTGTTTACATGTGGGAGGAAACCAAAGCGCCTGGAGAAAACCCACTTTTGCGAGGGGGCAACACCAACCTATGCAGCTGGAACAGGTGGAATAATCCACATTTAATGTACCGCATTATCCTGACAAGCCAGGGTTATGGCACCTCGACACCCATATAAAAAGAGTTTCACAACATTTTATCCATCCACCAACGCTCGCCTCTACAGCGCCGGATCACCAGCGTGCGCCTGCACCACCCGGTTACCACTTTGAAACGACCCACAAACGTCTGTATCCATTGCTGAAAGAATGTTAGCTGCACTAATCGGCAATCGTGGACTATTTTCCACGTGGCAACACTGTTTTAGTGTGATCACTCGCTTCTATCACTACGACAAAAGTGGGCCCTCATATTTTTCCGTTATTGAATAACGCTAACGATGGTGTTCATGCGTGGCACAGCCAAAGGTATTTGAGAATCCCATTCGGACTTCTGTAGGGAAATGGTTCGCAACCCTGCTCCAAAGGGAATCATGTGAGAGGTCAAGAGGCCGCGACGATTGAACGTCACAAATCCCAGCAAAAGCGGGGGGCCAACTCGGGACCATCGTGAAATTAAAAGTGACAGAATGATGGAAACGAAGAAAGCGTTTGAGGATTTAGTGTCAACAAGTACAGAAAACAAACACTTTCTAAAATAGGCTTAGCATCACAGTGTGCTTAGTTCTTGAAATGTTCTAATCGCTAATTAACTCGCGAACAAAAAATAGCAAGCAAATACAAAATAAACTCGACGTAAAAACGATAATAATAAGTCGTGCAATTGCAACGCGCACAATATTTCACAGACATAAATGACCATGACTGCCAAAAAGAGGCAAAACATTTCCCACGACTATTTTAATGTCATGAGGTGTTTTTTTCCACTTCCAGCATTTCTCAAAAACGAATGCTGACGTACTGCCAACCAGTGCAGCTTTCTCGCCGACCATAAAAAAAGCCAATGCATGTCACCTAAATAACATCAGAGAAGAGATGACTGTGCGATGTACTTAATCAACAAGCACAATGCTGGACGGCAGTGGAAACAATTAGTAAATAACACGTAGGCTTTCGCGACCAATATTATTCATAATAAACGTTTTTGGGTTAGATCGCGTTATTTATAAATGTGTCGTAACCCTCCACCACCCGACACGGCCAATCAGCAAAAAAAGTGTCACGTTGACAAAAGACAAATAGTTCACTACTTTAGCCCACCTGTGTGTTGAAGAGTGAATCCACAACATTAACAATGTTTGAGTACTCAAAAACCCCAAAACTTTATTATGAATAATTAGTAAATACTCGCCTGTTCCCGTTACCGTTCAACACACCGATCCAACTGCGTAGGTTTTCACGGTTGTGCTGTATACCTCTCTGATGTGCATACCTGTCAACCCCTTAGCAATGCCTACCTTATTACAGATAAATTCAGACCTTATTGGTCACCCTGTGCCCTTATAAATCTCAATGTTCATCCTACAAAGTCCCATCACAAGGGAGAAACACAAAACAATAGGCAAATATAATTTTTTGTTGTTGCCCATATTAAAACGGCTGTATGTCGTATGGACCTTAAAACTCAATTTCCCTCTACAAGAATACAGGGTAAACCGTATGGGTTGACAGATATGTATGTGCTTTTGAGCTGCGCAACTTTTTTGTGCGGCGAGATGTGTGAACGTTTCGCTTTGCGAGCTGGGAGCGCTTTTTAATTCGGTTCTTGTAGAAGCTCCCTCAGCACGTGGAAGAAAACGTCAGACAGTGCGGAACAATGTGTGGCACAAACCTGAAAGCACATCGGATAGCACCGATGCGCTTGACTGGCCAGTAACGATTTTTCAGCATTGAAGTCAAGACACACTTGCTGGCTGCTACTTTATTGCCCGCAAGCTAATGTCCGCGCTGACTGCAGCCTGCAATGGGAATTCCAAGGAAAATTGGCAAATCAAAACAAATGTCAAAATCACGAATTAGCAACCTGGCCTACATTTTCAAGTTGCAAACGAGTCAGCACTTCAAAACCACACGCACAAAATACATTCAAGTGTAGAGCCCATTCGATTCCTTGAGCAACTTTATGGTAAGTGATTGAACTTGAGAGGCCAGTTGTCTCTATTTACGACATCAAGAGACGATACAACGCCGATCATGGCATTCTCACGCAAACCCACAGCAATTGTCGAGTGTGGTACGATTAGAACTCGGATCAATGGATTGCTTGTCCAGATTTCTCTTGCAAAGAATACCATTGTTTTATTGGAAGCTCGCCCTACTAAAATGTTTATTCATAATGCACATGGGGGCTTTAAATGTTGTTCATTAAAGAGTATGCGACTTTGTTAAGTAAAGGTAAGTGTTTTTAATATACGTGCCAATGATTATGCATGCACAGGATGAGGACCTCTCCTGTAGCCATGCAGGAAATGGGGGTGATTTGGCCATACTTCACCACACCGGTCAGTGTGGCTGGAGAAGGCGAGAAGCATCGACATTGAGCATAGTACTGAAATATCTTCTTGGTTCTTTCGGTAAAGTCACGTAGAAGGGAAGTAATAAAATAATAAAAATAAAACATAATAAAATAATATAATAATATAATATGTATTTTTATTATTTTATTACTTCCCTTCTACGTGACTTTACCGAAAGAACCAAGAAGATGAATCCCCGCAGTCACGAAAACTTTTAATCGAAAAAAGTACTGAAATAGTTCTGGTAGGAACCTCTGGTAACACCAGCCCACAGGGGATTATTGTGTCCGTCCGTCCATCGTGCAGGGAGGAGCTGGGTGGGGAGGGGCTGGGTGGGGAGGGTGGGGCTGGGTGGGGGTGGGAGTGGTGGGGCTGGGTGGGGAGGGGAGGGTGGGGAGGGGAGTGTGGGGAGGGGCTGGGTGGGGGGAGGGGCTGGGTGGGGGGGGTGGGACTGGGTGGGGGGGTGGGACTGGGTGGGGGGGGTGGGACTGGGTGGGGAGGGGCTGGTCACCCCGTGGTGCCCTTATAAAACTCAACGTTTAACCTACTCACGCCGGCTTGTGCCCGCCCTCACAGTCGGGCATATTTGCGGAATACACCACACCGCCGTTGACCCTGCAGGCCATTGACCGAGCAACCCAACGTTCCTACCAGCTCCCTCCGCAGGAACGTGTTGTTTACGTGACAAACCTCACTAACTTTGACGAAGCGTTTACATTTACTTGATCTCTCACCCCCCAAGAAAAAAAACCCACCTCTATTAAGGACACTCGTCTAAGCTATTCGTTGTTTAAGCTTAATTCGTGTGGATAAAGAATACCAACGCACACGGCGTGGCTAAACGCGGGCAATATGATCACCGTCATCCTCCCGTTTCACTTGTAATCGATAATTCATTAGACGTAACACATCGGCTGATGATTCTCGATTGATTTTTTTCTTTTTTTGGGACAGATAAGACAATTGTGCTTAGGCGATCTGATACAAAAAACTAAAATCAATTGCGAATTACAATTCAGTATTGCAGCATTACAAGGGAGGCGGTAATCAATGTTTTTTTTCTGCAAGGTCCAAGCAAAAAAAAGGGGGAAAAATTGTGAAGTTACTGATGGAATGAAGTTAGCAAGTAGTTAAAGTATCACATTTATGACCGTGCACTGTGAAACTTAAGTTCGATTCACGGCTACGGAACGCATCAGTGGCAATTGATAATTGAAACAGTCCTTTATCAACACGTGTTGACCAGCGTGGTGAAGTATGGTCAAATAAAACAACAACCCCACGACTTACACAACGTAATCGAACAATTGATTGACAATTAAAATCGGTTATAGTTTCATCGCAACACTTACCCCGCGGAGCTGACGAACTCTGCCGGCAGACGTGACTCAAACCCGGCAGGAAGATCAGGCAAGGGCGGGCCGGCCTCGGGGCATAGGCCTCGCTCGGAGTTTTCCTGAAGAACAATGTTGCACGCAGGATGTATACATTCTTTAACGCGTAATAATTATAATATAACATGCAGCACTAGACTGTAAAAGTGCAATTTTAAGAGCCGCGAGCGAGGACTGTAGCATTAAACGAACGGACTCGATCATACACAGAGAGGCAACCCAAAACGTCACGTCTGAGCTTGAAGAATTGAACAGAAATTAAGTATCTGAACGAGTTGTTGGACTCAAGGTTTAACTTAAATGAATCAAGAAGAACGAATGTGGGAAGGATTATTACGTCGTGAGAGATGACGACGAGGCTTGGGACTGTCGTTCTTCATCCAGCAGTGGATAGACCACGGCTGATGCTGAACTTTGGGACATTTTAACATTCTAGCGATGCAACTCGTGTATGAACATTTCCAACCAATTCATCATCATCATCCCATTACCGCGACACTGCATTTCATTTGCGCGTAAATTAAACAACGTTGGTAAATTATCGCCGCGATAAAAAAAATTGCTTCGGATTTTTATTTTTTGCTCCATTAAATTTCACGTCCGCCGCAGTTGACCCGATGTGCCCTGCAATGCAGCAGTGGATCGAGCGTGGTGGAGAGGGCCCCATGGTAGATTGTTATACCGATTTGGGTCAGCAGCGCGTATAGGCGGTCCCATGGTGTAATGGTTAGCACTCTGGACTTTGAATCCAGCGATCCGAGTTCAAATCTCGGTGGGACCTCATTTTTTTTACTTTTATTTTTTTTTTACTTCCACGCCCAGAGAGACAGACAGAAAATAAGAATGCTCCCATCGTGGAGCGATTGAAAATTAGCCCATGTTTCTTTAATGCTGCCGGGGGTAGATTTTACCCATTTCCATCGCGAGCTTTTTGTGCAGAGATTTGGTGGACGAGGCTTGCCAAAGGAGGCATTTTCCTTCTCGCAAACGAACTGATGATGTTATTCATTGGTTTTGTCTAAGTTGTACCTCCTCGCTCAGCTTTAAACATGTTGTTGCCTTCGATTCAAGTCTCTTTCACACCACGTGTTGTAAATAAAGCCATAAAGAGGCTGAGCGAGTTGCCGTTCAGCGGGTGTAGTTTTTTGTTTGTTGTTTCCGTACTTGATGTTTTGTTTGAATCATGACTGTGGGTTCACTCCCCGACAGAGTTGTTGCCGGTCACATCGGCAGGGGGCGACATCTCGTCCTTACAGACTCCACGGCGGACAATGGAAGGCAACTAACAATTGCTTGGGGTCACCGATGTCTGCTGGGCAAACCCTTACCCATTTAAGTCACTTTGCAACCGTGTCAACGCAAATATGCAACCTTATGGTGAATAATACCGCTTTGTAAAACGTTGCTTTGAAAATCAAGGTGGCAAGCGTTAGTAAGATTGGCAAGTCGACTGGCTGCATAATATTAATATGCATTTTTTTCACAAGAAAGGTATAAATGTGTCGTAACCCGCCACCACCCGACACAGCCAATGAGTAAGGGATTTGTCACGTAAACAAAACGCCACTTAGTTACTACTTCAGCCCATCGGTGTGTTGGAGAGTAAATCCACAACACCACGTGTCATAGCGCATTTCTTTTGTACATTTACCCAAATTGTATCCCAGTTGTGCCGTCAGCGTCATGTCATAAGAATAAGCGTCAATTAGAATCTCTCGGAGAGGAGTGAAACTTTTCGTGTTAAAGGTACCACGGAAGCGGATTACACAGAGCTACTTCTGACTTGTGGTCTACCTGGTAGAGGGGCAGACTTTCCGACCTGATCCCCATAATGAGTGTAACGTTCGTTGCATGATTGTCAAGCCAATATTTACTTGATTTTAAGCTTTCGTGACTGCAGGAATCCATACTCTTTGGTTCTTTCGGTAAAGTCACGTAGGTAGAAATAAATAAAACAAATCACGACGTTTCGATTGCAACACAAGCGGGTCGTCATCAGGCCGCTTGTGTTGCGATCGAAACGTCGTGATTTGTTTTATTTTATTTCAAACTATGTGACTTTACCGAAAGAACCAAAGAGTATGCAATATTTACTTCTCAATAGGTTTTTTTATATATATATAAAGTCAGCACTTTGACCACTGAGCAACCCAGGCCACCTCTGGATTGAATATTTTAACTGTTTAATACGGGACTTTAATCAACATCTAATTTTGGACTGACCTTGCCCCATGAGTGAAACCAATCAACCTCCCGGCATTGTTTGGCAGCCCCAATTGGAAAATCATGTGGTTAGGATTTTTCTAGTTATAACCGCATTCTCCACTTGTTTTTGCCAAATTTCACCTTTCCAGATCGTATAGGATTGCATAAAATCGAATCTGCACGGCAGATCAGCCTCACTACACCTATGCAAGTGGCATTCAAAGGAAGCCCGCTATGCAATTTCAAAAACACCGACCACACCATCGACCACACAGCAGTGAACCAATGTGAACTCTAAAACATTCAACAAGGGCATCCAAAGCAATCCACAGCACATCAACTGAAGCCATTTCTTTGCTCAATAATCTTACAAGTTACTATCCAGCCAGCCACAAGCAAGAGTATTGGAATATGCATCAGATCACCTTTAAGCATAAGATGAATAAAGTGAACAACAATCATAATCAACAATACCAGTCTGGCAGGAGTAGTGATGTAGAAGGAATGAGTTTCGGATATATACATTTAGGATTTTAAAGAATGTAAAGTTCAGATCATTTACATTCTGTAATAATAACTTCATGTGTCTTTGCGATAATGCAAATTACATCACGATGCAACTCGTCACCACTTTCGGCGAGGAGCGTACAGATGTGACGTCATGCTTTGTGACATCGTGTTTTGTGACATCACATTTTCGGATAATCCGAAATGTTGTATCTGGTTCCGATTTTCAAATTGTTGAACAAATATCCCATTGATTTAGTGTATATATTTACAAATATTCGAGGCCAAATTTCCAACTTCCAGCCTCAACAATCCATCAGACAAAATTGTCGTACATTCAGTATCTTTAATGGACACACATTATAATTTACACTTCTTGCATACAGGGACATATACTGTATTGAAAATACAAAAATATATATACTGTACTTTACACACACAATGCCTACCCTCCCAGCTGGCGTAGAATATACCACATACCAAATGCAATGCAATGCAATCTCTGTACAATTTTTCTTTCCCACATCGTTTCTGATTATATATATATTTTTACATGGCTGTTTGCATTTAAAAAAATGAAAATGTTTCGCGCACACACAAACACTATATATTATATACCGTACTGTATTAGTAGTAGTACGGTAACCATACGTATATAGTACAGCTGGTTATAGCCTATCCTTTGTGAGCATACCTACGTACAGTACTCATATTACATTAAAGATAAACTGTGCTTGTTAAATGCAGCGTCCTTGAAAGTGATCCGTTATTGACGTGAATCAGCAGACACGCACGCAAGAGATTTGAACACGCGTGTTATGAAGTACCATTTAAACGCGAATGCATTGGTACAGGAGCGTAAAATAACACGGTGTCGTCACGACATCTAAGTCTATAATAAGATCGACTTATGGCTTCTGCTGTTTACAATAGTATACGTTGTGCTGTACACGTCTGACGATTAGCAATGCTTGCGTCCTTCAAAGTGCCTAAAATACAGTAACTGGTGCCCATGGTCACCAAAACTTGACCTCAACGAAAATCATCTAAGTCATTGCCAAGATATAAAAAAAACTCAAAGCCACTTCCATAAACAATTACAGCCGTCCAAATATTTGTGTGTTGTTGCTATACCACCGAACTACATCCCCTAATATTACGCTATTTTTGAGTTCTTCAACGTTTGCCAAAAACAACATTTTCAATTCCTCTGAATTATTCATCTAGAAATAATTTAAAGTACTCATGTGCTAAATTGTGGAATGAAACAATATCAATTTACATCGGGCCAAGATATGTTTAATACCTTAGTGATTAGCAGTGCCCCCGTATATTTTTTTGCAACCTGTCATAATATATCTTTCTTGGTTGAAGCAAAAAAAATAATACACCCTTGAAAATCACTGAAATGCCATGGCACTCATAAATATAATGATTATGCATTGACAAGCCCCCAAATTACCGAGGATATGGATAGGGTGTAAAGGTGAGTAGAATTAACCAGCCTACCTATATCCCCTTTGAGTAAGGTGATATTTTGTTTTATGAAGATGCGGAACTTCATGGCGTTCTCTCACTCCATTCACATCCCACTGGGATTTTTGCACACAGCGTTGGTGTACGGTGTTTTTTTCTGCAATATTTTGCTGTCTTTTCTTGGATTTTCTGTTTGCACTTAGTCACATATTCACTTTAAGATGTTTTTGTTCATGTTTTTTTGTTTGTTGCGGTTGCACCCGATTCAAGAGCCGAATGGCTCACAGGGCTATACATAATAAATGAACTTGAACTTGAACATTCACTTCGCAAACAATGTTGATAGTAACTTTACAACTGGCACCAACCCACCAAGCGTTGCAACCTGCTCTCATTCTCGTACAAACGCATTGTCCAAGAACAATTTATTTGACCACGTTTTCGCTACAGTATTTGTACACACGTCCGAGACAATCAGTCAGCCAGCTCAGAGAGAATTCTATTTCGCAAGCACAGGGGACCTCTCTTGCAAAAACACACGTCCAAAGCTTGGCTTTGTTATACAAAGAACATTATTATTATTTAAGCTGGGGTAAATGAGGACAACCTTTTCAACAGGTCTAATTTTAGTTGTGAGAAGGGGGAGGCAGAGTATGGAGCGGTGGAGGCACAAATTTCACAATGTTGTGCACTGTACCCAAAATTCCCAGTTGGGGAATTGAGTCGAGAGTTGAGTGGGGGTAGAGGGGGGGGGGCAGCCAAGGGGACATTTTTTCCAGGGCAGTCAGCTGCCTGTGTTGCCCTCCCTGTACACGTGCCCCCGTTGGTCAATGCGGAGAGAGCGGAGATTTTGCAGGGGATCTCTTTAAGGGTTTCGCGTGCGTCTCGGTGGCCCGAGGGACCGGGGGAGCAAAGCTTGATCTATGAGAAACGTAAGGCGTGATGCTGCTGCTGCGGCGGCGGGGAGAGAGAGAGAGAGGCGCGGGTGAGACTCCCCATGCAGGAAACATCTCACTTTCAGGAAACAGAAGATATTGCCAAGGTGGTCGAGCGGTGGGAAAACGACGAGCTCTCAGCGCCAAGACCAAATTGAGCGTTATCCTTTTGGCCGAATGAAGGCGAGCCAGGGAGATTTGTTCTCGTTCACCGGTCGCACACACACGGGCAGGGGGCCGATGTCGGTCTGCATCGCATGCGAGCGTGTCGTTTCCGTGAAAGGGGGGCCCCCTCCGCACCGTTCTACGAGAGGACATGGTGTCACGGTTCAACGGAAGGACATCAACGCAGCACAAGGCAGCTTGACAGGGCCCAGGACGTTTCGAGAACTGTCAAGAGCCGTCGTTTGATAATTACCAATGTAAACATTTGTGAATATTTTAAGAAAATGCAGGCACCCATGTTACTTTAGGATTTTTTTTCTCTCTCCCCAAGCGTGTGTTCAAATTGTTTCAATGCAGAACCGTGAGAGATGACCACGGCTCGGAGAAGCCTCCATCCACTGGCTTCATCCAGAAGCGGATTGATCGTGGCTGATATTGATGATGATGTACATTATATGTAATTATTTAAAAAAATGTTGTCCTCGTTTCATATTTCTTCATTGAGTTTTGTTCAAATGGATGTTTCTACATTGTCCTGTTTACTACGTTGAGTTTATTGAACAGTTTTATGTACGTATTTTAATCCAAGTCTCCTTTTCCAAAGAGGCTACAAGTCACAGGGGCCCTTCCCTCATCCTGGAGGTCCTTTCTATCCAAGAGCAGCCACTGTGGCACATGGAGCCTTTATCTATTCACATTACAATGTAAATCGTATTTACATAGGGCAAAGGTGCATCCCTGCAGTTGCTTGCTCACACAACTGCGTTGGTGGAAGAGCCTCCATTAGAAGGGTCTCTACAGAACTCTTCCACGCTGACCAGATGTCTTGGATGAGGTAGGAGCACCCTCAGTTTACCCCAACCAACGCGTGACCAGCCGAGTATTTACATGCGCTATAAATATATTCTCCTTCAGAAGGCTCACGTTCTCTGTTACGCCAGGTGGTGCCGTGCTCTACTCTCAGCTCACCAGGGGATTCACAGCAGCACAGCTTCAAAGCGTCCCTACCGCTGCTCCATTATGAGTCAAGAGACAGAGCGAGACCTAAGCGACCCATGTCAAACGGGGATAACCGACTGCCCTTGGGCAGACCATCGCCTATTTGCCCTGCTTGGAGATTCAGGGGACAGGACGTGGAATTATTTCTTATTCATGTCCTATCTCTCAACCGTCCGCCACCACTATTCGATGAATTGTCAAGATTCAGGATCGCTCCTCGATGTAAGAATCAATTATAATTTTTTCCCATTTTTGATTTTTTTCATTGCTTTGTTTGTATCTCAGTACAATTTTGTTCAGTCGTTTAGAAAAATGTAACAAGAGCACATCGCTTACAATATAATTTGCATAAATCGTAAATAATAAATGTCTCACACACGCGATTCGATGCGTGTTATCGTGAGTATAAGGATCGATTTCAATAGATTGTTGTATAATGATTTGTGACGACAGGTCAATAAAACTATCGTACTATTTTTTTTATTTTACCAGGTAAGGCCCACTGAGCTCAAGAGCTATTTTTCAGAAGTGACCTGGCCACAAATGATAGCTCAACAAAGTGGCTTTTCATCACGCGAAATTTATAGCAGCCAAAAATACTCCAAACGCATTTCGATTTAAAATGTGGAGGCAAAAGACGGAGGACCCGGAGAAAAATCCACACGACCTCGAGGAGAGAGACACGCAAACTCCATTTGTACAGGCGTCAGGGCCGGGATCAAACCCACGACCTCCTGTACTCCAGGCGAGGTAGTTAACATCTCGCCACCACGACGTGTCTGTAACGTCGGGCACGTGGACGGAATTGAATATGCGATCCAGATTTATGGCCAAGGGCGACCTGGATCCAGACTATGGCATCGGTGACGCACAGCAAACTGCTTCAGAGAACGATCGCCGTGCCGAACGTGTCGCGTTAGCAATTTGCCAACAGATGTTTGCTTTAATCGACCCATTAAAAGACGTGTAGCACATCTCAGACGTATGGAACACGACCGCAGTAGATTGTCGTGCATCTCTGGGATGAGAAAGCGAATGGCTACACAGCCTGTTTGACGGTCACATTACTTACATCACGGCTACTTAACTCTGGAATTAATCCTACGCACTGCCCGACATTCAGTGTCAAGCATCGTCCATCCTATTTGCTTTTACATTAATTATCATCATCATGTTGTCACTGTGTTAACAAACAACTTACACAAACAGTTAAATTACGGGCAATGACAAAACTATATTTCAAAATTACACGATTTTGTGACTATAAATACATGTTTGTACTGCAGTTACACACAACGCATACACACATAAACTGTCTTAAATAAGTATTTTTTTAAACTCCATTTAGGAAATAAATACAAGGATCTTAATATTTTCCGTGAAAAAAACAACCACCTTCAACACAGAACGTAATCCTGTTTGTTTTTCTCTCCCTCCCACCGCACCAATCACTGTTCACATCCATCACGGACGACATCTATGGCGTGCCCTGTTCTCATGGCGAAACATTTCGCTGTTCCATTGTAATTAGCCCAATTTGCATTTTCGACACAAGCAGCTTTCAACACGACTGAACAAGCCGCGCATTTGCTCGGGAGTCCTTTGTGTAAGATGTCAACATTTTTCGCCGAGAGTTCCAATTTCTTCCACCTTAGCTCCTTTGCAACATTTTTCGCTTCTCCCACGTGACCACCACTTGCCGTCGACAAAACTGCTTCGAAAGATTGTTTCGCAAAAAAAAATAAGAACGTGAACGAACACCGTCACGGCACATGCTGCCCTCCGCCACTTCGTGCATTCGATCAATCTTGCGCTGCAGGATCACGGATTCCATAGATTTCGAAATGTCAATGATAGATGACTTATCGCTAAATGATTTCAGAGGGGGGTACGTCACAGAAAAATTAAAACGGTACATTTAACCGTGAGTGAATTAAGCCATTTATGTAATGCGACTTTAGCACAAGGCTGGCTTGTTGTCATCATCTGACGGAGCGCACTGTGTTCTAGCGGCGGTGTTGATTTGCAAACGAGCCAAACCATAACTGGACACCAAACCTTTCACTCTAATTATTTAGATGTGCTTGGAATATTTCCCCCACCCCCCATTCCACAAACACGGCATCTCAGTGCGAGCAACACTCTTTCCATTGACGTCGCCGTTAAATAGTCACACGTTCTGACCGCTGTGCTCAATGCGAGAACAAATAAATAGCGGAGTTGCAAACCTGAATGACTTAGGCACAGGCTGTTGGTAGTGATAGTTAGGCTCACCCTTGCAGCAGCCAAAACCATCGCAGAGCTGGCGTCGAGGGCCTGCTGCCCAAGTGGAACTGAATGTTAAAAGGCGCTTGTGTCCCAAGCGGGCAGAAACATTCTGGGTACAAACGTGGGGCGGTCGGAGGGTTTTTTTTCTAAACGAACGAAAAGGAGTCCTGGCCTTCGATTTGAAATGTCTACGTGTTTATTTATTTCAAAAGCTTGCGTATGCAGGTCTTCTCTCACCGTCCTTCTTAATCAGAAACCCAAGTTCGCCGGCTATTTATTACCGAAGACGGGTTCGGCTAGGGTGACGGGGGGGGGGACCTCGTGGGGGGTTAATTAATTTACTGCATTACAACCGTTGCCCTTGTTGGTGGCAGTCCTAAGCAGCGATTTAGCACTGACTGTCTATATATAGAAAACAAAATGACACTGCTGCAACTCGTTGCACTTAAATACCAAAAAGAACGCAGGTGTGCACGATGCGCGATCGTCTTGCGACGCTCGGTCAGCCCAGGGCGGTGCGACGCAAACGCCACGACATCGCCACCAGGCTACGCTTTGGTCTCATTGAGCTTGAGCGCAAGCAGTTCGCTGTTGCCGGTTCTCTTGCCGCCACCACTAGCGCCGCCGCTGCCGCCACCACCTCCTCCTCCGCCAACCCCACCGACGCCACCGGCACCGCTGGCACCAACGGCGCCAGCCACCGCTCCATTGCAGCTGCGCGCCTGGCCGTTGCCGGTCTTGACGAAGGCATAGGAGGCGGGGAGGGGGGCGTCCCCTACGGAGCCCGTGGTGCTGTACGAGGTGGAGCGCACGGAGCAGTGCTCCACGCGCCGGCGGTGCCCGAAGCGCAGGCGGTACTGCATCCAGTGGCGCCGCAGCACCGTCTGCACCTGCGCAGGGAAGGGCGGGGGGATGGGGCACACGGCGGGAACACAGCACAGTGGAACCGTGACGGTCAAAGCCAGGAGGTGTCGGCGGTTTGGTCGTTGCCGAACGGCTCTCCAGGTTGCCCGCAAAGAGCCGCTCGGTTCGATGTCCGACGGTTCGCTCCGTATGCTCGGGAGCTCCGTCGCGAGCTCAATGCGGCTCGTCGCACGGTTACGAGTGGGAATATTTCCGAGGCGACAGGAGGCAGAATGAAGAAGCTGTTGATGACCCTCGGCAGGGGTTGCTACTGGTCGCGAGAGACCTCCGAAGGGTTTGGACGCGCATTGAGTAGGCCGAGGAGCGCGTTGTTTGGCACGACAGCCGACGTGCTGCGTGGAGCTGAACAGATTCCCGGAGAAGAGAAGGCCTCCGGCCTCGTAGAGCCAACCGTGAGGCGTCGTGCCGGACAATGCGCTGCGGCGACCCAAGTGATTTTATTTTTGTCATCCGAGACTGTTGATTTTCATGCCAAATATTAAGCACATTAGTTTTGTAACCACCGCAACTTCATTCGACGCCGGCTTGCGCAAGGACGTAATAATTACCGCTCGTCACTGCACAGCCCAGCGCTTTGTGTCAAAATATTGCCAAATTAGAACTACGTTAGCACATTACATTGAGCAAGTCTAAGTGCTTCGTTTAAGCTAACTGCTTCAATAGAGAACAGCTATGAATGCACGTTTGCAGTTAATCAAAAGCACTTAACGGTGAGTTACAAAATCAATTTGGCAAAAAAGAAAATAATAGCTCCATTTTTTTTTTTTTACAAACCCACGGAATTGTGCCACGCGCTGTAAGGAACAAATCGAATAAGCGTAATTACGTTTCATTACTGGACGTAAATAAAGTGCAGAGACACTAATGCTGCGCTTAATCTGGCAGGAAATTATTTCCGATCTTAAATTATTATCGAAACTGCAGCAAAGTAGAGAACCCAGGTGATTAAAATATTGTCCGTATTTTTTTTCCATTTTCCTAATAACTGCTAATCGAATGAACTTGTAAGTTGAAAAATTAGTCTGCAAGAGGGCCGTTTCCACTGCCAAACAGAAATTATAATATAAACAAAGCCATATTCTTTGGTTCTTACGGTAAAGTCATGTAGATATAAAATAAAAATAAATAAATAAAAATAATAAAATACTACGTTTACATTTAAATAAAAACCACGACGTTTAGATCGCAACACAAGGGTCGTCATCAGCAAAAAAAACATCGTGGTTTTTATTTTTTATAACCAAAGAATATGAATTCCTGCAGTCACGAAAGTTTTAAGTCAAAAAATAAAACAAAGCCAGTCGAGGTCGGAATGCTAAAAAATCTACGTCGCTGATTGGCTGAGGGCATGGCTCAGCCCCACTTATACGCGTGCTCGGATTGGTCGAAATTTGCGTTCGCGTGCATCACGCAAAGGTACCGTTGATCAAAATTTCGACGTTCGTCGAAGCCATGGGGTTCCTATGGGTAGGCGAAACGTTCACCGAAAACCCATTAACCGATGTCACTGTTAACCGAGGGACTACTGCGCTGAACGCTCTCTTTCTAACTCCGCCTCGGGGGGTCCACAACCCAGTGGATACCTGAAGCAGTCCCCAGCCTGGATACGTAAAAAAGGAGGGCTGGGCGAAAGGGTGGCGCCGATACTTATGGCCGTGGATCAGAGGTCGCAAACGGGTTTTGATTCCTTACCCGTACCCGTACCCGGCCGCACCAGGGTGGCAAATGGGTACCCGTACCCGGCCGGGTAAGGGTACGGGTACCCGTTCCCTACCCGTACCCTACCCGAAATGAGTGACAAACAGTTACTCACCAGTGACTCACGGCCTACCCGTACCCGTACCCGGCCGGGTACGGGTAGCCGAGTATCGGGTAGGTTACGGGTATCGGGTACCCGGTTGCGACCTCTGCCGTGGATGAAAAAAAGCCGAAAGGAATCCAATTCACGTGATGACTACAGAAGGAGAATACCGGCTCGGACGTTGCCCAGGTCAACAAAGACCGAGTCCCCTCTTTATTTTTTATTCTAGTTCCAATCGGCAGAGGTACAGCAGCCCACAGGGGTAGGACAAAGTCTTAGAGGTCACCTTACACGTGTATACCGCCCCCCCCTCCCACTGAAAGTGTGTCTAAATGCCATGATACACGAGGCCCAGTGGTTACAAATCTTGCGCTCATTGTGACCCCCCCCCCACCCCCCCATGAGACCAAACAATAAACTGTCCGCATTGCCAAACGAGCATCAAAGGCAAATTATTAAATCATTTATATTTGGACGTTGAGATAGGGAGAGCACCAACAGGGCACGTCGAAGACCAACGTGTCCAGTGCACGCGTTCACTAAATTCCACACAACAGATAAACGCACGCAGATTTAGAATCGCTCGTGGCCACAAGCAAACCAGTGGACGGACCAATACCAATACGCGCTCGCCATCCGCCACCAGGCGATGGTGATAGCGCTTGTGCCAGGCCAGGTGCACTTTTGAGGCCACGTGAAGTCTCGAAGGCTCACTGACAGAAGGTCACGGGACAGACCCTAGGTGCCATGGGTTGACTGACTGAGATGACTGGCAGATGCACCAGCTGTGCCCCCCTACTGTGCCAACTTGCTGTGCATGACCATACCCTATGTGAACCTCCCACCATCATGTGAACTGTCACATATACTACACACCCCCCCCCCCCCACACAGTGGACAGCAACTCGGGCAATTTCAGGGGAAATTGTTGCCATCAGTCGTCACGAGCAATGGCGTTTATTTTGAGCAACGATGGAAACTTGTTAAGGAAATGTCAAATGAGTGATGGGAGTTGTGTCTAGCCCACGGGTCGGCAAGCAAAATAACAAGAAGAGACATTTTTTTCGTCTTAGAATTCTGTAATAAAACTCAATATTTCAGGAGGAGCAATGCGCGTGGCGAATGCGACACGGTGGTCCTTAATAAATAATGTCACAAAGCAGTCTTTAAAGAGCTGCGGGTTTTGCCGATGACCCCCGATGGTCTAGCCGATGAAGTGAGAGTGGAAAAATCCCTGCGAATGTGCTGCAATGGCTCTCCAACGCGTTTTCGGGTGGCAATGCGTGCTGTCGGGCACGATGTCCAACGTTTCGCTCCATGGGCTTGGGAGCTTCTTCAGCAGCACGTGGTGCAATAAAAAATATATATATATAAACGTCCGAGAGGAATGAAAACATATTGTTTAAAACTACCTTCGATGAACAGTGATTGGTCTGAGAATTGTTTTTTTACCCTTTTATCTGGCAACAAAACTGACACCTTTTTTACGAGGAGTCATGTTTGCATAGATCACAATAGCTGCTGTCATAATGCAAACAAAAAACATAACTCTGATAATGTATGCACTGTCCTTGAAGTTGATTGGTCCACACCCGAGACAGCTTTCCTTAGAGCCTAGTCTCACATGGTGGTGGACCAGATGACGCCAAAAGGCGCACTATGCAAACATGACTCCTTGTAAAAAAAGGTGTCAGTTTTGTTGCCAAATAAAAGGGTAAAAAACCAATTCTCATATTTTGTTACTGGCAAAGGAGGTTCCAATGGTGTAAGTGATTGGTCTACAGAGGACACAACCTCGGGTAATCAGCCGTGTGACCTTTGTCTCTGATGTGACTAGAAGTGGCCATTCCCCGGTTGTCCACTCAGGGTAGAATTGCAAATTAAATGTGTCCAGATATGGGCAACAACAATTTTGAAACAAGAAACTATCGCTCGTGATCATTGCTGGTAACAATCGCGATACAACAAAAAAAAACCCCATCCCAAATGCATCAATGGCCTTAAGGTAGATGACCCAATTGCTTAATTGGGATTTCACGTAGCAATCATTTCCCCCCGACTGGCAAGGCTAATGCCTACATTACAGCCCGGTGCTGAAATCGCTTTGTGCTGCACAGGGACAAGCTCCCTAGAAAGGGGTCCCCCCCCTCCCCCCAGGCCAACAAATAAACTGCGTTCCGAGACGTTTCGCCATGGTATGGGCCAAAGAGAAATGCAAGTATTATTATATTGTTGTAGACAGCCGAGTAGGAAGCTGCCATGGTGTAATGTTTAGCACATTCGTGGCGATACAGTACAGAGGTTGCCAGTCACGGCAGTTGAAATAAACGTTGCCAGCTTCTCAAATGCCCTCCGCTTCTGTCCACCCAGCAGAATAAATTTGCAACAACGCAAACCGAGTCGGTCGGAAGGTCGCGTTATGCGGTGGGATGAAACGAGGGTTACTCCCTCGGGTCAGCGCGGAAGAGCAGGCCAAATACCCTCCAGAGCTGCCCCTGGAGTGTATGCGTGTGGAACGTCTTTCGCACCATAAGTAACCAATCATGCTCATCGGAGTGGAGTCCCTTCCGCCAGCAGCGGCGTTCGCGAGCCATCACATTGTGATGAGGGGGCGGGGGCGGGGGGGGGTCGCACACCTTTCCGTGCTCTTAGGATGACAGAATGAACGACGATTCACCTCGGCTGCACTTGCCGTTGAGGAATGCGAAACAAAAAAACGGAGAGGGAGTGACGCTCGCGGGCAAGTGGCTGGTGGGGGGGTGGCGTGGGAGAGAGACGAGAGCTGTCCACACGGAACCCGTGAAAGTGGCGCAACGCTCAGGTTTCACAAATGTACCTTTCGTTTAGCCACCCACACAAAGGCAAACATACCTGCCCCCCCCCTCCTCCTCCTCCTATTTATAAACTGTGATCGGCGAGCACCTATTAAGGCCAGCGTCGCACGCCAGAAAGGTGGCTTGGTCAGCATCCACGCCTTGGCTACCTTTGTCCGATTCTTTCTGATTCTTCGTCTGATTTTGTCTCTACCCCCCCCCCCCCGCCCGCAGTCGTACCAGCCGCCCCATTTTTCGGTCGAGTAAACAATCCGCTGCCGTGTGAGGGCCTCCCCACGACCCCCGCGCTTGCGTCGTGGTGTTGATTTCACCAAACTTGGCCACGTGGGTCGGCACAGGTGAGGAGCATAGATTTGGGAGTAAAGTACAGTACAATTTTATTCTGCACTGCTCTTGGCTGCCCACAACTGTTTTTTTTTACGCAGAGAGAGTCACCTAATCAAGCACTGTCCAGGTTAAAGCCTGCTTTTATTCCTATATCTAACGAGATCGGGCGAAAATCCTGGTGATTTTGGTCATAGGCATTTTCAGGCAGCAATCGAAATTTGTCAATGATGTCAGTGTTCAGGAACCAACAAGGCGGGTCTCTGGGAACGTAGCACATTCTAGATTTGAAGCTTTCGTGACTGCAATGATTCATACTCTTAGTTTTTTCGGTAAAGTCACGTAGGTAAAAAATGAAATTAAAATTAACAAAAATAAAATAATAAAAATCACGACGTTTCGGAGGCAACACAAGTCTCCGTCATCAGGTGGGACCGTCACAGCCAAATGTGCTGTATCAAGTGAAGATAATGAGGTCAAGTCACTTGATACAGCAAATCTGGCTGTGACGGTCCCACCTGATGACGGAGACTTGTGTTGCCTCCGAAACGTCGTGATTTTTATTATTTTATTTTTATTAATTTTAATTTCATTTTTTACCTACGTGACTTTACCGAAAGAACTAAGAGTATAACATAGCACATTGCGCAGATCACTGAACAACCCTCACACGCGGACACATGGACGCGCACATCCGTGGTAGAAGTTAGGATATCACTGGCGAATGAAAATGAAATCTTGGCGAGCGAATAATTGTCTGTAATAAGAAGGGTGAGGGGGGGGGGGAAAGAAGCTAGTTTGATGGTTCAGTGATTCTAAAAGCCCATCATTTTTATAGCGTAATTTTTTTTTGCAACTTGACCTCATTATAAGAAGAGCCAGGCCACGTAAATGGATGTCGTTGAGGATAACAGGCAGCAGCAGCATCCCACATTCACCCTGGTGTGCTGCAGGAAGGGCTGGTTGTATTGTTCGTGCGATGGGGCACTTGGCTCTACAGCGGAAGAATCACTGATTAAAGAAAAATACTATCTCCACTCTCAACTGATTTGTTAATTTAAACATATCATCGTGACTCCATAGGTTTTTCGCGATCGTGCCGTACAGCCCCTGCGACGAGTTTTCGCGGTTGCGCTACAACATGTTGGTCCGCGCGAGGTTGACCGACGTTTTTGTCGCGTGCCTCGTCAGGAACTGAATGATGCAGCTCCTAGGACGTGCGGTGAAACGTCGGGTGTGCAGCCGAACAACACGCGGTACAACCAGAAAGCACATCGGAGACAAACAATGTTTGCGAAGGGGTAACAAACGGAAAAACAATATAATACAGGGTGTGCTTAAAAAAAATGTTAATACTTCTGAGAATTTGCAACAATACCACAATAATTGTGCCTCCGGGCTCTGGAGACCACCTGGAGAAGATTCCATGCACGTGTTGACAATGATGGCGAACAAGTGGAGACTCTTTGAGTTGTTGAAGCTATTAACATTAAATTTTTATCATGTTACAGTGTATTATCCGGTTTTTTTCCATTAAAAACGAAAGTCCCATATAAGTGTTATCATGACTCCTCGTAAAAAAGGTGTCAGTTTTGTTGCCAGATAAAAGGGTAAAAAAACCAATTATCATTTTTTACTGGCAAATGAGGTACCAATGGTGTAAATGCTTACCCCGAGCTCTCATACTCTGATGGTGCATTGTCTTTGAGTTGTGCGCCTTTTAGCGTCGTCTGGTCCGGCCCATGTGAGACTAGGCTCTGAGGAGAGCTGTCTCGGGTGTGGATCAATCAACGTCAAGGACAGTGCATACATTATCAGAGTTATGTTTTTTGTTTGCATTATGACTGCAGGTATTGTGGTCTATGCAAACATGACTCCTCGTAAAAAAGGTGTCAGTTTTGTTGCCAGATAAAAGGGTAAAAAACCAATTATCAAGTGTTATAATTTTTTTGAAGCACGCTGTATTAGTATTGAAGGCAGATCTGAATCAAGACGAAGAAGACAAGCTTTCAATCAGTGCATATTGCCAGCCATGACATATGGATCAGAAACATGGGGTACCAGCAAGGACAATGGAAGAAAAGTCTCCAAAGAATTGTGGAGAGATGCAATTACAATTAGAGGTACAAAGAGGAACCCATGGATCAGGAAGTAAACACATCAGAGACAATGCATTGAGTGGGATTGCATCTCCCGAAAGGATGATGGCTGATAGACTAGTCTAGTGAGAGAATGGCTGTAAAAGGAAAAAAATAAAACATTTCCAAGCAGACATCTAAAATCTCGATTTACAAGTGCATAGCTCCAGTGGCTTCCTAATATCGGAATGAAGAACGTTCCAGACGGCCGCAGAAGCGCATATGAAAGTGCGTGATGCAGTGACCGTCTTTGTTCAATGGCGGCCCAAAATTCACTGCAAAGATGACCGGAGTTCGCGTGATCGTTTATGCTCCTTGACGAGATCATCGAGGTATTGTGGTTAATTCGTGGCAAGCACTTCGTGTGTAATGTGTGCGACCTTACAATGTATCCATTCGGCAACCGGAAGCCAATGCAAATCGGCGAGCACTGCATGGACATGGTTGGATCTCGCAGTACCCCGTGACGAGACGTGCAAGAGAATGTTGTACACGCTAGAATGAGCTACGCTCATGCGTAGGAGTGAGATAAACTGCGGCAACGCTTGGCCGAGGGATAGCGGCAGAAAGGGGAGGGCTTCACCGACAGGGGATAGACCATAGCTTCATGATGACGATGATTATCGTGATATCATAAATTTAATGTAACAATTTGCCCTTTTTTTATTTGGGCAAAGTTAGCAGCTGTCCGTCTCAGTAATGCTGCAGTTTTGTTTTGCCTCAATGGGTTTCAACCTCTCGCCTGTGCAGAGTGATGGCGCAGTAGTTTAGCGGCCTGTGCTACGAACCCAGCAACCTGGGATAGATTTCGGCCGCGGCTAACATCAGTGGCGAGTCGTGTCAGAACCGGTCCTGGGTCTAGCCGAGGTCAGAGTTGGCCACACCGCACCCTCGTGCGACTTGTTGGCCTTAATTGGCGTTCACAAACAGCACTTACCACCCCAACAGTCTGCCAGAAGCCACAGAGGGGAATCTTTATCTGCCGGTTAAATAAACCTAACTTTTGCTAAATTATGCAATGCTGGACTTAAACGCATGCCAAATCATCCTGAAACATTAAATCTGCTCGAAAAATAAAATCGGCGAACTTCAGTAAAAAAAATCTTTGATTCTGAAGACAGATATATAGAGACGTATGGAAATAGCAAACCCACTCAGGCGTACGCACACGAATAGAGAAATAATGAGCAGCTTTGAAATATTTTATAAAGCTACAGACGAACACATTTAAAACAAAATTCCGCCGAGGTTAAACCTAGGCCATTATCGTACGCAAGGGGAGGCTCTGATATCCACACTTTCTCCCCCAGGATCACCGTAAGAGTAGGTGCTACACTGTTATAATTCAAGCTGTGAATGTAATCCCAAAAGCGTGTGTGTTCTCCGTTCTCAACAAATCTGTTAACATAAAAGAGCACTTCAAGGCCATTTGCGAAATACATTGTGCACGAGGATATTCGAAATAATTTTTTCTATCTCACAGTAGATCAAATGCACTCAAAAGGACACTTCAAAAAGATAAAGCATTACCTCTCCGTTGAAGAAGCAAAATATAGTAGCCACCAGAAGACCCTAGAAAGGGAAGGGGGGTGGGAGGGGGAAATGTTTTAACAGCGCTCCAAGTCATTCATCCAACACCATGCCAACTTTTTTCATCACCTGGACATGCTCGCAACTTAACTTGGAAGATAAGGCCACACTGTGATGATCAATCCCATACCAAATCCATCTTAGCCGCTCATCTCCTCTGGATCTGTGCTCCAAACAATGTTGTGCAGAAAACATCATTGGCTTTTAAAACAGGTTGTGTTCATGCAATGATATCTTACATAGTCATTTAGAGCCCTGTTTGTCGATCAATTTCCGAGTGAAAATCTCTCCAAGGCCATGTAATTCCTGGGGGTTTGTTTAACTATACTTCACCACGCTGGTCAATGGAGATCTGTGAAGGCAGGGAGTTTCCCCATATATCACTCACCCCCGGGTGTTACAGCCGTGGCCAAGAATTCATGCTCAGGTTGCCTGGCTCGTAGTGTAGCGCGCTGACCACTGCGGCACCGCTCCCCACCACAGAGTGTTTTGTTATTTGAAATGAAATAAATTATAGATTATAAAGTGGACATTTAAAGGGCACTCTTGAAGCAATTTCTTGTAACTCTGAATAATGTAGGAATGGCAAGTGCATCCTAATATTAAGCAGTGAAAAGGACACTAATAGTGAGGCATACATTATTTAGCACACGGAGAGAGTGAGAAATGTTGACATTTTCCCTCGTACAACTCCATTTCTTTTCTTCAAATCCAGATGAAGCACAACCCTAATAGGTGGGGAGAGTGGGGCACAGCGGTTTGGCGCACTGCACTACGAATCCGGGTAACCTGCATTCAGTTCACAGACATTGGCTGACATCAGTGACGAGTGATATCTGAATCAGTTTAAGGCGTAGGCTTTTGCGACTAATATCATCCATAATACAGTTTTTTTTTGGGTTAGATCGCGTAAATAGAAAACATGTTGTTAAACCGGCCACCGCCCGACACAGCCAACTAGTAAGGTTTGTCACATGAACAGAACGTGGCCAATTCGTTACTAGTACAGCACTAGTGTATAGTGTAGTGTATAGTGTAGTGTATAGTGTAGTGTACTAGTACAGCACTAGTGTAGAGTAGTGTATAGTGTAGAGTGTAGTGTAGTGTACTAGTATAGCACTAGTGTAGTGTATAGTGTAGTGTATAGTGTAGTGTACTAGTACAGCACACCGGAGTGTTTGAGAGCCAAGCCACAACATTTACAATCTGAGTACGACGTTTCACCAGAAATAACAACTGGCTTAATCAGGCGATAGGCAGATTTGTGGAAAAGTCCATCTGTTTCGTTCCTTATATCTGAATCAGTGCTGGGTCCCTTCTTCACGAACTCTATAAAATTATAAACTAAGCAACTTTTTTTTTACCAGGAAAGGCCGACTAGCTCTTTTTCAGAAGCGACCTGGCCACAAATGATAGCTCAACCAAGTGGCTGAACGCGTGGAAATTTATAGCAGCCAGATACTCGGACCGAGTGTTGATTCTACAAGTGGAGGGAGAAACCGAAGGACACGAAGAAAAATCCACGTGACCACGGGGAGAGAGAACATGCAAACTCCAAATATACTGCAGGCATCAGGGTCAGGATCGAACTCACGAACCTTTCTGCATACTAGGCGAGGGAGTTAACATCTCACCCACTGCGGCGCCCTGGTACAACGTCACTGCACCGCGCTAAACGTGATCCACGATGCTCGCGATGGGCCATCGCCCATAACAGCGGGGCAGGCCAGCAGCATGTGTCAAACTTTTCGTACACAGGCGAGAAGCTTTTGGTGCGGTTACGCACACAGGCGTAATCGTCCTTTCGGCTCGTGAAGTATCAACCAGCCCGAGCACAAAAGGCTCAACGGTGCTGTCTTATTTGGCCAGAGAGGAAAACAACAATGACAAACGAGAGCACACCCACGAGGTGATAAGGCAGAGCAATAAGGCGTCACCACCACATCATCATCATCGCCGGCTCCGCGAGAGGGCTCTGAGAAGACGCCGCCACCTGTTGCACAGTTCACAAACGCGTTCGCTCTATGTCTTTGAAAATGGCAATTAAAATTCTTATCGGGAGCAACTATAATTGTGACCTACAAATGGTTTTGGTTGGAGAATACTGCATAGCTTCTTTATAACTCGGTGGGGTGGAGAGGGGTTGGCAGAGTGTGAACCCGGCGACCTGGGTTCGATTTCTGGCCAGGACTCATGTCAGCGGCGAGTGAACCGGTCCCAGGCACCACCTGCCAACCCATCACCCGCACTGACCGGTGTGGTGAAGTATAGTTAAGCAACAGGCATGACCGACGGAGATATGGGAAGCCTTCGTTCAGCATTGTATTGACAAGGGGATGTAAAATAATAGGGGTTTTTCCCCTTTTATCTGGCAACAAAACTGAAACCTTTTTTTTACAAGGATTCATGTTACTGCATTAACCACAATACTTGCAGTCAAAATGCAAAAAAAAACACACTATGATAATATATGCATTGTCCTTGAAACTGATTGGTCCACACCAAGGCATATATTATCATAGTGTGTTTATTGTTTGCATTTTGACTGCAAGTATTGTGGTTAATGTAGACATTAATCCTTGTAAAAAAAGGTTTCAGTTTTGTTGCCAGAAAAAAAAGGGGAAAACCCCTATTATTATATTTTGGTACTGGCAAAGGAGGTCTCATGATGATGAAGGGGATGTAAATCACAATTATTGGAAGATGATGTTTTAAAGTCTGATCATCTCTCATTCCCATTGATTGCGCTGAGACGGTGGTGAGAATTCCTAATTCTCACGGCAGAGCTAATTTTCTGAAAAGTACCACTAAAAATATTGATCCCACCTCTGGGTCTTTAAACTTACAAGCTTCCACAATGCAAATATAACACACTGCACTGCACACAGTGTGCCTGGACGAGATCAATAAGTCGTTAAAACTATCTTCACGCCGAGGAAATGTACTACAATTCGTTAAGACTTATTGGCCCGTCATTAACACGTGTGAGCGATGCCTTTAACACCTCGAACCAAGAGCGTCACCGGCTGCCGATACCGTCACTAGACAACCCGACAGCGCCCACCACACTGACAGCATCAAGCCAAACACGCCCATCCTTTTCCAGTGTTATATATCATCAGCCATGGTCAATCCACTGCTGGATGAAGGCACTTCCCCCCCGCCACCCCCCACGCGCCAAGCTTCCACCATCTTTCATTTTTTTATAGATTGAAAAAGTATTTCTCGAGAACTGCTTTTTATGTTTTAGTTCGTTGTCCTTCCCCCCGGCACCTCCGATTAGCACGGTTTGCTGCGTACCGTGCGAAAGAAGTTCAACAAAGATCCTCCGTATAGCCTTAACAGACTGTTGGGGCAAGTGCTGTTAGCGAGCACCTATGAAGGCCGGAACGGTACACGAGGGGGTGGGTGGCCAGCACCACGCCCGCCCGCCTTTGTCTCCCCAGTGGCAATGTTTACACACCGCACCAGGTACTCATTTGAGGCTGAGTCGACCTAGGGGAGGCCCGGGACCGGTTCAGATAATCGTCACTCGTCTTGGCCGTGAGCGAAAATCGAACCCGTGTCGCCGGGTTCATAGCGCAGCGCGCTACCGCTCCCCACACGAGCTGATTCTCGTCGCTCCATCTTCTCGATAGGCATGATCCGAGGAGGCGTTTCCATCCCCGGATGCCACTCCGTCATGATTATTGACCTTCGGCCATCGTCCCGCCTAAGGGATGTGTTTTTTTTCCTTCTCGCTTGTCCCCAGGGGACAAACAAACATCTACATCTGAACGTGTCGGGGCTCTCGATGATGGATGCGGGGTACTGCTCGTGTTCCCACCTCTGAGGTGCAAAACCAGGACACATCATGGGGTAAGAAGAAATACCTGACACTACCGGAAGGCAGGCGAGAGAACTACATGTAAATTAATTATCTCGAGCGGTGTATTGTGGTTATTATTACGCAAATAACAAAACCATCACTTATAGCGTCCCGAGAAGGCTAAATGTTTCCCTCGGTGCATCAGGTTACCTGCTAGTGCACGACGAGGTACATCAGGTTACCTGGTAGTGCACGACGAGGTGCATCAGGTTACCTGGTAGTGCACGACGAGGTGCATCAGGTTACCTGGTAGTGCACGACGAGGTGCATCAGGTTACCTGGCAGTGCACGACGTGGTGCATCAGGTTACCTGGTAGTGCACGACGAGGTGCATCAGGTTACCTGGTAGTGCACGACGAGGTGCATCAGGTTACCTGGTAGTGCACGACGAGGTGCATCAGGTTACCTGGTAGTGCATGCCGTGGTGCGTCAGGTTACCTGGTAGTGCATGACGAGGTGCATCAGGTTACCTGGTAGTGCACGACGAGGTGCATCAGGTTTACCTGGTAGTGCACGACAAGGTGCATCAGGTTACCCGGTAGTGCACGACGAGGTGCATCAGGTTTACCTGGTAGTGCACGACAAGGTGCATCAGGTTACCCGGTAGTGCACGACGAGGTGCATCAGGTTACCTGGTAGTGTACGACGAGGTGCATCAGGTTACCTGGTAGTGCACGACGAGGTGCATCAGGTTTACCTGGTAGTGCATGACGAGGTGCATCAGGTAGTCGTAGACCTCTCCGGCGAGGCGGCCCTCTGGCCTCCAGGGCACGAGCACGAACTGGATGCCGAGCAGCGGCACGAGGATGAGGGTGGCGCGCACCGCCTTCATGTACATGTTCGACTCGGCGCGGTGCGTGTCTTTCAGCTTGGTCACCAGCACGCGCACGATGTTCAGCAGGAAGAACAGGTTCACCTGCGAGGCGGGCAGAAGGAGGGGGGGGCAGGTGCGTCGGAGAGGAGAGCGTTGTTGAAATGGGGGGGGGGGGTGAAGGTTAATTTCAAACCCTGTGATGCGTGACCTTGTTTAAAAGGGCAGGGGGACAGGATAGGGTCGGATATGTTGAACGCGTTGGCACGACGCGGTCAATGTTGAACAAACGGTAAACAAACGTTGAACTGAACGGGTAATGATGACGGCGGTGCGATCCGTGCGTTTGTCCGCCGTTGAGGAATGGCTGCTGTGACGCCCATCGCTTAATTGTTGTGCAGGCGCGCCTCAAGTCAGTTTAACGCGACCAATATCATCCATAATACAGTTTTTTTTTGGGTGAGATCGCGTAAATATATTAATCTGCGTTTCTGCGGCCGTCTGGAACGCTCTTCCTTCTGATAATTAAAAGGCCACTGGAGCTGTGCACTTTTAAATGATCCAGATTAAATGATCCAGAGTGAAAACGCAGTTCTCTAGGACTGCTTATTGTGTTTTGTTTGTTGTCCTTCCACCACACCTCCGATTAGCGTGGTTGGCTACGTACGATATGAAAGAAGTTTAATATACACACATACATACATATCTGCATTTCCCATAAATATTCTAAATTTCTATTGATATGCAAATTCCTTTGTCAAGGCGCTCTTCCCCCTCCAACCCAGCTTAAATATACGCTGCCAAGCCTGGTGGTGTTCATTCAGACGCTGTCTTTTCGACAGACCTGTTCTTCACATGAGGACGGCTGCTTGCGTTGTGGCCGAAACGTCGTGAGAATTATTTTATTATGTTTTATTTTTATTATTTTATTATTTCCCTTCTACGTGACTTTAGAACCAAGAAGATACATACAGTAGTTCAGTGAATCGATACACACTTAAGGCTCGTCCATAATAGAGGTTTTTGGGTTAGATCGCGTAAATATATAAATGTGTCGTTAAACCCGCCACCACCCAACACAGCCAATTAGTAAGGTTTGTCACGCAAACAGAACGTGCCAATTCGTTACTAGTACAGCACACCGGAGTGTTGGAGAGCCAAGATTGTAAATGTTGTGACTTGGGAGGGCTCTAACCCCTGAAACCCCCACCACCCCCTGACACTACGTGCCTGGGGACCATTATGGGTGTCCGTAGATGACCATCCGATCATCCTCATTGTCATAGTTATCATCATCATCAAATCTTTAAGCTAATTACTTGGTGATGCTGCTGCATTGGCAGTGGCGCACGAGCACAAACAACATCAGCAACACAATTTGAGTACATTCGTCAATGACCCCGCCTTAAAAGGACAAATAGCGTGTAAAATGGGTGACGTTATGGGCAACGGCCCTCCTTTATAGCATGTACCTAAGCCAGGTGACAAACCGCCGAGATCACGGTCCCCCCTTTGTCCAAGGGAGACTCAGGTGCGGAATTTAATTCTCGATAAAAAATCAAATGTAACAGCTAACGAGTCAACGTTCGACTCGTCGACGTGTAACGCGGCGTTGTCTACAAACGGAAGCGGGTGTTTCAAGTGTGTGTGAACGTTGATGGTCTGCATTGTACCATTTTGGTAATTAATTCGACAGATATTTCACAGGATATGCGCAGAGCAATCCGCTGGACCGACCAAAGTCTTGTGGGTTATGTAAAATGACCCTTGACGGATACTAAGTTGAAGTTCCAAATGTGTTTTGTTTCCCTAGGAGAGAACTTAAGAGAGCATGATGCGTCCCATTTCCAAGAGTGACCTAAGATGTATGTACGTATGTTAAACTTCTTTCGCACCGCACATAGTCAACTGTGATAATTGGGGGTGCAGGGGAAGGACAACAAACTAATCACAATATAATTTCTTAAGAAATAAGTTTCAATCTAGATTTAAAAGTCCATAGCCCCAGTGTTTTTCTAATACCCTGTTATTTGCAGTGGAGTTTAGTAATAATAACACTAATAAATATTCTTAGGTTTTTTCGGTAAAGTCACGTAGGTAAAAACATTAAAAAGTAAAATAAAATAAAAATAAAAATCACGACGTTTCGGAGGCAACACAAGCTTCCGTCTTCAGGTGGTACCGTCACAGCCACGACAGCTGTATCAAGTAAATGAGAGATTGCAGGAGTTACCACTGCGTTTATATAATGTTTTTACCTATGTGACTTTACCGAAAAAACCTAAGAATATGAATCATTGCAGTCACGAAAGCTTCAAATCTAGAACTAGTAAATATAGCTGTCTTTTACTGATGGGCCTGCTGTGTTTTGCACAATGCACGTTGAGCATGGTAACACGCACGTATACCTGGGGAGCGGTGATGGCGCAGGTTCGCACAGTAGAACGTTTGGCCACTTCCATTATCGCGTGTTCTGCATCGTAGGCCAGACACTCTTTATTGTGTCATCCAAAGCGGACAAAAAGGCTTAACTTTTTGTCCGACTGCTGATAGCACTTTTGGGATATAACCGGTGAAAAAACGCACAGGTGTCTATTTACACGTATATTGAAAAAAAAGTGAAATACAACACGAAGACTAGGATTGACAGGTAATATCCTCTCCGGCAAACACATCTCGCCAGTCAATTATCCACAACCGTGCGACGCATCGTGGCATTTGGAGACCCGTGCGCACGCGCGTCCATGTCGTATTCTCGTGCATGCGGCGCAGGCTAATGCGGTTGACGTCTCGCGGTCCTGGAATACATTTCGAGGACCACCCCCACCACCCACTGCCCTTGCGAATTCAACAGAGACGGTGCCTCTACGGTATGGCGGCCTCCCCCCCCCCCCCCCCCCCCCATGGCGCCTGGTCACGTGTTTCGACCGTGTCTCTGCCGTAACCCGACACTGCAGCCCATGAGCCAAGGTGGATCCGCCGGGTCAATACCACCTGGCGTGGCACGTAAATGCTACACGAGGGGGTCCACCATGGGCAGTGTCCACCATGGGCCATGCCCACCATAGACAGAAGACACTGTTTGTTTTATGGCCACAATTAATGTAGATTTTTTTTTTATATTCCATGAAAGTTTCATATCACGTGAAATTATATTCATGTAGAATACCTTTTTTGTTGTTGACTTTTTCCTCTCGTAAAAAGCTACCGCATTGACCCTGCTGTCGTACTTATTTGTTATCTGGAGATTATGTTGCTACCCTAAGTGGTCACAATAAGCCAATTTTGGCCCAACAAGCTCAAGGGGCTTACTTGGGTTCGCGTAATTTGACGTCTCTGCCGCCTACGGCACCAAATTTCAGGATGTGACAATTACCGTGATATAAGGTTTCCCACATCTCTGTAATTGTATTCACGATATGGGAACCTCATTTGCCAGTAAAAATATGATAATTGTTTTTTTACCCTTCTATCTGGCAACAAAACTGACACCTTTTTACAAGGAGTCATGTTTGCATAGACCGCAATACCTGCAGTCATAATACAAACAAAAGAACATAACTCTGATAATGTGCACTGTCCTTGAAGTTGATTGGTCCACACCCGAGACAGCTTTCCTTAGAGCCTAGTCTCACATGGGTTGGACCAGATGACGCCAAAAGGCGCACAACTCAAAGACAATGCACCATTAGAGTATGAGAGCTCGGGGCAAGCATCTACACTATGGGAACCTCATTTGCCAGTAAAAATATGATAATTGGTTTTTTACCCTTCTATCTGGCAACAAAACTGACACCTCATCTGGTCCAACCCATGTGAGACTAGGCTCTAAGGAAAGCTGTCTCGGGTGTGGACCAATCAACTTCAAGAACAGTGCACATTATCAGAGTTATGTTCTTTTGTTTGTATTATGACTGCAGGTATTGCGGTCTATGCAAACATGACTCCTTGTAAAAAGGTGTCAGTTTTGTTGCCAGATAGAAGGGTAAAAAAAACAATTATCATTGTATTCACGATGTTTATTGCATCGTTGGTTGGGCTTCTCAGTACTTCATTGCAGGAATAAAAATCACTTGAAAGTTGCCCCAACTGGAGTTCCCTCGAAGGACAAAAGCATCGCACGTGCGAGTTGCATTGAAATAATTAAATGACGGTAGCGACCGCCATAAACGGCGGCGTCAATTTACTCCGGGAACAACAATTTGCAAAAGTACCAATTGAATGCACAATAGCCCTACCTGTTTACAATTCTGACCACAGCGAGGCATTTGTCATTTGATACAAAAAAAAAACATGGGGACATATAACGAGCTTTGATTTAAACGAGCAAAATTGGTTGCAGAGGTGAGTCAGTGAATCGGAACCTCCTCGACTTACGAACACAATTCTTTCCTGGAGCCCGCTCGTAAGTGCAACGGTTCGGAAGTCGGTACACAGCAATCGAATGTATATTTAAATGTCCACACAAACACTCACTCCCAGCACGAGGCCGACTCGTTAAATCTCGCGGAGGATCGCTCGGCTCAACTAAATAGTGGCGCGGTTCAATTTGCAAGTGCGAGTCAATGTTCAAAATTATATTTCCTGGAAGCTGGTTGATAAGTGTGGGTGTTCGTAAGTCGATGACGAACTGTATTGATTTTTTTTAACCCACTGAGCTATGTAGCTATTTTGCAGAAATCACCTGGGAAAAATGATAGCTCAATAAAGTGGCTTATCATTTGGAAATGTATAGCAGCCAAATACTCTGAAGGCATGTTTCTGTGTGTATGTTTAAATAATTCTTCTTTGGTTCTTTCGGTAAAGTCACGTAATAAAGATAAAATAATAAATTAAACAGTATGCTAGTATTTAATTTAATTTATTATTTTATCTTGATACGTGACTTTACCAAAAGAACCAAAGAATAATTCCTGCTGTCACGAAAGCTCCAAATTAAGTTATGTATGATCAACATCGATTCGCACCGTACGTAGGCAACCGCGCGAATCGGAGGTGTGGATTTTCCTCCGGGTCCTCCCGTTTTGTCCCTCCACATTTAAAATGTATTTGGCCGCTATAAATTTCCACGCGATAAGCCACTTCGTTGAGCTATCATTTGTGATAGCGAGGTCGCTTCAGAAAAAGAGCTACATAACCCAATGGGGGCCTGACCTGGTGAAATAAAAAAGTTTCTAGTTTTTACATAAATGTGAGCGCGATTTTTTCGGCTCTCACGATACATTGAAGTATCACCATATCGTCCGAACACTACCCCCGACAACTTTGCCTCTGCTCTGAGCAGGCCCACCCACTGCACCGCTCTTACTTGGCAGCTGCACCCCCCAGACCACCTCCCACAACCACCACCAAACCAGCATGTGTGTGCGAGTGTGTCTGCCTACCTGAGTGCGTCTATGGGGGAAGGGTAGCGTTAGTGGGTAGCGCACTGAGCGAGTTTGATTCCCTCTCTCGATCAATATCAACGACGAATATCTGAACCCGTCCTGGGCTTCCCATAGGTCCACTCAGCCATAAATGAGTACGGAGCGTGGTGTGCAAACATCAGCGGTGAGGAAACAAAGCAGCCTGGCATGATGCTGGCCATCTGCCGTCTCCCCCTGTGTACCATGCCGGCCTTAATAGGCGCTCGCTGACAGCACTTGCCCCAACGGTCTGTCAAAGGCTATATGGGGATATTTGTCTTTGTGTGTCCCTGACAACTCTGCCCGCGGCTTCTCCTTCCACAGCAGAGGTCGCAACCGGGTACCCGATACCCGTACCCTACCCGATACCCGGCTACCCGTACCCGGCCGGGTACAAGTACCCATTTGTGACCCTGGTGCGGCTGGGTACGGGTACGGGTAGGCTGTGAGTCACTGGTGAGTAACTGTTTGTCACTCATTTCCCAACGTCTTGTCTCTTCTCACAATTCAAGTTCCTAGAATCAACCCACCCGCGCCTGCAACATGACTTCATCCCAGAGGTCGCAATCAGGTACCCGATACCCATACCCTACCCGTACCCGGCCGGGTACGGGTAGGGTTACGGGTACAGCCGGGTACGGGTACCCGTTTGCGACCCTGGTGCGGCCGGGTGCGGGTAAGGAATCAAAACCCGTTTGCGACCTCTGTTCCACAGTGGAGCACCGCCAGCCTCTCGGCCTGGCGGTTAACGGGGTGAGACGGGTGGAGGAGAACAGGTCCAACAAAGCCTCCAAGGTCTCAGTCGGCAGCCGACAAGAGACGCGGTGCTTTGTCATAACAGCAGCCGCGGCCAATTTTGACAAAGTGCCGTGGCGTCAAGGCTTCCGCGATTTAGAAAAATTGCCACGGAAAATGCTCCTTCTTGTCTTATGCGAGCAGCCGGTATTCGAATCCTCTCTTTTTTTCTCTTTCTCTCTCTCTCCCCATCTCCGGACGGACTCCGATTTGTATTCAGCAAATGTTTTGGCTAGGTACACAATGGAAAACTTGAAGTTAAATTATCTATGCCCATGACGGGCCGAAGGCCGAGGCCTGGGGAGTTGGGCGGGGGGGAAGGTTGCCATGGGGATACACGGCGAGAGCAATGGCAGCGTCTCAAATGTCTCACTTCATCTAGCTCAGAGGTCGCAACCGGGTACCCGATACCCGTACCCTACCCGATACCCGGCTACCCGTACCCGGCCGGGTACGGGTACCCGTTTGCGACCCTGGTGCAGCCGGGTATGGGTAGGCCGTGAGTCACTGGTGAGTCACCGTTTGTCACTCATTTCCCAACGTCTTGTCTCTTCTCACAATTCAAGTTCCTAGAATCAACCCACCCGCACCTGCAACATGGCTTCATCCCAGAGGTCGCAATCGGGTACCCGATACCCGTACCCTACCCGATACCCGGCCGGGTACGGGTAGCCGGGTATCGGGTAGGGTACGGGTACCCGTTTGCGACCCTGGTGCGGCCGGGTATGGGTAAGGAATCAAAACCCGTTTGCGACCTCTGGTCCAAGCTCGAGGGTATTCTCGAGATGGATTCCGCGTTGGTTAGGAGATATTAACTATCTCGCCTGGTATACAGGAGGTCGTGGGTTCGATCCCCACTCTGGCAATGCCTGCATATTTGCATGTCTCTCTCCCCGTGGTTATGCGGATTTTTATTCGGGTTTTCCGGTTTCCCCCCCCCCCCCCCCACATTTATAAACATGCCATTAGATTATTTGGCTGTTATAAATTTTGACATGATAAGCCACTTCATTGGGCGATTATTTGTGCCCAGGTTGCTTCTGAAAAAGAGATATATAGTTCAGTGGGCCTTACCTTGGAAAATAAAAATAGTTTTATAGTTAAAAATAGTTTAGTGTAATCATAGAGACACTCGGTGGTGCCGATGAAGTTTTTCAAGTGCTGCTATCATCGTGAGGTCATCGACATCATCAGCCATGAGTAATCCACCGCTGGATGAAGAACTCCCCAAGTCGTCCCCATGCATGCATGTTTAACTTCTTTCGCACCGTATGAAGCCAACCGTGTGCTCATCGGAGGTGCGGGGGAAGGACAACCATCTAAACACAAAAAAGCAGCTCTGAGGAAAGATTTAAAAGCACGTAGCTCCAATGGCTTCCTCACAATTACTTTTCTCTCGCGGTTCTGCGACGCAGCAAGCCCAGTGTGATGGGCACACGAGACGATGTCATCGCTTCATCCCTTTCGGTAGAACGCCCCTCCCGGACGCATTCCATTCCTTGGCTTGCCGCTCCATCATTAATCTTGTCCGCCAGCCACTATCCCTTCGGGCGACGCGTCCTGCCCCAAAGCTCACATTGAATAATGTTTTTAGTCCACGTGTCCCTCTTTCTGCCTGTCAGTGTAATGCCATTGTGTGCATTGTGGGGTATTGATTTTTGTCATATTTATTTATTTTTGTTAGGATTTTATGACACAACAACATAGGCCCGTAACAACGCTTTTAGGTGACGTTAAAAACCGCACGGGGAAAAACTCGGGGGTCTCAGACCCGACGTGACCAGTTTGTATAAGACAGGGGAATTTAACCGCGGGTGTAAGGGGGGGGGGGGCAGAAAGGGGGGGTATCATCGTGGTGTATATAAAATCACCCAGAACAGCTGCTGGGATTTCTTTTTTTATTCTGGGGCGAACTCTTTGGCGACTAGGAACGAGAGCCGGCACAGTCAATGGAGCGAAGGCTGTCGGAGAGCGCGGCGATGAGCGGCGCATTACTCACCAGCAGCGCGATGATGTAGGGCGCGTGTATAATGTACAGCAAGTAGGTTTCAGAGCTGATCCAACATCTGTAAAACAGAGCGACACACGCGTACATGAAAGTTAAAGTCACGTGCAGGTAAAGGTCACCCACCCCCCCCCCCCCCCCCGTGCAGCCTACACAGGTTGATGGGGCGGCTATAAGCAAGCACCTATGAAGGGTGGCGTGGTGGACGATGGGGTGAGGGTTGCCAGCACGACACCCGACAACCTTTGTCGCCCGAGTGCTTTTGTTTACACACTGCGCCGAGAAACTCATTTAAGGCTGAGGTGACCAAGGGGAGATCCAGGGCCGGTTCAGACAATCGCCACCAATTTTAGCGCCCCGCCCAGCATCGAACTCACTGTCGTTAGGTTAAGAGCGTAGTGCGCTAACCACTGTGCCACCTCTCTTCTCAATTGTTGGGGTTTTAGTTTATTACGATTTTGGAAAAAAAGTAATGAGGTAGCAATTAGGAGTAAATGACCACTTCGCCCACGAGTACACATGCACGAACACACACACAACAACAACAGCCACTGTTCGCCACTAAGTGATGGTGATGTCACCACAGTACTTGTGCAGGACTGGGTGCACTTTAAGCTCAAATGGAGTCTGGAAGGCTCACGGACAGGCCGTCATAGGACAGGCCCAGGTGTTATGGGTTAAATGACTGAGATGACTGGGGATGCTTACACACCGCACCATGTACTCATGTGAGGCTGAGTCGACTTAGAGAGGAGGCCCAGGACCAGTTCAGATAATCTTCACTGGTGTTGGCCGTGAGTGGGAATCGAACTCGGGCCACCGGGTTTCGTAGTGCAGCGCACTAACTGCTACACTACCGCTCCCGGTAACAATCAGACACACGGATTACAACAGCCGCAATCTTTCAAAATAACCGCAGTACAATTGTCAAAATTGCATCACATACTCTATATTAGGCACAATTGGGTGGCTTGTAGCTCGGCGAATTTGGGAGAGATTGGGGGTTCCCCAACGTCACGAGGAATAAGGTGGCACCTGGCGGGCAGCGGAGTGCCGTGGGGAGACAGCACTCGAACTTGTCGTTATAACAGACAGATCTGATGTCGTTATAACAGACGCATCTGATGTCGTTATAACAGACGGATCTGATGTCGTTATAACAGACGCATCTGATGTCGTTATAACAGACGGATCTGATGTCGTTATAACAGACGGATCTGATGTCGTTATAACAGACACATCTGATGTCATTATAACAGATGCATCTGATGTCGTTGTAACAGACGCATATGATGTCGTTTAAATAAATGGTTATCTTGATAATTGTTTTTTTACCCTTTTATCTCGCAACAAAACTGACACCTGTTTTTTACAAGGAGTCATGTTTGAATTGATCGCAATACCTGCGGTCGGAATGCAAACAAAAAACACAACTCTGATAATGTATGCACTGTCCTTGAAATTGATTGGTCCACACCCGAGACAGCTTTTCTTAGAGCCTAGTCTCACATGGTGTTGGACCAGATGACGCCAAAAGGCGCACAAGGCACACAGTTTTATTGCCAGATAAAAGGGTAAAAAAAAACAATTATCATATTTTGCTACTGGCAAAGGAGGTTCCAATGGTGAGATGGATATCTTGTCGTTATAACAGACATCTCTTGTCATTATAAGACATATCTCTTACTTGTCCTTATAACAGACAGATATCTTGTTGTTATAACAGACGGACCTCATGTCGTTATAACAGACAAATCTCTTAATTCATAATCATAATCAAAGTTTTTGGGTTTAGATCGCGTTATTTATAAATGTGTCGTAACCCTCCACCACCTGACACGGCCAATCAGTAAAAAAGTGTCACGTTGACAAAAGACAAATAGTTCACTGCTTTAGCCCACCGGTGTGTTGAAGCGTGAAACCACAACATTTACAATTTGAGTACGACGTTTCGATGGTAATTGCATCCAGCATCATCGGGCAATTCGCCAGAATGGTGAGGCTCTGCTGTGTCTCCCGTTCTTATATAGAGCAGCAGCATTTATAAATAACGCGATCTAAACCCAAAAACGTTGATTATGAATAATATTGGTCGCGAAAGCCCTACGTGTCAAACCAAATCTCTTAATTGTCGTTGCAACGGACGGATCTCTTTCTTGTCCTTTCAAAAGACGGATCTCCTACTGGTTCTTATAACAGACGGATCTCTTACTTGTCGTTGTAATAGACGGATCTCGCCACGGCGTGTATGACGGCAGGGACCAATGGGAAAACTGCAGACACAGTGGGCAAGAGAAACAGACAATCACCCTGCAACGGATAGTGCGGATATGAACGCAAGTCGGCCGTATGCATGTACAGTAAGGTCTCAGAGTATGCGGGGGTTAGGTTCCGTATTACCCCCGCGCAAGCATGAATTAGCTTAAATTGGGGTTCGCCTATACGAGCGTAGTGTATAAAATGTAAGAGTGTATATTTAATCTGTATAAATGTACATAAATGTTGAATAAAGTACAGCACTGTAGAGTCCATTATTCACTAATTATTGCTAGCATCCAGGTGAGATAGATCACTGGATTATTATCTTTCGATTTAACGCTTTCGTGACTGCAGGGATTCATATTCTTGGTTCTTTCAGTAAATAATACAAATAAAACATCATATAATAAAATTATCACGACGTTGCAGCCACAACGCAAGCAGCTGTCTTTCCGACAGGTCTATTTCTACACCTGAGGACGGATGCTTCTTGCGTTGTGGCCGAAACGTCGTGAGAATTTTATCATATTATGTTTGATTTTTATTATTTTAGTATTTCCCTTCTACTTGACTTAACCGAAAGAACCAAGAATATGGATTATTACCATTAACACTCCATTATTAACACTGGATTAGAACACTCGATACGGTTACACGGCGCCAAACACACGTTCACGTCACGGCGGCGGGCGATTTGAATCCTCGCTTCTCACGCCCTGTGCGTGTAGCGAAAGTACGAGTTTACAAATCGAGGTCGCTCGCGAACGAGCTGGGTCCGTGTATTCCGAACCGCCGTGCTCTTGAGACCTTGCTGTATGCTGAACTTCTTTCGCACTGCACACAGCCAACCGTGCTAATCGGGGGTGCCGGGGAAGCACAACTAATTGAACACAAAAAGCACACGTACACGCATACACAGCGGTCAAGAGTATAGGAGGGAAAATCACCGTGCAATACGTCGCGCGGATATATATTAACACGATATGAAAAAAGTAAGAATAGGTTTTACCCTATCTGGCACTAAAACAGGAGTTGTGTTAAGATGTTCAAACACCCAAGATAAACCTTTTGCAAGGAATAAAGTTTGCATTAAGCGCGTGTACTTGTGGTGAATATGCATAAAACATGCTCTTATATTTGCATTGTCTTTGAAACTGATTGGTCTACACCAGAGACAGTCATCTTTAGGGCCTAGTCTCACCAGTGCCAGACCAGAGAACGCCAAAAGATGAAGAGTACAAAGACAATGAATTTCGATTTAAAGCTTTCGTGACTGCAGGGATTCATCTTCTTGGTTCTTCCGGTAAAGTCACGTAGAAGAGAAATAATAAAATAATAAAAATTAAACATTATTAAATAATTCTCACGACGTTTCGGCCACAACACAAACAGCCGTCCTCAGGTGAAGAACAGGTCTGTCGGAAAGACAGCGTCTGAATGGATGCTGTCTTTCCGACAGACCTGAATGGACGCTGTCTTTCCGACAGACATGTTCTTCACCTGAGGACGGCTGCTTGCGTTGTGGCCGAAACGTCGTGAGAATTATTTTAATTATGTTTTATTTTTATTATTTTATTATTTCCCTTCTACGTGACTTTACCGAAAGAACCAATTAGACAATGAATGCATTAATATCTCGGGGTGAGCAGCTACAAAACGGGATCTATTCTTTTTTTTTGCATACTTTTGTTGCTGGCAAAAAGGGTCCCACGTTAACACAAGTCAGCTCACGCATTTTAACGGCTCGGGACCCCCCCCCCCCCTTGTCCCACACCTCTAGATGTATGGATGCTGACGACAGCAGACTGCACCACGTGCCCTAAACCCGCGCGCGCGGCCCGTAATTGTCGCCAAGTGACGGGATGGCCGGAAATAAATATTTCATGTGCAATGAAACTGTTGCCGCACATTAAACGTGACGCGCGCGTGTGTGTGTGTAATAAAAAAAGAAGAGAGTTGTCCACCATTTGTTCAGAAACATATATACACGGTGTGCAGTGCCGGATTATCCGAGTAGCAAAAGTAGCTACATATGTTGCTATGGGCCCCGCACTTTCAAGGTGCCCAGCGCTAAATGCTTTCAAGCTATCAATTCCGGTTCAGTGATTCTGCACTTGCTCTATTACTATAGTATTATACTGCCTTCAACTTTGATGAACGACTGGGTGTTTAAGGTTAGCGATTTATCGTATTATCTGGCTGTATAACAAATGAAAAAATACAAGTAAATATTGACTTAAAGCTTTCGTGACTGCAGAAATTCATATTCTCTGGGTCTTTCGGTAAAGTCAGGTAAAACAAAAAAATTGTCCAAAAAACTACGACGTTTAAGGCCCCTTTATAACATATGCTACAGGACCCGCACTAGCTTACTCCATCACTGACGGTGTGTATTACACGTGGAGCACCTCGGGATGCATTTGAATTTAACACGATATGAACAGACATGTACTGTAGGTGTTTATAGCTATACATACACAGTGTAGATGTACAATGCGATTGCTTTGTATCGGATAAACAAGTGCCATACGCGCCAACAATAATAATAGTGACCACAAAGATTATTTTGGAAGTGCTAAGTTGAAGAGATTGGTGAGAATAAATAAAGGAATAAATAAATTAAGCGGAACTGGGCAGGACAGGTGTATTGACCACAGGGGGTTTTTACCTGTACCTGTGTTCGTGGCATTAGACAAGAGGCGTACATCATGGGGACAGCTGACGAGAGGTGAGAGACAAAATAAGATAACCCGTAAAAACAAAGTTTTTCACTATAAATCCTTTATATGCGTGGCGACTAGAGTCTTCTCGTCATCTGGCTTGAGATGGCTGCCACCTATGGGTCAGATGATTGTCTGGCAGCATTAAGCAATTGGTAATTAAATATTTTTTTTTCCTAAACAGTGTAAATTTTGGAAAAAATTTTTTCACGAAAATGCATTGTCACGCACAACGAGTCTGTGTGCAAAATGTCAGCTCGATTGGATCACGGGAAGTGGGTTAAAAAACGACCGAAAGATTTGCACGGTCCTAAGCAAGCAAGCAAGCGAACTTAATATAAAGGATTTAAAAACAACGATGCAGCGGAGACCCAGAGAGAGAGAGAGAGAAAAGGGCAGGGAAGCGGAGGGGGGGGGGCAGCGGAGGTGATGGCAAAGCGGCAGCAGAGAGACGCATGGCTGTTGGATAAGAGCAGCTGGAAAAGGGAGGAATGGGGAGACTGGGGGAGGCCTCTGCCCCGAACTTGAAAGTTACCGGCTTACAAAAATAACATATATATATCTTCTTGGTTCTTTCGGTAAAGTCACGTAGAAGGGAAGTAATAAAATAATAAAAATAAAACATGATAAAACAATTCTCACGACGTTTCGGCCACGCTGTCGCCTTGACAGACCTGGTTTTCACCTGAGGACGGCTGCTTGCGTTGTGGCCGAAACGTCGTGAGAATTGTTTTATTATGTTTTCTTTTTATTATTTTATTACTTCCCTTCTACGTGACTTTACCGAAAGAACCAAGAAGATGAATCCCTGCAGTCACGAAAGCTTTAAATCGAAACATATATAAAAAATATAAAGACCCTCTCCAATATAGCTTTAACAGACTGTTGGGGCAAGTGCTGTTATCGAGCACCTATAAAGGCTGCCACGGAACACGAGGGGATGGGTGGCCAGCACCAGCCCGGCCGCCTTTGTCTTCCCAGTGGTGATGTTAACACACCGCACCAGGTTTCTAATTTGAAGCTGAGACAACCTAGGGGAGGCCCAGGACCGGTTCAGAAAATCATCACTGGCGTCGGCCGTGAGCGGAAATCGAACCCGGGTTGCTGGGTTCGCAGCGCGGCACGTTAACCACTGCGCCACCGCTCCCCACTATTTATACACACACATACACGCAAACACACATAGCGCAGAAACAACATGTGTTTGTGTATATAAATCGTTTTTTCACCAGCTTTGGTCTACTATGGTTATTATAAAATGGGTGAAATAAATCAAATAAGTCAGCCTTGACAATGGCTGATAAATCAGCCGGCGGCAAAAAGGCCCGTCAATAAAAAAAAACTATTTACCAAAAAATTCATTTCAGAGCCCGTTAAAAATATGAATGTGCATGCATGTATGCGGTTACTGTACCCGAAATACGTGTGTGCGTGTGCTCGTGTGTGTGCCAGAATGCCAAGTTTCCCTAAGATGTCAAACACGATGCGTAAGTATAGTAAGGTGTAACAGAATACGGTGGTGTAAAATTAGACCGAACGCATTCCTGTGAGGTGAGTTATCTTCGGGAGTCTGACAAACCACAACACGTCTAACATTAGCCCAATAAGGCTCGAAATACGACAGAATTTCACGTGTGTACGCTTTCCCTTCGTATCAGAATCAGAGTCTTTATTTAGATTGGAGGAGGAATCCGATGAGCCAATAAGCTCCTTTTTCACAGATATCCAGTTCCCCAGCTCTGACACCGTCACGTCAACACGTTACCGTCACGAGCGAAGCCGTTAATTAAAACTCGGTATTAAATTTATACTTCCATTTTCTACAACTTTTACATTTAATGTTGCACGTGTTGTCCGCTTCATTACGTGACCCATTAAGTTTTAATTGCGAGTGTTCAAGCTTGGCATTTCCATTGCCGTGCCTTTTGAAGTTTAATTAATCATAGTTTATGCTGTAATAACAGCGACATTGCCCCTTCCATCTGGACCCATCCGGTTTGCAGAGTATGCCAATGCCACACAGGGCACGTGGGTCAGAGCTGCTCCACCAAGAGACCTTCGCCGATCCAACGTAAGCATTTCATTGGACAACACAATGGCAGTTTAACACGTAGGCCCTGCAATTGCTAGCAGAAGGGTCCTCCGCTAGGGCAAGCTATAAAGAGGTGTATTGGTCTATTCTTCCATCACTGGCCCATACGTCTTTTGCTGAGGTAGGAGTACTCACACTTTACCTTACCGCACGTGACCTGATGCTCAGCTAATTGCGGTGTACTTCTAGATTTGAAGCTTTCGTGACTGCAAGGATTCATACTCTTAGGTTTTTTCGGTAAAGTCACGTAGGTAAAAAAATAATAATAAAATAAAAAAAATTAAAATAGAAACAGTAAATTTAGCTGTGACGGTCCCACCTGAAGACATATACTTGTGTTGCCTCCGAAACGTCGTGATTTAATTTAGTTATTTTCATTTATTATTATTTAATTTTATTATTATTATTTTTTACCTACGTGACTTTGCGGTGTACTGTTGGGTGGACGAGAGGCGGTGTGTGGGGTGGGAGGAAGAGGGTGATTTAACTTGCAACCACTGTTTCAATTGCCGCGCCTGGAAATAGAATCGAACCGGCAACCTCCACAACAGAAGTTGGGAGGGGTACATATTTGCATTCACAAACGCCGAAAGCTGATGGTTTGAATTATACTATTCATAATTAGGAAACATGCATTGTAATTATGAAGTGTTTCATCTCCGTGTTCCCTTTGGGTGATAATTACAGAACATCTATATACATATAAAAACAAGTGCATACAGAACTATTAAACTATACACAAATTCAGTGGCAAAAAAAGGTTAATGAGAAATAGTAATTACGTCTAATTTGCGGGTCATTGCAAATGCGGGGATTTCCTGACCCTGAAGACAAGGAGAGGCTTCAACACTTTACCAAACATCGGGGCTTATTTATCACTTGCTATTTGCCGGAACACTACTCGGCTGGCTTTGGGATTATTATCCGTAATAACAGTAATAACTCCACGTTATTGTGCCATATATTCTTCTTCTTGGTTCTACCGAAAGAACCAAGAAGATGAATCCCTGCAGTCACGAAAGCTTTAAATCCATATATTCTTATCATCCTACGAATAGGTTTATGAGCAAAAAAAATAAAAAAAATATAAAAATATATTAAACAATTCCTCAGATGGCATTCCGAACTGTTCCGAGTTAAATTCTGCGCGGCAGCCTAAACGATGGCGAAAGTTTCTGAAATTCCCCCACGACGCCGTTGTCCACCAAGCGGTAAACACGGGGGTCACCGCTAGAGTTCGTCATTCGGCAGTCGCGTGCGATGGGGTAAAAGTGTGGCTACGCACATCCAACACCGTCTGGTCAACGTGGAAAAGTAGCCTCTGGGGTTTGCTCTCTCGCCAGCCAGTGGCTCGCGCAAGCAATTTCGGAGCTGCGCCTTATACCTTTTCTAACAGTCCAAGCCCTCACATTATCTTTGCACTAATCCAACATCTATCTTTGTGTCTCCCTCACTCACCCCCGACGTCTCCCAAACCCTTCCTTCCCCCCTCCCGCATCCCCCCAAACCCCATCTCCTCCTCTGTGCCGGCAAGTGCTGCCCGTGTGTGGTATTAGTATTTGCGACAAGGTGCCAGGGGCTAAGTAAATACCACCGCAGGGGCAACAGCGGGGCCCAAAGCCACGTGCCTCTGAGGGGGACATGGAGGTACCGGCGGTGGGAAACAGGGGGGGGGGGGGGGAGAAGAGAGGAGATGAGGGGAGGTAGGGATGGTGGGTGGGTGGTGGTGGGTGCAGGCATGTCACTCAAAACCACAGCGAGCCGAAAGCGAACACGAAAAAAAAACGGAACGTGCCCTCGCGCGCGTTGCTATTGTGAGCGTCGGGCCGACGAAAACCCGACACCCGGTGCTGGCAGCGGTGGCGGCGGCGGCGGCGTCCAAAAATAAACGAGAAAGAGAGAGAAAGACGTCCTCACCCCAGCCGAGGAGGTAGTACCATACGAGGTGTTGCTTCTCCGAGAACACGGCGACCACGATGAGCGTGTGTAGGTAAATCCCCTCGCACAGCATCCAGAAGTAATTGCAGCCGTTCAGGTACTGCTGGAGAAACTGGAGGACTTTGCACTCGACCTAGAAAGAGAGAATTTCACGGATTCAGAACAATTTTGCCACGCTTTTTTTCCACCAACCCTCCTCCACCCCCACCACCCATCTCTCTCCCTTTCTCTCCAAAATATCCTCTCGCTGCGTCTAATTCATTCGCAATGCCCAAAGGTGACGTCAAACAACAACTTCGATTTGGAAGGACTTCTCCGTCTCGTCATTTTACTTCGTGAAGTTGCCTCGCAGCAAAAGAGGATATACGTTAAATTTCGATTTAAAGCTTTCGTGACTGCAGAGATTCATCTTCTTGGTTCTTTCGGTAAAGTCACGTAGAAGGGAAGTAATAAAATAATAAAAATAAAACATAATAAAATCATATTATTTTAAGTAATAAAATAATAACAATAAAACATAATAAAATAATATTATTTTATTATGTTTTATTATTATTATAAACTAAAAAATAAAACATAATAAAATAATATTATTTTATTATGTTTCATTTTTATTATTTTATTACTTCCCTTCTACGTGACTTTACCGAAATAACCAAGAAGAGGTTATACGTTTCGAGCCTTGACCGCTCTGCATGCACGGGCAGGTTTTTACGCAGGGCAATGTTTGGCGAACGTACAATGATGTATATTCAGCTCAATAGACATGACATTAATTGGAGGTATGAAGATTCACCCCCTTTTTCTCCCCTTCCCCCCCCCCCCCCCCACTGTTGGGCAAACGTTGCCATATGGTTGGAACCGTTGGTTCCATAAGCAGGGTCGCGATTTGACTCAAGAATCAATTATAATTTGTTTTTTGCACTCCGGTGAATGGTGGCACCTCCAGAGCAGAGGTCGCAAACGGGTTTTGATTCCTTACCCCTATCCGTACCCGGTGGCATCAGGGTCACAAATGGGTACCCGTACCCGGCCGGGTACGGGTACCCGTTTCCTACCCGTACCCGTACCCTACCCGAAATGAGTGACAAACGGTTACTCACCAGTGACTCACGGCCTACCCGTACCCGTACCCGGCCGCACCAGGGTCACAAACGGCTACCCGTACCCGGCCGGGTACGGGTAGCCGGGTATCGGGTAGGATACGGGTATCGGGTACCCGGTTGCGACCTCTGCTCCAGAGGCTGCAGACTAAAGAAACTTTCCCATAGTTTCCACCGCAGCGTCGGCAAATCGAACTGGCGACCTCTGGGTATCACCCCCGGTGCGCTAACCATCACACCGCAGCAGCAGCAGCAGCATCCCCATTACTGTGCACATATTGTGTCGCGGAATAATCAACGGCGGTGTTCGGGTGAAGCGCTGCATACTGGAAAATGCCAAAGCAAATTTTTATCTACATGAACTTTCAATATCCCCATTCTCAAGCCGTCCTTTTCGCGCCCCCCCCCCACCCACCCACCTACCGCCCCCCTCTCATGAATACGTATGTATTATTTATAAATAGTGCGTGCGGGTGAAGCCACACGCGTGTACGTGCTCGGCGCACGGTCCCAAGCCACATAAATCACATTTTGTCCCGCAGCAGCCAATCCCGGGAATAATGCACGACGGAGCGTGGTTCGTCGTGCCACACGCACGCGCGGAGATTATATTTAACCCTTCGCTGACAACCGTGGCTTCGCTTTTTTGGCCTCCGGTTCAACAACGCGAACTTGATCCGGGCTGCAGAATTCGGCGCGTAAAAAAGTGGCAGAAAATACTGGGGGGGGGGGGGGGGGGGAGGGGGGGCTTCGCTGGACATGAACAGGATCGCTTTGAGGCTGTAATTATTTTGTGGTCTTCCCTCGAGCCAAAATACACTCCCCGTATGCAAACATCGCTGCGACGCCCCACTGTATTTCGGTTGGGTTCCTCCCCGCCAAGGCCCAGCATTTTACGCATTTGTGTTCAATTACATGCGGCGACGATGTTGTTGTTGTTGTTTGAGGATCTCGCTGTGTTATGCGTTCCGCTTACAGCCCTATGAGAAGTCTGAGAGGGATTTCTCACTCAAAATTAGCACCACCAAGGCATTGGTGGTGCTCATCTCCAATGTTGCAGCCCTGTGTGTGCGGTGGAACTCCAACATCGCCTGTGGCAGGTTGAGTCTCTCCGCGGGACAACTGCTGTTTACTGCGTCCGCACAATGTGCTACGCATTTTATCGAACCCAGAGGGACGATGGGCCAATTCCAGCCCCCAACCAGGCTTTGAACTGTCAAGCGTGCCGATTGTTATACTCACTGAGCCACAAGGCTCACGACGTCTTCGCATGTGGTAGTTATGCTTCGAATTAGCATGGACTGGGTGTCTTTTCGGTTCAACCGAACAGGAACGAAACACAACATTTCAATAATTCACAGTGCGCCGAATTTACCGACCGTCGCAAATCCCAACCGCCGTCCGGCATTAGAACTCTCGACCGTTCCGAGTTCTCTTGCTCCACTGCTGGGAGAGACTAACTGCACGTCCCCCCGTTTCAGCGCCCTCGCGTGCAATTGAGCACGATGCGTATCGCGTACAGCTGTACAGTGGCTGACAATACGGGTGCATTTAAATTCTCCGTGAATGCAAACCGTGTTGTGGCGAAATGTTATGCAGATGACGGGAATTGGTGTTATGCATTCTCCCCCCCCCCCCCCGTCGCAGGCGGTCCCCGCATGAATGCACGCGCTCGTGGATAATACTGCCTTGTTTGATTAATGCAAGGCCACACGCGCGTGGCTATTAATTTAGTTAATGAGGTTGATCATTATGCTATTTTGCTCTTGCGCCTATATGCCAATGTTTAGCCTTTGGTCAGACATTAAAACCCAAGTGCGTAGCCCGTGGACGTGCAAACTATTAACGTTGCCGCTGCTTGTTGCCAACCGCTCCTCCTGGGCGGTCTAGCGGCGGTGAGTTCGCCTCTTGCTGCACACGCTCGCGGTTCGAGTCCGGCGGCCGCCCTGGTTAATTTAGAGTTGTTTGGCTGCTATATATTTCCACGTGATAAGCCACTTCATTTGTGGCCAGGTCGCTTCTGTAAAAGGGCTACATAGCTCAGCGGGGGCCTTACTTGGTAAAATAAAACATTCTTTAGTTTAAAATAGTTTAGTAAACAACCGCGATACTACGTGAACGTCTACCGCTTAACAGCGCACAGCCTTAACGTAACGCGCAACAGTAAATCCACTTTTGTGCCGACGTCAAGAGCTCGGATTCGAAAATTACCCCGCAAATTACTCAATTGGGGACAAGGCAAGAGAAATATTCACGCCCTACTGGCAGATTAATGCCGCAGGTCACTTTCTGCGAATGAGACTCATACTGGTCTCTTGAGTGTTCAGCTGGTTAAACAAGATAAACGTAACACCTCCGTTTAGGTAAAGGTGCAGCCCTGAAATCGCTTGCTCACACCACTGCTATGTGGAAAGTTGTCCACGAGAGAGTCCTCTAGAGGAAATAATTGGTACCAGGTCAAAGTACCCACCCTTTACCCCACCACACGTGACCTGCCGATCGATCGATTGCGGAGTACCCATTTGACCGTTTCGCATCATCCACGCTGACACTCGCCCATGCTGCACATTTTTTATTTTTTAATTTGAAGCTTTTGTGACTGCAAGGATTCATACTCTTAGGTTTTTTCGGTAAAGTCACGTAGGTAAAAAATTAATAATAAAAGTATAAATGAGAGAATTAAAATGATAAATCACGACGTTTCGGAGGCAACACAAGTCTCCGTCATCAGGTGGGACCGTCACACCTAAATTTGATATAGTAAATTATACAAATGATACTTGATACAGTAAATTTAGCTGTGACGGTCCCGCCTGATGACGGAGACTTGTGTTGCCTCCGAAACGTCGTGATTTATTACTTTATTTCTATTATTATTTCTATAATTTTTACTTTTATTATTTATTTAGTTTCCTACGTGACTTTACCGAAAAAACCTCAGAGCATGCTGCACATCTGTGAAAAGGAGCTTCAAACCTCATCAGATTCCTCCAGTCTCAACCAAGATTCTGAATCTGCGGTCAGAACGCTTCTATTTAAAACTTTCGTGACTGCAGGGATTCATCTTCTTGGTTCTTTCGGTGAAGTCACGTAGAATTAAAATAATAAAATAAATAAAATAAAACGTAATAAAACAGAGTTTCAGACGTTGTCTCCTCGACAGACCTGTTCTCCACCTGAGGACGGATACTTGCGTTGTGGCCGAAACGTCGTGAGAATTAATTTTTTACGGTTTATTTTTATTATTTTATTATTTCAATTCTACGTGACTTTACCGAAAGAACCATGAAGATGAATCCCTGCAGTCACGAAAGCTTTAAATCGAAATGTTATAGTGCTGTTTGTTGCTGGCCATGTGGCGTCTTGGGACCTTCGCGGCTATTAAAAAAAAAACACATTTCTATATATACCAGAGACCGATGAAGGCTATTTTTCAGCTATCTATAGAGATCATAGATCCATGAAGTGCCCTTGAAATAGCAGGCTAAAGACAAGTCAGCGTTACTCTCTGCGTGGTGTGCGGTTTTGGGAGCGCGCGTTTTTATTATTTATTTCAATGTTATGGCAGCCAAATTCATTCCACCGTGCGTTCGTCTACAAATTCATTTAGTTTGCAGTACAGAAGCTCAAGGGATAGCACTCAGGGCAAGATGTTTCTTTTGCATGTTGAAATTAAAACCTCTTAGCTCTGATTAGTGTCTCCAAGTTCTGGGAAATCCCTTGGATCGATGTGGCCACTTTTTAATGGTGTAAGTCTGTAATGGCGACACAACTTTATACCACAGGTTCGTTCTAATTGGATCATCTTTAAGATAATTGTCATGCTCCCCCCTTATCGAAAGAGATAAAACAACATTAGTGTTCTCAACCTTTGTTGGACAGCATCCAAAAAAAAACAATGCCCCTTTTCCATTGGCACACCCGAGACGAGCGAGCGTGGGGTCGCCATGGTACAGGCAGCTTTTCTACTGGCTACTTGCTGTGCCAAGCCTGAACAAAACCGTGCTACACTGGCCTCACAGGACATCTAAATCAGGCTGGGGAGCCAAGCAGGGCCAGGGGCGGGGCTAACGACTGGCGTCTCCAACACGTCGTGCGTGGCTTTGACAGTGGAAAAACAACTCGGCGCCTGCTTAGCCGTGGCCGGGTCTGACACGGCACGGCCCAGTTATACAGTGGAAAAGAGATTGTGGTCTATACCAGTGTTCTTCATTGCAAGGCCCTGTGGGCCCCATTGGCGGCCCCTGATGGCCTTTAATGGGGCCCCTGACAATACACAAATGGTGAAAACACCCCCCCGCCACCATCATCATTGTGCTGCTGTCAAACCCCCAATGGTTTCAAATGTGTGGCGGCCCTCACACTGATGATGTCTTATCGGCGAAAGTTTCCTCCATCTGAAAATGAGTGAAGAACCCTGGCCTATACCCATAGGTTTAAGACCCCGTGCACAAGGAAAGGACCCAAAAGGCATCTTACAGGGTTGCTGGCTACGAGCTGCCTGTTGTTAGCCACCACGGTGAGCGAGATGATGGTGATGACGGAGTTGAGGATGTAGGAGCTGAAGAGGTTTTTGTGGAGCGTTATCCTTTGGCAGCTCAGGCTCCTGGAGACACACAAATCCACACCCACACACAACACACGCACGTGTGTAAGCACTCGGCATGTAATGATTCACCCGCCACCGATCCAATGAATTCTGGGGAGCAATTCTTATTTGGACCTTCTCAAAGAAATTCTGTCTCAACCGTGCAGCTTTATTCACCCACCCAGCCCCCCCCCTCCCACCACGTCAAGCACAAATGTAGCATAATTTGTCGCATAATTTGCATTAATAATCGGTCTATAAGAGGCATAAATCGAAGTATCACAAGGGTACAAATGGATTCAACGCATCATTACTTGCCAAGAGAGCTCATTGTGCGTTGTGGAATTGAATCAAGATATAGTAATAGGTTTTTACCCTTTTATCTGGCACCAAAACTGACATCTTTATACAAGGAATCATGTTTGCAATAACCACAACACAAGCAGTCAAAATGCAACTAAAAAGAGACAACTCTGATAATGATATGCACTGTCCTTGATGTTGATTGGTCCACACCCGAGACGGCTTTTCTTAGAGCCTAGTCTCCACTGGTGTTGGACCAGATGACGCCAAAAGGCGTACAACTCAAAAACAGCGCACTATCAGAGTATTGAGAGCTCGGGGTAAGCATAACGGAATTGAATTGTTAGCTTCTCCGGGGGGGAGGGGAGAGGGGGGGGCAGCCCGCGTACTGACGAGAGGTGCGACGTCGAACGCTGAATCCCATGATAAACGCAATGCATGCCACGTATAAATCAAAAGCAATTGAGAGCATGTGAATTAGGTGTGGGTGAAGGACAACAAACTAAACAGAGTGCCGGAAATGATAAAGTGGCTTATTCGACCAAGCATTGCAATCGATTCTTTTTGTGTGGATATTTACACGGACGCCTTTAAAAGTGGCAGCCACCTTGAAAAAAACACCCTCCTCCCCCCCCTCAACATACAAGCCACACCCAGTATAACGAGGCCCAAGACGACACCAATGATGTCACCAAGCTCCGCCCATCACCTCTGGTCCAGCGGCACATGTGGAGACGTTGGGCGAGACATTTTCTTTTTTGTCCCAACTATTATCCGTGCTAGGCGTTAAGGTTTCCGACCCCTGTGCTAGACTATTAGGAGGGTCCGAAACTTCAATTATATTGCCGATCCCAGCAACCTCTGCTTTCAATTTATAAACTCCGAGTGAGGTGACAGAAGGGGTATGAACAAGGTATAAGTGATGTAGTGAGACGAGCAAACTGCGATACCGATGAGACAGAGATGCAGTGAAAGGAGATGTACATAGACATGGGGGGACGCAGATAGATTTAGATCAGAGCATACAGACACAGATAATAATTCAAACAGTGCACACGAGAGATGAATTGGCTTTAATTCTCTTACTCTTAGTTATTTCGGTAAAGTCACGTAGGTAAAAAATGAAATTAAAATGTATAAAAGTAATAATGGAAATAAAATAATAAAAAATCACGACGTTTCGGAGGCAACACAAGTCTCCGTCATCAGGTGGGACCGTCACAGCTAGATTTGCTGCTTGCGTTGTGGCCGAAACGTCGTGAGAATTGTTTTATTATGTTATATTTTTATTATTTCATTACTTCCCTTCTACGTGACTTTACCAAAAGAACCAAGAAGATGAATCCCTGCAGTTACGAAAGTTTTAAATCGAAAAATCGGGGGGGTTGTTTTTTTTTCATCCCTTTTGAGCTTCTTTGGCCTCTAAGCTTTTGCTTGGCTCGCTTGTGCCCAGTGGTGCCGCCCGACAGCGGACGGCATGATGCACCACGTGGGCCACTGTCGATTGCCGAAGAGCGGCGCGCATCCGAGCGAACGTATCAATCCCGAGCAGCCATGCCGGAGCGAATGTTCTGCGTCAATAAATGGCTTTTGTTGCCTTCCTTTATAGCACGAAGGCACATCTGACTTGCATTAGACTGCTCGAGTGCGTTCTCTCTATTGTTATTTACGAGCAAGATGACGCTGCTGGCTTCCGAGTTCAAAAGGGTCAAAGGAAAACACAGCACTGATCACTGTATGCATGGTGGCGCTGATGTGTAATATTTGATGCGCAGGCAGGTTTTAACGCGAATTGGCCTTTTCTATTTACTGCTGGATGCATCATACTCGAGCACATTTCCGCCCAAATAACACTGTTGTTGCCGTGTTCGGTATTAAGAAAGCACGTGTGTGCGCATATACACGGGTTTACGAGTACCTGGTACGGTGTGTAAACATCAGGACAAGGGGAGATACATGTGGCCGGGTATGGTGCTGTCCACCAACCCATATCGTATGCTGTGTTGGCCTTCATATGTGCTACTCACTAACAGCAGTTTTCCGAAGAGCCTGTTAAGGACTATCCGGGGGGGATCTTTGTCTGTGTGCATGCACATGATTGCACACACATTAACTAGGGTTGCCACATGTCCAGGTTTGACCCAGACATGACACGGACAGTCCCTGCAATTGGAAACTGTGTTCGGGTTTGCAGGAATTGATTTGTAGCCGAGACCTGGTGGCAATGTGCTCAACTTTATACAATATAACACAAGTTTTGATAGACCTCGGGCTGACTGAGATGATGTATGTTCGGGTTCGGGTCTGTGGAAGAGATGACGCTGGTGTGTAAGTCTTCTTGAAAAATAAACTGTCAACAACTGCGAACATTGCGTGAGGATGGTTGCTGGCTGGATGTTAGGCAAGTTATAAATAGATATCTCAGCCGCTGTTACGTGTGCAGTAATCATCAGCATTATCATCACCATCATCGTCATACTCTCTTTAAATGTATCCAAATGTCAATCGAGCAGGTGACGCAGTGAGAGGTGAGTGCACCGGGCTATGGACCCCATGGCCTGAGTTTTATTCTTGGCCACGGCTAACGTCAGTGTCGAGTGAAATTTGAAACAATCCCGGCCACCTAACTTCACCAGGTGGTGAGGTGATGGTCAAACGGCCTCGATGGCCGACATGGCGTGGCCACGCTTTTCACCCACGGACACGCGGTAGAAAATAACATGTACCTATTAAAACGTTCATTCATTGAACGATGTTTTGCTTGCTATTCCGCTTATAACACGGGAAACAAACGTAGTACAGGCGTGATAAACGCAATCAAACTCATAATCATCACCATCAATAACGGTCATGGTTAACCCTATGCTGGACAAAGCCCTGCCCAATCCACCACCGTTCTCTCTCAATCGCGCATTATAACAACGGCAACATCTGCTCCAAAAAACAATTTCCGCTTTCCTAAACGCGCCGTTGTTTTCGTGACGCACGAGTTCCAAGCCTTTGTTTACACTCCCGATTCAAGATAATCCAGATCGCGCGTCAATCTGCGTCCTGTGCACAAGCTCGCAACTTCCTGTGTACGCAGGTGCGGGCGCTGGCGACATTGGGGGGGGGGGGGGGGTGCCCACACCTCGTCCACCATCGTGTCCTCAGCGCTCGACCGCTATTATTTCTCGGCACGTTTTCGGCCGCGGTGACAGCAGAGCGTCGGAACAAAAACTTAGTTTTTTGCCGCGCGCAATCCACCACCTCTCTCGCGCGGAGGAGCGGTCGTCGATTCGGCGCTGGTGGACAATGGGGCGACTGCTACGGTGCAATAATTGGGCAAGGCAGAGCTCTGAGGCAAAGCATTCGCGGTGGCTGGTGGGATGAGGCTCAGTGGACCGCTTGTAATGAACGTCGTTAGAATTTTTTGTGACTGTATTATATGAAACAAACCTAAACATATTTGAGGAGGGGCGGTGGGGGGGGGGATTCCTTTGGCTAACAACAACTTTTTTTCTTCTTCAGAATTTGCGCATGAGAAGGTACAATAATAACAATGCGAGTGTGTGGATTTCAAGTAGTGTGCGCGGTTGGGGAACCTGATACCCCACTACCGTGCACGGCGAGATGTGTTTTTTTGTTATTAAAGACAACAACAACAACGGCGACAACGCCACCAACGAGGAGCCCCACTCACCTAAAATAAAAGAAAATGAAGAGCGACGTCGACAACGAAACAATGGAGAGCGTGTGTCCGATCACGGCGAGGTAATAGAGGTTCATGGCCATCTGCAAAAACAAAAACGAGACAACGCCCGTTGCGCTCCCCGCACCACCGAACCGTCAATTAGCGCCGGGCGCGCACTTAGCGAGGCGGTCGTGGCAGCACCGCCGGGCTTACTGCGTCACGGCGCGACGCACGCACGGCACGCGGACATCGAAACACGAGCGAAGTTGCCTTTGATATCTTTGAGACACGGCGACCTCTGACGCCGCTCACCTTCGGACATCGCAGCCTCAGATGTTTGCACACAATCACACGCGCGCGCAGCCTCAGTCCGAGCCATCAACGCACACGCGAGTAACGATTGTGTTTTTGCGGGGGTTTGGCGCGGGGATGGTGTTGTGGAGCTGTTTTTCTTCACCAGACCCCCCCCAACCCCTTATTCTCAATCGCCTTGCTGGAAACGAATAATGAGTGGAATTAGCAAGCGGACAATGAGCTGCTGCTGCTGCACAAGCATCTTCTCTCAGCACTCCTCGTCACTCCGAGCCTCCTCCATAGCAACACGCTCGGCAGCGAGCAGTGGTTTAGGGAATGACTTGCTCTCTGAGCAGGCTGCCTGCAGTAACAACGCCACGAGGGTGACTCAGAGGGTGCATTTCTAAGCACTCGTGTGCGAGCGAGCGAGCGTGCGTGCGTGCGTACGGTAGGGCAGTGGTTAGCGCGCTGCGCTACGAACCCAATAACCTTCACTCGAGTCTGGTCCATGGCTAACTAACATCAGCGGCGAGCGATATCTGAACCTGTCCTGGGCCTTTTCCCAAAGGTCGACAGCCTTAAACGAGTGCGCCACGGGGCGTCGCGGTGGCCAGATGTTAACTGCCTCGCCTGGGATACAGGAGGTCGTGGGGACGATCTCAACCCTGACGCCTGCATATTTGGTCTCCCCGTGGTCGCGTGGATTTTTCTCCGGGTCCTCCAGTTTTCCCCTCCACATTTACAATCAATGTGCGTTTAGAGTATTTTTGGCTGCTATATATTTCCACGAGAAGCTAATTTGTGGCGCTATTAATTGTGGTAGCCAGATCGTTTCTGAAAAAGAGAAAATAGTTCAGCGGTCTTTACCTGGTAAAATGGTGCTAGCTATGCCACCCCCTCGTGCAACATGCTGGCCTTCAAAGGCGCAAGGAAATTGCCGTAATTAGGCTAAACAGGGGAACCTTTGTCTTTCGTATGTACTAGTGGGGGAGTGGTTGTGCAGTGGCTTGCACACTGCACCTACAAACCCGCGCTACAAACTTGGTTATGCAACTTTCATTCTCAACCACAGCTAACGCATTTTAGGCAATTGCCGTCCGTACTTATCCTGGGCTTTGCCTAGGTCAACTTAGTCTTAAATGCGTACAGTACGATTTAAAGCTTTCGTGACTGCAGGGATTCATCTTCTTGGTTCTTTCGGTAAAATCACGTAGAAGGGAAATCATTAAATAATAAAAATAAAACATTATCAAATAGAATACAATAATAAAAATAAAACATAATAAAATACAATACAATTGTGTTTTTAAAATTGTATTTTATTATGTTTTATTTCTATTATTTTTTTATTTCCCTTCTACGTGACTTTACCGAAAGAACCAAGAAGATGAGTGCAGTACTTGATGTATATTTAAACATTAGCATTGGAAAGACAAAGGCAGTCAAGTATGGTGCTGGCTTGCTGGTGGCTGCACAGATTTCAGAACCCAGGATCTCAGCGTTTGCAACGCAATGCTCTGTGTATCTGCTGGAAATAAAGAATGAGTGAAATTAGCAAACTGTGGGGTGGACTAGAGTACGAGTCATATTTTATTTAATGTTGGTGCATGTCGAAAGTGTTGACAACGGGTCTGTCAGATATTAAACAAAAAACTATCAATTTAGTTTTCAAAAACACAATATTTTAAGAATTTCATCCTCACTGTGTGGTCGGAGAGGAGGCAATTGAAGTGGTTATCTTACATCACGTGCTTATACTCAACGGCAGGATGCCGCATAAAAATTGTTCAGTTATATAAATTGTTCACATAAATTATACATCGCTCAGTTCATCAGGAACTGCAGTGAAGCGGGTCGCGCAATGGTTTTACGTGTGTGTGTTCCCCTCCTTTACGAGGCAATTTGTTAAAAAGGAAAATTAAGCTTTAATTGCAATTAATCAGCGGGAAATTGCCCCCATTAATTTCCCCGGAGTCGATGCAACCAGACGGCCCACTTCGTTTTCGCACTTGCAGCCTGCAAAAGGCTTCGTCCGAGGCTAGAAAACGAGCAAAGAGCAGAAACTCCTCCAATCGCTCTCCGTGAAAAAGGGACAAAAAAAACCTCATGCGCTGTCGATGTCTGAAATGTAAAGGCGATAATTATACTTTTTTTGCTGTTGTCAACTAAAGTTTATAAGCGACAGGGGAAAGAAGTCGCCTGCATCTGAGCAACGGTGTCTGATGGATTGCTAAGAATGTTGTTGCGAGAAGGGTACACACAATGCAGAAATCCAGAGGACACTATGGTAGGTAAAACAAAAAGAGGTTGCACCGGCTGGGACAAGTGTGTACGTATGTACTGTATATTGAACTTCTTTCGCACCGTACGTAGCCAACCGTGGCTGATCGGAAGTGCGGGACGTGTGCAGGATGGAGAAGGACCGAGACAGACTTTATAATTGGTCTCCACGAGTCTGACGACCCAAGACCTAAGACCAGATGGTGGGATACAGGGAGGGCAGAGCTTGGAGGTCAAGGATCAAGTGCCCACTGTGCAGCAGCTGCGGGATCTGTAAGGGTCGGGTGGCATTGGCCACGATGACGTCTTGACCTTTGAGAAGGTGGTCTCGAATCAAGACTGTTTGTGCGATACGTGCAGTTAGGTGGGATTGTGACATGACTTGCAAGGCAGTGTCAGGATGAGTGATCTCAGGGTCACAAATGTGCCTTTTGTTGTGCAGGATTCACCTTGTGCGTGCATATTCTTAGGTTTTTTCGGTAAAGTCACGTAGGTAACAATTCAAATTAATAAAAGTAGAATAAAAATAAAATCACGACGTTTCGGAGGCAACACAAGCTTCCGTCTGCCTCCGAAACGTCGTGATTTATATTTTTATTTTACTTTTATTAATTTACATTTTTACCTACGTGACTTTACCGAAAAAAACCTAAGAATATGAATCCTTGCAGTCACGAAAGCTTCAAATCTAGAATTGTGCGTGCATGTTTACTCTTGAAGTGGACCTCAAATCTGGGACATTTGTAATTCGCGTGTGTTTGCCCAGTTCCCAAATGTAACTGAATCAGGAAACAATATACAGTGGGGGAGATGGTGATTTGGTGGCTCAGAGGTTAAAGCACTGAGATCTTGGGTTTGATTTAATTAGGGATGGGGAGCCACCCGTGATTAAACTGTGTCCTCCAGTGGTGTGGAGAGTTGATCATCTCAGCCCGATCACCAATGACTGCACAACTAAACCCCGCGCCGCATTCAATTCAGGCTGTCATTTAAATTTGCCCGATTCTATAGCTCTGAGACTCCCAGATTGACGTCAGTTTTTTGTGTGTAAAAAAAGCAATCGTTGCAGGGCATTTTAAAAAATCGTATGCCACAAGTGTGGGTAAAGGAAGAAGTCTATCGAGCTGATTTATGAAGGGTAGTTCTCTGATGTCATTCTTCCAGGGGCTGTTCCCTGACACATGGGTAATGGATGCACTGGCTGGCTGCAGAGTTCCAGACGGAAAAAATTGCGCACACCTTTGTTAGATGATGCCGACAGCAAAAATTGGAATAAAATAAGGGGAGAGGAAAAAATGTGCCTAAAATGTAATGTGCACTCTGCTAGCCTGGTCACTATGCAACGCGGAGCAAAATTACCGCGCACTTTGAGACGAGGTCAACAAGGAATCAAATTTGGAGGAACAACATTTTCCATTCGAATAGACGTACTGCCGGCCGGACACCAGAGCCGGAATAAGTTTGATGGGGGGCTCGAAGCTGTTATGGTTTTGTGGGTCCCTCCCCCTCCCCCTCTTTGGAAAATGCCATGCCTTCCCTTGATTGTTTTACCATCAACTATACCCCATGATAAACTCTCCACTGTTGCTCACCCTTGGCTGATTTCGGCTCCAGCATTTTTAGAAAAGAAAAATGCGATGTTAGACTCGCAAGGCTACATTAAAGTGAAAATGAACGCATCTATTTTAATGTTGGCACATAAACTGGGAGTGATACACGTAGTGATTTCGATTTAAAGCTTTCGTGACAGCAGGGATTCATCTTCTTGGTTCTTTCGGTAAAGTCACGTAGAAGGGAAATAATAAAATAATAAAAATTAAACATTATTAAATAATTATCACGACGTTTCGGCCACAACGCAAGCAGCCGTCTTCATGTGAAGAATAGGTCTGTCGAAAGACGCTGTCTTTCCGACTTTACTGAAAGAACCAAGAAGACACGTAGTGATGGTATGGCTTTTGACGACCAAATTACCTTGCGAGATTTAACCATCGTGTGCTGCTGCATTGCGATTCAACCACCTCTTGGGGAATCGCTAAAAATCTACGGTCCACAGGATCCAGCCCCTAAAGAATGATTTATTTATCCACGAGGGGCTTTTATTTTAGAATGTGTTTCCGCCAACTTGCGATGAGTGTCTGTACAAGTGGTGGGGGACTGGAGCATACGGAGAAAATCCACATGCATTAAGAGGGTGAGTGGGGGGGGAGGGGGCAACGCTCTATCCCCATACAGATGGAGATGAGTCCGCACTTTGCTATACCACCTTCTCCTGGCAAATCAGCAGACGGGGCTTGAGCTCGACGCCCATGGCAACGAGAGTTTCACAAAAATTTGCGCGGTGACCCAACGACCCCCCTCGCCACCGTCAAAGTGTTGTGTGCGTACCTTCAACGTGTCGCGTGTGTACCTTCAGCGTGTCACGTGTGCACATTCAGTGTGTCACGTGTGTACCTTCAGCATGTCGTGTGTGTACCTTCAGCGTGTCACGTGTGTACCTTCAGCGTGTCACGTGTGTACCTTCAGCATTTCGTGTGTGTACCTTCAGCATGTCGTGTGTGTACCTTCAGCGTGTCATGTGTGTACCTTCAGCGTGTCACGTGTGTACCTTCAGCGTGTCACGTGTGTACCTTCAGCGTGTCACGTGTGTACCTTCAGCATTTCGTGTGTGTACCTTCAGCATGTCGTGTGTGTACCTTCAGCGTGTCACGTGGGTACCTTCAGCGTGTCACGTGCGTACCTTCAGCATGTCGTGTGTGTACCTTCAGCGTGTCACGTGCGTACCTTCAGCGTGTCGTGTGTCTACCTTCAGCATGTCACGTGTGTACCTTCAGCGTGTTGTGTGTGTGTACCTTCAGCGTGTCGTGTGTGTACCTTCAGCGTGTCGTGTGTGTACCTTCAGCGTGTCACGTGTGTACCTTCAGTGTGTCACGTGTATACCTTCAGCATGTCGTGTGTGTACCTTCAGCGTGTCGTGTGTGTACCTTCAGCGTGTCGTGTGTGTACCTTCAGCGTGTCACGTGTGTACCTTCAGCATTTCGTGTGCGTACCTTCAGCGTGTCGTGTGTCTACCTTCAGCATGTCACGTGTGTACCTTCAGCGTGTTGTGTGTGTGTACCTTCAGCGTGTCGTGTGTGTACCTTCAGCGTGTCGTGTGTGTACCTTCAGTGTGTCACGTGTGTACCTTCAGTGTGTCACGTGTATACCTTCAGCATGTCGTGTGTGTACCTTCAGCGTGTCGTGTGTGTACCTTCAGCGTGTCGTGTGTGTACCTTCAGCGTGTCACGTGTGTACCTTCAGCATTTCGTGTGTGTACCTTCAGCATGTCGTGTGTGTACCTTCAGTGTGTCACGTGTGTACCTTCAGCATGTCGTGTGTGTACCTTCAGCATGTCACGTGTGTACCTTCAGCGTGTCGTGTGTGTACCTTCAGCGTGTTGTGTGTGTGTACCTTCAGCATGTCGTGTGTGTACCTTCAGCATGTCACGTGTGTACCTTCAACGTGTCGTGTGTGTACCTTCAGCGTGTCGTGTGTGTACCTTCAGCATGTCACGTGTGTACCTTCAGCGTGTTGTGTGTGTGTACCTTCAGCGTGTCGTGTGTGTACCTTCAGCATGTCACGTGTGTACCTTCATTCGTATCGTGTGTGTACCTTCAGCGTGTCACGTGTGTACCTTCAGCATGTCGTGTGTGTACCTTCAGCGTGTCACGTGCGTACCTTCAGCATGTCGTGTGTGTACCTTCAGCATGTCGTGTGTGTACCTTCAGCATTTCGTGTGTGCACCTTCAGCGTGTCACGTGTGTGCACCTTCAGCGTGTCACGTGTGTACCTTCAGCATGTCGTGTGTGTACCTTCAGCGTGTCACGTGCGTACCTTCAGCATGTCGTGTGTGTGCGCATTGCACAGCGTGTAGTTGGACCACGTGCGGTTGCTCTCCGGGTGGCGGAACCAGTTTCCGTCCTTGTTGCAAATCTTGGTGACTTTTTCTGGATGGGAAGGAAGGGAGAAGAAAAAAAAAATCAGAATCATTTGCAACTTTTTGTGCACGCACGAAGTGACAAACAAAAAATTGCCACGTTTTTTTGAGAAGTGCATCGCATTTGTGCGAGATATTTTTTTTTGTTCTACACAAAAGAAGCAAAACGAAAAATGCGTGTTTTATTTTTAACACTAAAAACAGGAAACCTTTTTTTTCAGGAACTGGAAATTGCTTATTTTAACACAGTGCCCTGGAGACATTGAATTTGAGAAGCTTGATTATATTATATTATTGTTGTGCATAATTATTCTCTGAGTATTGTTGAGTATAATAATCACACAGCGTAGGCCAACATCCTTAAACTCCTGTTTCCTAACGTTCAATGACTGCTGTTGTATATTTCTTTCTTTCTCGGCACCCTCACTAATTAAGGAGCTCAGGGCGATTACACTGAGCAAGGGTTCATGATGATAACAACTAAGTTACGGTAAAAGGAGACATCACTAACGACTTTAAGAGCGAACAACAAACACTACCTCTCGGTAACCATGGTTTCCTTCCCTTCGCTCCCTCCTCTTGATTTCCTTGTTAAACCAATACACAGAGCTTACTTGCACCTAACTTTGTTTCTGGTGCCTATTATTTTCATTATATATTTACGCAGACACGGTTATGTGGCTGGACCACGTGACTGTGAAATGTCAGCAGGTCGCTCTGCATCAACATCAAATACCTCGTTCGTTAGTTGTACAATATCCCCTTAAGGACCCTACGGTACTCGTCTGCAATATCGATGTTTCTTTGCCTCTCGTTGTTGCTGCTGCTGCTGCTCTCACGCACCACAGATCTATATCCCTTTGTTAAAAGAGCTGGGCGAATGGTTAAACGGAGACTCTCGCCCGTGCTACAAAATCATATAGACTCAACAAACGTAGATGTCTCTCTCTCCCCCATATTGTATATCGCCTGTGTCCGATAATCTTCGAAACCCTGGTGATGTCACGCGCTCGTGCAATTTTGCCACCACATGTCTTAATGTGACCTCTCATTACACCTGCTTTTCCCACTCCAAGGAACACATCTCAGAATCATACTTGAGATTTTCAAAATGTTGTTCATTGTATTTTAACCTTTACACACGAGAGTGCAGTCCTTAAGAAAGTAAATTGAGCAATAACGACAATGATGATAGAATAATAATCGTCGACATTCTGGCCAATGTCATCATCATCATCGCTGATCTTTTCCTTTTTTTTTACAAAGCTTCTTGCACAGAAAGCGTCGATGCTTGCTCAACGTCAAATAAGAAATTGTTGCCACGACGGGAAATTAACCGGGGGGGAAAAAAATACCCACTGTGAGTTTCTGAACGTTCGAAATAAAGGGGCACGGAAAATATACAATCTAACTTCGTGCTAATAATTGACAAAGCAAGCCCATTTACAGGAAGACACTTCCAAAGAGAATGTTGTGAAGACATTTTTTGAGTTCGCTTCAAGAAAAAAGTAATAAAAACCGTCTATATTTTCAGTCGTTTGCTTCATTTAACCCAGGTGGCGATCCGCAAAGACTTGTTCCACTTCAAAAAGGAGATCTGGCAGCACAATAAAGGGCCAATGCAAGCCGTGCAGAGAGAGAGAGAGAAAGAGCGAAAATAAACAAGGAAAAATAAATAAGAGACCATGGAAACAAGCCAAGCTTTGTGTCAGGAAACACAAGAAATGAAAATAAATGGCAATGGCTTAGAAGACTAAAATCCCACGACGTAAAAGATTTCAAATGTAGGAAGAAGGTGCCTGCAATTATTTCAATATCTAATCCGTGACTGATAAGAGTGTACGGTTATCGACTCGCTCGCGTTCGAGGCTCTGCGTTCTCGGAGTCTGCGTGGAAGAGGAAAAAAGTGCAGAGCGTCATCGCGTCGTACGACCGTGAGAGGTGGTGGTGGCGGCGGCTTTGGGGGTAGTCCCTCATCCAGCAGTGGACTGGCCATGGTTGATGATGATGGCGGTGGTGATGTTAAAGCATCATTCAATCGCAGCGTGGGATAGAGAAGGCGAAGGTCTCTTGCCTTGTGGAACGTGGCGGGGAAGGGGAGCGAGATACGCATCGTAGTTTTCATCTCGTGTTAACCCCCTCCGCAACGTGCCCACCAACCCCGGCAGGCACGTTAACATGATGTAAACCTCGATTTAAAGCTTTCGTGACTGCACGAATTCATCTTCTTGGTTCTTTCGGTAAAGTCACGTAGAAGGGAAATAATAAAATATTAAAAATTAAACATGATAAAATACAATTCTCACGACGTTTCGGCCACAACGCAAGCAGCCGTCCTCAGGTGAAGAACAGATCTATCGGAAAGACAGCGTCTGAATGAAGAACAGGTCTGTGTCTTTCCGACAGATCTGTTCTTCACCCGAGGACGGCTGCTTGCGTTGTGGCCGAAACGTCGTGAGAATTCTATTTTATCATGTTTTTTTTATTTTATTTTATTATTTCCTTTCCACGTGACTTTACCGAAAGAACCAAGAAGATGATGTAAACCGCGAGGCGGGTTTCCCAGAAGCTTGACGTCGGTCGAGGCACGCCGCCAACGCCACTCGCATTGTAGCTAAACTTCACGCTCGGTCGTGAAAAAACCGGAGCGCGGTCGGTTTCCTGTAAATGTGCAAATCCCCCAATGGCCGTGAAACAACAGACCCCAGCGCGCCTGCTGACAGCCTCGCGCTATCGTACGCATATTTCTTTAAGCGCGCTGCAGGGAAACGCGCGTTAACACGCTGCCAGCGTTTTATTCCCCCACCACCACCCCCCTTACCCCTACAACTGGTGCCAGGACTTTGATAGCTGGCACGGTGGTGCCCCGGGATGCATTCTGGGATTTCATCGATTGAGTTCAAAGATGCCCGCGGGGGGGGGGGGGGGCCGTGCCCGGCTCAGATTACCGTCGCTGAGCGTTTAACCCCCCGGGACGAGCAATTCCCCCCCCCCCCCCCAAAAAAAAATACAGCGGACGAAACGTAAAAAAATACGACAAGCTCCGTTTGCGCTTTTGTAGCCCCAGTTTTCCCCCTGCTGTGCTGCAGTGGCCCATGGCGCAACTCGCGGTTTGCGATGAACAGGATTTGGGGGCTACGGATGTATCTGATGGGGGGTTTTTTTGATTCAGGAGACAGGTCGAACAGGTATTAACACGAGCGCATTCGGGTTGTTGTTGTTGTTGTTTTTAAATGCGTAAACCACGACTGAGAAGCTGCAAAATTCGACACTTCACCCTTTCATTAATCAATGACGGAAGTGTTTGTTGCTGAGATTCAGGGCTCATGCCCAGCGGTCGCTCTGGTTAACACTGCGGGTGTAATCACCGTAAATACTACACGCCGTCCGCTTCACAGCTGGCGTTTCAGACCTACACATTTACTTAATTAGGTAAAACCACATAGCAACTATATGCGTCCGTGTAAGTGAATGATGAGAATACTGAATGCACTAAATTATTATTATTATGGCTACTAATTATTCATCATCATCATTAATCCATGAGGAATCCACTGCTGGATGATGCCATTTCTCACAATCCTACGATGTAATGATCCACCATCTGGGAAACTGCGAGAGCCTCATTATGCTGAGTGCGACGGGCATTTATTCGCCGGAGCAGGTAGGCCGAACAGGTTGTTGTCTCTCACGTTACGATCATTGCGTCCTTTGTATCGAACGACCATTCGAGTGCTCTCTCTCTCTCTCTTTCAGAAGACAAAGACAAAGCCCCCCCCTCCGTGTAGCCTTAACAGACTGTCGTGGCAAGTGAACGGGCACACGAGGAGGTGGGTGGCGAGCATCAAGCCCCGGCAGCCTTTGTCTCCCCGGTGGCGATGTTTGCACATGGCACCAGGTACTTATTTGAGGCTGAGTCAACCTAGAGGAGACCAAGGACCGTTTCAAATAATTGTCACTCGTGTTGACGGTGCACTCCTGCTCATCTTTCTCGCACACACACACACAGGCAACCCCCGCCGCTTAATTTCCCCTAACTCTAATTAAACACGAACCTGAAGCAAATCGCAAGTTCACGGCGCAAAACCCCCGAAAACCTCGCAGCTACTGATAATTGTTTTTTTACCCTTCTATCTGGCAACAAAACTGACACCTTTTTACAAGGAGTCATGTTTGCATAGACCACAATACCTGCAGCCATAATGCAAACAAAAAAAACACAACTCTGATAATGTGCACTGTCCTTGAAGTTGATTGGTCCACACCCGAGACAGCTTTCCTTAGAGCCTAGTCTCACGTGGGTTGGACCAGATGACGCCAAAAGGCGCACAACTCAAAGACAATGCACCATCAGAGTATGAGAGCTCGGGGCAAGCATCTACACTATGGGAACCTCATTGGCCAGTAAAAATATGATAATTGGTTTTTTACCCTTCTATCTGGCAACAAAACTGACACCTTTTTACAAGGAGTCATGTTTGTATAGACCACAATACCTGCAGTCATAATAAAAACAAAAGACATAACTCTGATAATGTATGTACTGTCCTTGAAGTTGATTGGTCCACACCCGAGACAGCTTTCCTTAGAGCCTAGTCTCACATGGGTTGGACCAGATGACGCCAAAAGGCGCACAACTCAAAGACAATGCACCATCAGAGTATTTACTGGCAAATGAGGTTCCAGTGTGTTCTCGCAGCTACTCCCGGCCACGAGACGTTCCGGACGCTTTGGCCATCGTCATTTGTCCACGAATTTCGTAGAAAACGCCCAGCCTGGGGCGAAAAACGACAGCTCTGGAAAAAGTGTACACACACTCGGAGGGGCGAGTCGCCTCCTCCCGCTGGAATGGCTCCCACTCAGCAAGCAGAGCATGCATGCACACGGTGGGGGCGGGGGGTGGGGGGGAAGCACGGCTCGAGAGAAGGTGATTTCATTTACACCTCGGCTTCCCTTGCGTGCGGGCGCTCGAAAGCCACGCACGTCACGATTTGCAGTGCAAAATTGCAAACAAAGCCCTCCTGCAAAAGGGAGACTCTTGGGAATATCTGCAAAGGAACGGAGGCGGAATGAAGAAGTTTAGAGGCCTCAAGCTGGGGTTGCTGATATTCTCGAGTAGGTGACGGAGGCGACACGGGTTTGGACACGTGTTGAGAAGAGACAAAGAAGATGCATTGAGAGGGGGTTATTGAGAATGACCCGTAGACTCGCATAGATACCCACAGGCTCACATAGAAACCCACAGGCTCACATAGAGACCCAAAGCCTCAAATAGAGACCCACAGACTTACACAGAGACCCACCGACTCACACAAAAATCAAAAGCCTCACATAGAGACGCACAGACTCACAGAGACCCAGACTCACATAGATACCCACCTACTCACATAGAGACGCATAGGCTCAAACAAAGACTCACATAGAGACCCACAGGCTGACATAGAGACCAAAAGCCTCAAATAGAGACCCACTGACTCACGCAAAAATCCAAAAACTCGCACAGAGACCCAAAGCCTCACATATAGACCCACAGACTCACAGAGACCCAGACTCGCATAGATACCCACAGACCCACATAGAAACCCACTGGCTCACATAGAGACCCAAAGCCTCAAATAGAGGCCCACAGACTTAAAAAGAGACCCACCAACTCACACAAAAATCAAAGACTCGCACAGAGACCCAAAGCCTCACATAGAGACGCACAGACTCACAGAGACCCAGACTCACATAGATACCCACATACTCACATAGAGACCCATAGGCTCAAACAAAGACTCACATAGAGACCCACAGGCTCATATAGAGACCAAAAGAATCAAATAGAGACCCACAGACTCACACAAAGAACCCACTGACTCACACAAAAATCCAAAGACTCGCACAGAGACCCAAAGCCTCACATAGAGACGCACAGACTCACAGAGACCCAGACTCACATAGATACCCACAGACTCGCACAGAGACCCACAGACTCAAAGAAAGACCCACAGACTCACATAGAGACCCACAGACTCACACAAAGACCCACTGACTCACACAAAAATCCAAAAACTCGCACAGAAACCCAAAGCCTCACATAGAGACGCACAGACTCACACAGAGACCGACAGACTCAAAGAAAGACCCAAAGACTCACATAGATACCCACATGCTCAAACAAAGACTCACATAAAGACCCACAGACTTACACAGAGACCCACCGACTCACACAAAAATCAAAAGCCTCACATAGAGACGCACAGACTCACAGAGACCCAGACTCACATAGATACCCACATACTCACATAGAGACGCATAGGCTCAAACAAAGACTCACATAGAGACCCACAGGCTGACATAGAGACCAAAAGCCTCAAATAGAGACCCACTGACTCACGCAAAAATCCAAAAACTCGCACAGAGACCCAAAGCCTCACATATAGACCCACAGACTCACAGAGACCCAGACTCGCATAGATACCCACAGACCCACATAGAAACCCACTGGCTCACATAGAGACCCAAAGCCTCAAATAGAGGCCCACAGACTTACAGAGAGACCCACCAACTCACACAAAAATCAAAGACTCGCACAGAGACCCAAAGCCTCACATAGAGACGCACAGACTCACAGAGACCCAGACTCACATAGATACCCACATACTCACATAGAGACCCATAGGCTCAAACAAAGACTCACATAGAGACCCACAGGCTCATATAGAGACCAAAAGCATCAAATAGAGACCCACAGACTCACACAAAGAACCCACTGACTCACACAAAAATCCAAAGACTCGCACAGAGACCCAAAGCCTCACATAGAGACGCACAGACTCACAGAGACCCAGACTCACATAGATACCCACAGACTCGCACAGAGACCCACAGACTCAAAGAAAGACCCACAGACTCACATAGAGACCCACAGACTCACACAAAGACCCACTGACTCACACAAAAATCCAAAAACTCGCACAGAAACCCAAAGCCTCACATAGAGACGCACAGACTCACACAGAGACCGACAGACTCAAAGAAAGACCCAAAGACTCACATAGAGACCCACATGCTCAAACAAAGACTCACATAAAGACCCACAGACTCAGATAGCGATCCACAGACTCGCACAGAGACCCACAGACTCAAAGAGAGACCCACAGACTCACACAAAGACCCACTGACTCACACAAAAATCCAAAAACTCGCACAGAGACCCAAAGCCTCACATAGAGACGTACAGACTCACACAGAGACCCACAGACTCAAAGAAAAACCCAAAGACTCACATAGAGACCCACATGCTCAAACAAAGACTCACATAGAGACCCACAGACTCACACAGAGACCCACAGACTCAAAGAAAGACCCACAGACTCACAGAGAGACCCACAGACTCACACAAAGACCCACTGACTCACACAAAAATCCAAGAACTCGCACAGAGACCCAAAGCCTCACATAGAGACCCACAGACTCAAAGAAACAACCACAGACTCACAGAGAGACCCACAGACTCACACAGAGACCCACAGAGGAGCAGAGCTATGGGAGATGCCACCGGTGCAGGGCAGAATGACGAGAAGGGGGAGGGGGGAAGCCAAGGGGGAGAACGGGAGGATGCGGGAGGATGCAGTGGAACGCGACGGGCAGGTCCTCATTTGAGGCGGGTCTGCCTGAGCGAGCAACCCTGTGAATGTCCAAGCAGGCATCGCACCACGTTCCGTACACCTCTCGCTGTGGTGGCTGCGTCTACTCGTCGTGTACCCACTTCAGCCTACCAGTGGTGCAGTGAGCAATTAAATCCAGGAGACGAGGATGAGGACCAGTGGACGTGGCTTGAGAAGAGGTACAGAGGAGGGGTACGGGGAGAAAGGAAATCCGTGCCGCCAACCGCATGCAAAAAGGGGATGTTTAGTCTTAAGCCTCACCTTACCATATTAATAATAAGTATGCGGCCCTTGCCCCACCACCTTCTCCAACCATTATATAAACGGAGTGGTAGCTCCTGCAATCTCTCATTTACTTGATACAGCTGTCGTGGCTGTGACGGTATCCACCTGAAGACAGAAGCTTGTGTTGCCTCCGAAACGTCGTGATTTTTATTTTATTTTTATTAATTAAAATTTTACCTACGTGACTTTACCGAAACAACCTAAGAATATGAATCATTGCAGTCACGAAAGCTTCAAATCTAGAATTTGAACGGTGTGTTGTATTTATTCTAGATTTGAAGCTTTCGTGACTGCAAGGATCCATACTCTTTGTTTTTTTTCGGTAAAGACACGTAGGTTAAAAAAGAAAACAAGAAAACAAATAAATTAAATCACGACGTTTCGGAGGCAACACAAGCCTCCGTCTTCAGGTGGAACCGTCACGGCAAAATTACTGTATCAAGTCACTTGAAACGTCGTGATTTAATTGATTTGTTTTCTTGTCTAACCTACGTGACTTTACCTGAAAAAAAACTAAGAGTGTGTTGTATTTATGTTGAACTTCTTTCGCACCGTACGCGGCCATCCGTGCTAATCGGAGGTTATGGAGAAAAGACCACAAACTAAACACAATTTTTTTTGCTATGTGTATCGTGGATCACTCTATGGGTCTACCTATCGATTTGCATCTATAGGTATCTATTTAAATATATGTAGGCATATGGCTTTAGTTGTTTTCATTTCGTTTATTTTATTGATTGTTTCACCTACGTGACTTTACCGAAAAAACCAAAGAGTATGAATCCTTGCAGTCACGAAAGCTTCAAATCTAGAATTAAGGCATATGGCTATCTATGTGAAGTCTACGGCCTGCGAGTCAATGGATCTCAAAGTAAAGAACGGTGGACATGACAAAAGTAGAACGAGCAGCGATGACGAGCTGAGTTGACCCTCGTCCGAAATTTGAACTCACGACCTTTCCGACTGTGAGTCAAGTGCTCGAAACAGAGAAGCACCTGTCCAGATGTCACACACATACACACACACAAATATTCCCCAAATAGCCTTTAACAGATTGTTAGGGCAAGTGCTGTTAGCGAGCACCTACGAAGGCCGGCACAGCACACGAGGGGGTGGGTGGCCAGCACCACGCCCGGCTGCCTTTGTCTCTCTATTGGCGATGTTTTTACACACCGCACCAGGTACTTATTTGAGGCAGAGTCGACCTAGGGGAGGCCCAGGACCGGTTTAAATAATCTTCACCGGCGTTGGGCGTGAGCGGGAGTCAAACTCTGGTCGCCGGGTTCATAGCGCAACGCGCTAACCGTTACACTACCACTAAAACACATACAAAGACATAAATAAATGAATGAGTGGGTCTGTGCGTCTTACCAGACGGGTCAAAGTCTTCGAAATAGTCGGGACATTTCTGGGAGACCTCGGTGCCTGCTAGCGTGTCGTCCCAGCAGCGCCAGCCATCCCACGTGCGGTTACAGTAAGGTCCTAAGCATGCACACACAGATACACACATACACAAGCCATCAGCGTCAGAATCAGACTGCTAGAGGAATCCGATGAGCTATGAAGCTCTTTTACACAGACGTCCAGTATGGGAGGGTCAGCAAGTTTACGACATCAAACTCGATAGGAGTGCAAAGCAGAGAAAATGGTAATCAAGTCGCTAAATAGAAATGAACACCAAACAAATACCTTTTTCAAGGAATCACGTCTTGCAAAGAGCACACACGTACCTGTGGTGAACATGCTGCTAATATATGCATTGTCTTTGAAACTGATTGGCCTACACGAGACAGCCTTCTTCAGCTTAAAATACAATGCATACATTTTCTTGGTTATTTCGGTAAAGTCACGTAGAAAGGAAATAATAAAATAAAAAAAAATTCAACATAATAAAACAATTCTCACGGCGTTTTGGCCACAACGCAAGCAGCCGTCCTCAGGTGAAGAACAAGTCTGTCGGAAAGACAGCGTCTTCAGACGAAGAACAGGTCTGTCGGAAAGACTTTCCGACAGACCTGTTTTTAACCTGAGGACGGCTGCTTGCGTTGTGGCCGAAACGTCGAGAGAATTTTTATTTTATTGTTTTATTTTTATTCTTTTATTATTTCCTTTCTACGTGACTTTACCGAAAGAACCAAGCAGATGAATCCCTGCAGTCACGAAAACTTTAAATCGAAATTTAATGCATACATTATCAGAGCATGCTTAGTTTGCATGTTCACCACAATGACATGTGGTTAGTGTAGACTTGATTCCTTGTCAAAGGTATCCGTTTGGTGTCTGGAAACCGTAACACCTCCTGTTTTATTGCCAGTAAAGGGTAAAACCCTATTATCATTTTTCATACTTTGATACTGGCAAAAAAGGTCCCATAGATATAAATAGAAATACATGATAAATACATTAATTATATAAGTCCGATTGATCAAGATCGGGCAAGGCAGCAACAACAACAAAACGGCCGCAGACCGCACCAAGACAATAACACAAAGTGGTCCCACAATAAAATGGAACGCGAGCATAGAACTACATAATACGAGGGGGGGGGGGGGGGGTTTGGGTTCGATCGCGCGTATATAATTTACGCGAACCTGTATCATGAACAATATTGGTCGCAGAAACCCTCCTACATGTCTTGATTTTGGAGCTTTCGTGACTGCAGGAATTATTCTTTGGTTTTTTCGGTAAAGTCACGTATAAAAATAAAATAATAAATTAAATAATAGCATACGACGTTTCGATTGCAACACAAGCAATCATCATCAGGTATAATGAAATAGCGACATAGAATATAACCAGAAAACTATAGACAGACATATAAGCAGACAGATATCACCAAGATACATAGAGAGAGCAACCCAGGTACACATGTGTTAAACAACTGAGCCATTGAGCTATCGATACACAGGTTTCAGGATCAAAGTACAAAATCACATTCGCATCTGCGACCGCTGCATCCAGCACTAAAATCCCCCCGCGTCACGGCATTAACACGAGCCGGCGGGCAGCCGTCTCCTCGCGAACACCAGCGGGTGACAGAAGCGGAGCAGAACGCATAGAAACGAGGTGAAAGGCTGGAAGTCCGCGGCGTCGTTCAACTCGTTCTGCCGAGCGTTCAAACTTGCTTACTTTACTACGCGTTTTCCGCACTCATTGACATGTTGATTTTTTACGCGTTTTCCGCACTCATTGACATGTTGATTTTTTACGCGTTTTCCACACTCAGTGACATGTTGATTTTTTACGCGTTTTCCGCACTCAGTGACATGTTGATTTTTTACGCGTTTTCCGCACTCAGTGACATGTTAAATTTTTTATCTAACCCCTCCATCTCTCTGCCCCCGCCCCCTCTGTCTATTTAAGGCCACTCCACAGAGACGATCACCCCTCTCTGTACCTGTGTGTTACTCTCTCTCTCTATGTATCTTGGTGATATCTGTCTGCTTATATGTCTGTCTATAGTTTTTTTGGTTAGAATTTTTTGTTGCTATTTCATTTATACCTGATGATGATTGCTTGTGTTGCAATCGAAACGTCGTGAGTTTTATTTTATTTTACTTTTATTAATTTTAATTTATTACCGACGTGACTTTACCGAAAAAACCTAAGAATATGAATCCTTGCAGTCACGAAAGCTTCAAATCTAGAATTTAACGTCATACTCTGTTTTTTTCGGTAAAGTCACGTAGGTAAAACATTTTAATAAATGAAAACAACTGAATTAAATCACGACGTTTCGGGCGCAACACAAGCGTCCTTCTTCAGGTGGGGACATCGTAGTCGAAAGCACAGCCGCTTAGGTATGTCTCAGAGATGGCTGTGACGAGGAATTATATAGTCACTGAAGCTTTGTGATGCAGATGGTGGAAGTAGATAAGCAAGCTAGGATTACGCAGGCTTTTGTTACGCTGCCGATGGGGTGAATTGGAGACGGACAAGCTAAAAAGACCAAAAACAGTGTGTGGTAATGGTGATGGTAGTGTGTGAAGCTGGGGTTAACAGACTTGGAAAATGGATATGTTTATGAAAATTAAATCTAAACTGACTGTCTCGTAGTAAACTGCACAGCAGCTAAAGTTTAATTTGGTTAATTACATCCTTACAATGATTGCTCAATTTTAATCCATCATCTCGGTTGAAGTTATGTCTATGTTTGTATATCTGGATGGCTTCATGGACAAAATGCCACCACCTCACCACCTGTTTTAACAGCCCCCACCTGTTGGGACAGGGGACCCATAGCCCCCTTCGATCCGTCCCTTTAATTCTCAACCCCCCCCCCCCCCCAATTCTTTCCGGTAGACGGCTCAAGTTGCGTCTCCGCGGTCGCCTTCTTTCGCGACGGAGCTCCTCCAGCATGGAACGGCGCGGGGGGCCCGTGAGTGAGTTGTTGCATAAAAACTTCAGTTAGAAAAAAAACGTTGGAAGAAACCCTGGTACGCTGGGCTTCCCACTCACGAACGGCCCGTTCTCGTGCTCATTAAACAGACACTGGAACGCGCTTGTGCAGAAAAAGTCGATTCGTGACCAAGTCCAGTGAATTTTTTTTAAACGTGAATTATATCGCTCATGAAGCGTTTAGGCTAATGGAGTGAACAGAAATGTGATAGACAACAACAGCACGAAACAGTCCAAGTGAGAAAGTAAAAACGTGTCTGATGGGAATTTAACACTGAATCAAACTGTGGCCTTTAATGGAGACAATTCAAACTACTGGTAGGATGAGTAGATAATCAATTCCTGCTGGTCATAATGAATATGATTAACTAATCCTGCAAACTAGGAGGCTGGATGGCGACCAACTCGGGAGCAGTGTTGTTGTTGGTGCCTGTAAAGAAGAAGGCAGTGCAGCAAGTATGTTTTGTAGCAACGCTACCTTTACATTTGCGGGGGGTTTGAGTGTCATCCCAGCACGCGCGTGGGTTTTCGTTCGACCCTGTTGCTTCCTGCCCACGTGGAAAAATACTCAACAACAACAAAATAAAAATACATCGGCCAAACGTCCCGGAATCAGATGCCGCCACGAAAAACAGTCCATTCGATCCCCCCCCCCCCACCCCCCCGGGGCCACGGCTAAAATCAGCGGTGAGCGACGTCAGGACCCAACGTTGTTGGGCAGACCTCCAATCACCAACCCCGCACGCTGCGCGGCGACTGTGAAGTATAGTCCAACAACGCCGCGCGGGGGGAGGTCTTCATCCGGCAGCTGACTAACAAATGGACCGTCAATGTTCTCTCTTGTGACGATTTAAACAAAGCCTCGCCCCAGGTGGTAGCAGTCATCCCTTCTGTGCGCTGATAGGGGGTTCGTGGAAACAATTTTGAGGCTTCCAAGGAAATGGAAAGAAAGTAATAGCGCCTCAACCCCAATCCCCCTCCAATGGCCTCAAAGTGCACACATGCTCAATGACGTAACCGAAACGTTGCGGCATTAATCGGTGCGGGCGACTCGTGCCAAAGCACTCGCGATTCGATGATTTGCCCCTGATGCCAGTCACTGACGATTGGGTTTGATTTTAACAACAAGAACAACAACAATTGTAATGGCTGGGAGGGTTAAGCATACGAATTTTAAATTTGAAGCTTTCGTGACTGCAAAGATTCATACTCTTAGTTCTTTCGGTAAAGTCACGTAGGTAAAAAATGAAATTTAAATAAATAAAAATTTAATCACGACGTTTTGCCTCTGAAACGTGATTACATTTTTTTCTTTTATTTTTATTAATTTTAATTTCATTTTTTACCTACGTGACTTTACCGAAAGAATTAAGAGTATAAGCATACGAACCCCATTAGTACGGTCGCGATTCCGTCACGGAGGTCGCGGATTGCCCGAGTTTGAACGACGCTCGTGAAGTCGCGTCAAGATCGAGGCACTTTTTTTATCTTTCTTATTTTCAACTAATGCCGCGCGTGATTTTATCGATTTCCCCCACCCCCACGCCGCTACATCCCCTCACCCTCAGCTGTGAATTGCACTAAAAGTTACTGACATATGCCGTAGCCATGCCTATTATTACCCACACATACGAATCAACAAACATCGATTCTTACACGGGAGGTTTCCGATGCGTTTATCGTGAGCTTAAGAATCAATATTGATCAACGAAATCAATGCATCGTTCAACCGCTAATATTTATCAAGGGAGACAAGTCGAACAATAAAGGTCAAAAGGTCATCAGAGTCAATGCCACTGATACCATGGCACCACTCTGTATATACTGTATGTATGTTAAACTTATTTAGCATTGTACGTAACCAACCGTGCTAATCAGAGATACGGGGAAAGGACGACACACTAAAAACAAAAGCAGTTCTCAAGAAATGAGTTTTCAATCTAGATAATAACACATTCCTGCGGAGGGAGCTGGTAGGAACGTTGGGTTGCTCGGTCAATGGCCAGGGTCAACGGCGGCGTGGTGTATTCCGCAAATATGCCCTACTGTGAGGGCCGGCACAAGCCGGCGTGAGTAGGTTAAACGTTGAGTTTTATAAGGGCACCACGGGGTGACCAGCCCCTCCCCACCCAGCCCCACCCCTCCCACCCAGCCCCACCCTCCCCACCCAGCCCCTCCCCACCCACCCCCTCCCCACCCAGCCCCTACCTCCCCACCCAGCCCCTCCATGCACGACGGACGGACACAATAATCCCCTGTGGGCTGGTGTAACCAGGAGGTTCCTACCGGTATAAAAGTGCATAGCTCCCAGTGGCCTCCTAATATCGGAAGGAAGAGCGTTCCAGACGGCCGCAGAAGTGCATCTGAAAGCGCCACGCGATGCAGTGACCGTCTTTGTTCGATGGCTGAGCCCCAAAAAAAATCAATGGCTTTAGGTCTTCTTCTTTTTGTTGGTAACTGATCTCTGGGTGCCAGTCCAATGACCGTCTCTGCAAGCTACCCCTCTCTTTCTTCCATCCTACACAAGCATCCCAACCCATTCCAACTTCCCATCTATTATTTTTTCCACGATACCGTGCATGAAATATCTTGTACTTTGCATTCCTATCGCTGCTTTTTGTTTGTATCGGTTCTTGTCTGTCCTAACTGTCTAATCCCCGTGCCCCCTACTGGACATATGTGAGAAAAAAAGAGCGTCATAGATCATAAGATTTCTCCAGGATAGAGATTCTGATTCTGAATTGTCTAATTGAAGGGGAATTTAGAATGACTCAGTGAGAGGCAAGAGATGGAAGCTCTGCTACCGAATGAACGTTTCAAAGTGTATTTTGCATATAAATTAGTTACTGCAGGAAAGCAAGCAAATAAATAAGTAATACCTCCCAGAATACGTCTAAATCGATTGCAGATGCATTTTTTTCTGATGTTGTGGAATCCACCTCACTGAGCCCAAGGTGGCGTGACTGCAATTTTTTTTCTCCCGAAAGTAAGTTTCGCGATGATGTGTTAACACGTGGCAGGTTGTTAACGCGGACGTACAAAAAAAAGCATACCCCAAATGTACCTCCGGCTCTGAATAAATAATAAGATAATATTAAGTTCCTTTACGAGTGTCCTCGTGACAGGCATAACGTTGTTGATGAACAACGAATGTTGCACGGTGTGTATTTTTTATACTGCGTTATGTCGAATGCAGCTGGACGTATGGAAATTAGTGTGATGACTTCTAGATTTGAAGCTTTCGTGACTGCAAGGAATCATACTCTTTGTTTTTTTCGGTAAAGTCACGTAGGTAAAACAATCAATACAATAAAATAAATGAAAACAACTAAATAAATCACGACGTTTCGGAGGCAACACGAGCTTCCTTCATCAGGTGTTACCTACGTGACTTTACCGAACAAACCAAAGAGTAGTGTTATGACTGTTACAAATGTGTGAGTGTTTGCTTTCATTGTTGTACGTGTGGGGGGGTTTGGCTTAGGGTTGCCACCTCCGAGGTACTGAAAACAGGGACATATCACGGGAGGAAGCAAAATGATCTCACAGATCCGGAATAGGAAAGAGCGACATGGTAATGCATCGTCTAGAATGGTGTATTAATGTTATTATTATGATTATTACGTGTATTTCGCAAGTGACAATTATCCGGACTTTTAATGTCTCGTGAAGAATACGGATTTCCCGGGACAGCAGCTTCCTCAACAAGAAGACAATTCCGTGAAGATCCAAGACTGGTTGGCAACCCCAGCTTCACCATGTAAACTAAACTAAACCTAAACTACATTCATGTTACCAGGTAAGGCCCACTAAGCTTTATAGCGTTTTGTCGGAAGCGACCTGGCCACAAATGATAAGCTCAACGACATGCTAATTTCTCTGCCCCCCCCTCTCTCCATATATATAATGCCTCGTCACAGAGTCATTGTTTCTCTGTGTGTCTCTGTGTATGTCTCTGTGTCTCTGTGTGTGTCTCTCTCTGTGTGTCTCTGTGTGTGTCTCTCTCTGTGTGTCTCTCTCTGTGTGTCTCTGTCTGCTTGTGTGTCTCTCTATGTCTCTCCCCCATGTGTGTGTCTCTCTCTCTCTGTGTTTGTCTCTCTCTGTGTGTCTCTCTCTCTGTGTCTCTGTGTCTCTGTGTGCCTCTGTGTGTGTCTCTCTCTGTGTGTCTCTGTGTGTGTCTCTCTCTGTGTGTCTCTCTATGTGTCTCTCCCCCATATGTGTCTCTCTCTGTGTTTCTCTCTCTCTCTCTCTCTGTGTATGTGTCTCTCTCCGTGTCTGTGTTTGTCTCTCTCTCACACTTAACTTCAAATTTAGCAATCTTTGGAAGAACGTAATCAACCAGGTAAAGTGTTAACTGTTGTGTTAGCCGACTTTCTGTGTTGCATTGCATTACATATCTAAGTTTACTAGGTTTGTTTTCTCATTCATTCATACCTGATGACGGTTACTTGTGTTGAAATCGAAACGTGGTATTCTATTTTTTATTTTATTTTATTTCTACGTGACTTTACCGAAAGAACCAATGAGTAAGCTCAACGAAGTGTCGTTTCATCACGTGGAAATGTATAGCAGCCAAACACTCTAAGCGCATGTTTCTAATTGTGGAGGGAAAAACCGGAGGATCCGGAGAAAAATACAGGGAGAGTGAGAGAGAGAACACATGCAGCAGGCGTCACGGTCGGGATCGAACCCACGACCTCCTGTATACACCAGGCGAGCCAGTTAACATCTCGCCACCGTGGCGCCCCTGTATACTCTAGTTTCCTCAAATGACCAGAACCGGCCCTCGACCTTTGGGGGCCCTAAGCAAAATTTGGTTGGAGGCCCCTTTGATGTATGATTTTTTTCACCCACTAGCTAGCAGTGACTCTAGGGGGCCCTCTGCTGGCCATGGGGCCCTTTGCAATTGCAAGGGTCGCTTAGTGGCTGGGTCAGCTCTGCAAATGAGCCTCCACTCGAGGGAGCTCTTGAGAGCCCCCTCCAAGAGGCCTACTCTTCCACGGCGCCGGGCAAGCGTCTTGGAAGAGGTGGTAGCGCCCACAATATACCCCCCACCACCACGCGACCTGCCAATCGACTTTAAATCCCAGTGTTGCCCATTTAGACACTGCCGAGATGCGGAGAGAGGTGCGTGGGCTGGGTGGGGGACTTGAAATCAACGTTCCTTTTGTTTCACCGACCTCCCGTGATGCAAATCCAGCGAGTTTCCTCTATTCCATTACAACCGAGGCAGCATCCATCGAGATAACAGCGTTTCCCTTCGTTATTCGTGAATATCAAATTTCGCGGAGAATGATATTTGGCCGACGAAAACCTGAATGAATAACCTTAACAATAACATGTAAATACGCTTTCTCGCTCATCACTTTGTCTCTCTCTCTCTCTCGCGATGCAGTCGTGTAGAGTTCCAGATGCGACTTGCGGATGGCCAAAAATCTCGGAGAGCAAGTTCGCGAGGGGATACTGAGCTTATATATAGACAAAGACAAATATCCCCCATATAGCCTTAACAGACTGTTGGGGCAAGTGCTGTTAGCGAGCACAAATGAAGGCCGGCACGGCACACGAGGGGGTAGGTGGCCAGGCACCACGCCCGGCCGCCTTTGTCTCCCCAGCGGCGATATTTTTACGCACAGCACCATGCACTCATTTGAGGTTGAGTCGAACTAGGGGGAGGCCCAGGACCGGTTCAGATAATCGTCACCGATGTTGGCCGTGAGCGGGAGTCGAACTCGGCTCGCCAGGTTCTGAGCGCAGCGTAGCACTACCACGCACACACGCACCTCCAAAAAAAAGTTCAACAAAAAAACAACCCCACGTCGCTCACCGCTGCCGTTGTAGGGAGGGTCACGCAGGATCTTCATGTAGCACTCGTACTGCGCCTTCACGATGTACTGCTCCTCGCCCACGGGCACCCTCGCCATCGCCGCCTCCGTCTCCTCCTCCGGCACCGCCGGCGACGTCGCCAGCCGGCTCCCGTTCAGGGCATCCGAGCCCGGTGGCCACTGCGTCGTTCGCGTGCAATCCCGGCAGGTTGAGCAGAAATAAAGCACGGGTGAGGATGGGGCAGGTAGATGTGGTGGTGGTGGTGATGGTGGTGGTGATGGTGGGGGGAGCGGTAGCGTAACGGTTAGCGCGCTGTGTTATGCGTGTAAGTATGTTGGTGCAGGACCGATTCAGATGTATGTACGTTTAACTTCTTTAGCACGGTACGTAGCCAACCGTGATAATCGGAAGTGTGGGGGAAGGACAACAAACTAAACACAAACGAATTCGGCAACCCCAGTCTGATTCCCACTCACGGCCAAAACCAGCGACGATTATAATCGTCACCGGTTCAGATAATTATCTGAACCTGATCCTGAGCCCTTCCTTCGGTCCACTCAGCCTCAAATGAGTAACTGGTGGTGTGTGTAAACATCGCCACTTAAGGAGACATAGACGGCCGGCCGTGGTGCTGGCCACCCACCCCGCTCGTGTGCCGTGCCGGCCTTCATAGATGCTCACTAACAGCTCTTGTCCCGACAGTTTATTAAGGCTACACGAGGGATGTTTTTTGTCCTTGGTGATGGTGGCAGCAGTGGTGGTGTGACGTACAGGGTCGGAAAAGGCCGAGAGGGGAGACAGTCGGAGGCACGTGCAGTCACGTCAAGGGGCGTCACCGGGACCAAACGGGAGAACATTTTGGTGCCGAATTTTTGCCGAGGTGAGATGACATCCCGTGCCGACGCTGGGTACAAGAATGGAAGATTGCTGAACAACACAGCGCCTTCGGGCGCACGTGAGAATGTATGAACTTGCCGCCGTATAGTGGAGTTTCGCGCGCATTAGAGCTGGCGGATGAATGCTCAGGTGTGGACATGCAAATTGCTTTCACGGACACATCCTAAGTGTGGGCTTGTGCATCCGAAGAGGGCATCTGTCACGCTCGTAAGCACAGCTGATATGAGGATCTGCGGTGTCGCAAGCACTGTGTTTAATGCTCGGCAGTATCTTGAATGTATTACACCATGGTTGCCGAGCACAGGCCCAGAGGCCCAGGGCACCGAGTGGCCAGCGATAGCCAGCACTCTTAAAGGTGCGATAGTTAAGAGACAGCGGTGGGAGGCAACTCCAAAGTCGAGCAGTGCGAGGGAAGACGCGGAAAGGGAAGTGATTCACCTGTAGTGGATGAGTGAGTCGGTCAGTAAGTGAGTGGGTGGATGAGTGGGTGGGTCAGCGAGTGAGTTGGTGGATGAGTGAGTCGGTCAGTAAGTGAGTGGGTGGATGAGTGGGTGGGTCAGCGAGTGAGTTGGTGGATGAGTGAGTCGGTCAGTAAGTGAGTGGGTGGATGAGTGGGTCGGTCAGCGAGTGAGTTGGTGGATGAGTGAGTCGGTCAGTAAGTGAGTGGGTGGATGAGTGGGTCGGTCAGCGAGTGAGTTGGTGGATGAGTGAGTCGGTCAGTAAGTGAGTGGGTGGATGAGTGGGTCGGTCAGCGAGTGAGTTGGTGGATGAGTGAGTCGGTCAGTAAGTGAGTTGGTGGATGAGTGAGTCAGTTGGTAAGTGAGTTGGTGGATGAGTGAGTCGGTTGGTAAGTGAGGGAGTGGATGAGTGAGTCGATCGGTGAGTGAGTGGGTGCGTGGATGAGTGAGTCGGTTGGTAAGTGAGTTGGTGGATGAGTGAGTCGGTCAGTAAGTGAGTTGGTGGATGAGTGAGTCGGTTGGTAAGTGAGTTAATGGAACATGGAATTTCCACCAATGGCTCAGAGCCGCTCCGAATGGGAGAGAATCACGATGCCGTGCTCATCGTGAAACCACTTTCACTTCTTTTCCATTCCCCTCCCCCCGTCCCCTGACCCTCCCCTTCCCCCAGCTGTGACCCTTGTAAGAGGGCAGCACCGATTGACATAAAGATTCGAATCTGTAAGTTAACAAAAACATAACCCCCCACGCACACACACATACGAGTGAGCAGAGCTATCACGGCATTTAGACTGTCGCCGTTCACGTCTCCGCCACTACCTCTCGGCCAGGTGTCCGTCTGCCTGTAGCTTTCATTGACGTCTATGAATAATAATTAAAATGTGTCATGCGGCATTCCATCCTAGGATCCCAATGCGCAATGCACGAAAAGCAGGAAGCAAAAAAAGACAGAACCAGGGCAACCGGCCGAACTATAGAGGGAAGGCCACTTTAAAGAGATGGGTTTTCAAAGCAGACTTAAATACATCTATTTAACACGTAGCAGGCTTTCGCGACCAATAGTATTCATAATAAAGGTTTTTGGGTCTGATCGCGTTATTTATAAATGTTTCGTAACCCTCCACCACCCGACACGGCCAAACAGTAAAAAATGTGTCACGTTTTTCAAAGGACAAATTAATTGACTTCTTTAGCCCACCGGTGTGCTGAAGAGAGAATCAACAGCATTTTAAAATTTGAGTAGTCCGACGTTTCGCTGATAATTACAATCAGCTTCATCGGGCAAGAATGGTGAAGCTCTCCTGTTGCTTCCGGTCTTAAATAGAGCAGCATCAGGGTGACGTCATCATTTAATTCAATTCAATCTGGTGTTCATCTACTGACTCCGATTGCCCTGATTTCAAGTGGCAAGGCGTTCCACGGCTTGGGTGCCACGCTAACAAAAGCCTGATCACCAAAAGAGCGCAACCTGTAGACCGGGGAGTGCTGAGCAGTTGGAGATCGGAAGATCTTCAGGACCTTGATGGAATATATGAGTTTAATGGAGAGACGGCCGCCCGGGACGATAATTCCCTATTCGGTCAATTTGGTGTCACGGTTACGATGAGTGGTACGATTGTGTGTGTGTGGTAAGATTGTGTGTGTCTGTGGCAATATTGTATGTGTGTCTGTGGCAAGATTGTGTGTGTATGTGGTAAGATTGTGTGTGTCTGTGGTAAGATTGTGTGTGTCTGTGGCAAGATTGTGTGTGTCTGTGGTACGATTGTGTGTGTGTCTGTGGTAAGATTGTGTGTGTGTCTGTGGCAAGATTGTGTGTGTCTGTGGTAAGATTGTGTGTCTGTGGTAATATTGTATGTGGGTCTGTAGCAAGATTGTGTGTCTGTGGTAAGATTGTGTGTGGTTGTGGTAAGATTGTGTATTTGTGGTAAGATTGTGTGTGTCTCTGTGGTAAGATTGTGTGTCTGTGGTAATATTGTGTGTGTCTGTGGTAATATTGTGTGTGTCTGTGGTAAGATTAAGTAAGTTTGTGGTAAGATTGTGTGTGTTTGTGGTATTATTGTGTGTGTCTGTGATAAGATTGTGTGTGTCTGTGGTAAGATTGTGTGTGTGTTTGTGGTACGATTACGTGTCTGGAGTAAGATTATTTGTATCCGTGGTAAGATTACGTTTGTCCGTGTTAAGATTATGTGTGTATGTGGTAATATAACGTGTCCGTGGTAAGATTACGTATGTCTGCTTGGTAAGGCGGCGGCATGCGTACGCGTATGGGGCTAGTGGCAAAAACTCCCATGCAAAATTATCTGACGTGGGGCGGCATGGGTGGGTGGAGGCGGCTTTAAGTAATTTAAACTCGCGATACGCTTATAAGCTGGACAGAAGTTTTATTAAAGACACATGCAAGCAGAACTCTTGTTTATCCAGACCCACATTATCCAGCAGCATTTGGGCATGGTTTTGACCTTCTGAGTCTCATCAGCAGCAGTCAGGTTTTGTTCAACAAATGCCTGTTGTTGGCGAGAGTATTCCACTTTAAAATACAACGCAATATTGTGTACGGCTACATTTTTTAAAATAAAAAATACACTCAACACATTGGTCATTAACATCGTCTTAAAAATAAAAAAGTGCACATATATAAAATCGAAATTGTATATAAACTCATCACACGTTACTGTGGAGCATTATGGGTAAACGCATTTCTAAGCAGAACTCGGTTCAGGGTTTCCTATATTTATGGTCAAACTTTGTTTTTGTTCGTTTACAATTCCACTGAGAATTACGCTTGTCGGCTGCGCTACCCTTGCCTCTAGTAGACTCAGGAACACAGGGCATCGCTCGTCAAAATTATCAACAAACCGTGACAACAAAAACAACAGCAACAACGACAACAATAACAACAACAAGGATAACAACCACAGAGTTGACAACAACGACAACAACAACAACGATAAAGACGACACAATAATCACGGCCATACGTCGGAGCGCGATGCCGAGCAACGTTGGGCATTCCTAAACAAAGCCAAACGTGCAACTTGCGTCCAAATTAGCACCTTCCTCTGTATTAATGAGATTTCTTTTCAATAATTTAAAAGACCCTTAACAAAGACAAAGATCCCCCGTATAGCCTTAACAGACTGTAGGGACAAGTGCTGTTAGCGAGCACCTATGAAGGCCGGAACGGTACACGAGGGGGTGGGTGGTCAGCACCACACCCGACCGCCTTTGTCTCCCCAGTGGCAATATTTACACACCGCACCAGGTACTCATTTGAGGCTGAGTCGACCTAGAGGAGGCCCGGGACCGGTTCAGATAATCGTCACTGGTGTTGGCCGTGAGCGGGAATCAAACCTTGGTCGATAACACAAAGATCCCCCGTATAGCCTTAACAGACTGTAGGGGCAAGTGCTGTTAGCGAGCACCTATGAAGGCCGGAACGGTTTACGAGGGGGTGGGGTGGCCAGCACCACGCCCGACCGCCTTTGTCTCCCTAGTGGCAATATTTACACACCGCACCAGGTACCTATTTGAGGCTGAGTCGACCTAGGGGAGGCCCGGGACCGGTTCAGATAATCGTCACTGGTGTTGGCCGTGAGCGGGAATCGAACCCGGGTCGATAACACGCACACACACACACATGTTTACCTGCGTTCATTAAGAAAAAAACGGATGCGTGACGATACGGACGTGAGAAACTGCCGCACCTCCACTCCCCGAAGGAGTCCCCCGTTTGTCGCTCTTATTTGTGGTTTTAATAAACGCGGTTGGACAGCAGACTGGGATTCATCGCAACGAGGAATTACAAAGTTGAAGCCGACGGCATGGGCGCCATTTTCTTTTTTTTTGCTTTTCCATTACTGTTTTTGCTTTTGTAAATAGTCCCGACCGGTATGTGTGTGTTTGGCAATATACACAAGTAATCAATAATATCGGTTTTTTTGGGTTAGATCGCGTAAAATAAATGTGTCGTTAAACCCGCCACCAGTACAGTACACCGGTGTGTTGGAGAACCAAGCCACAACATTTACAATCTGAGTACAGTACATTATGGATGATATTGGTCACGAAAGCCTGCGTGTTAAACTGATATACGAGTAAATATGACCCTGCTTTGATTGCTTTTTGTTTTAATTTAGCGTTATACTCTACGTGAGAAAAAATATTTCCTTATTAGTTAATATTGACATATACATCGAAGTGATCAGCACGATAATTAAAGCAATAGATAACTTTAGACAGAACCCTTCCCTGTTTGTGAAACCAAATCACCTCTGGTGTGGATTCATATTTGAGGGGACCAATTCCTAAGACTGTGGCTTTTAGGATTGTTCTAGTTATGAGAGTAGGGGTCCCAACTGCGATTGTCCCTCGTTTCAACTTTGTTCGCCATTCCGAAACACGATCAGAATTCATATCAGTAGCAGTGTGGCCGGGTCGCTCTGAGTTCTAATAACACCCGAGCCAGCGTCGCTGATACCCCGAGTTTGAAGCCAATTTTTTTCAGCCATCTGTGAATAATCTGGGCTCTCCATTTGCAGTGAGGCGATGGTCTCAGTCCTACTAACCAACTGTTTAAACGTACAAAAAAACCGACGTAAATTTTAATTAAAGATATTAGTTTTCTCTGATATTTAAAATAATGTGTTTAACACGTAGGCTTTCACGACCGATATTATTCATAATAGAGGTTTTTGGGTTAGATGGCGTGAGTATAAATGTAAGTAAGGTTTGTCATGTAAACGAAACGTGCCAATTTGTTAGTTCTTTAATCCATTGGTGAGTTGGAGAGTAAATCCACGCGTACAATTTGAGTACGACGTTTCGCTTTGACTGCGATTCAACATTTCTCATATAAGATGAGTTGAACGGGATGCCTCCTGTGTGCATGACAACAAGGCCACTTGCCACCTGAGGTGCAGCACATCTCTGAGGCTTTCCGAATAGATTCTTCTTCTGGCTGTAGAAATTGTTTGTATTTTAGCTCAACTCAACGGTTTGCCCGGTACACAGCACCGATTACAGAACAAGAAGGGGGGGGGGGGTGTGGGGGAGCCGAACATTCCACAAGCAAAAAGCCCCCAGAGATCGACACGGCAAGGCTTGAGCTGTTTTAAGTTTTAAGGTGCCTGCTGCTGCCGCGATGGATTTTCCTTTTCAAATTGTCCGCCGTTATATTTTCTGGTTTTCAATGTTGCATTCTCCCCCCTGTCCACCGCTGTCCCATTTGGGGGAAGCGTCTCCCCTTGAACAAAACAACCCTTTGACCCAATGGGCACAACTACCACGGGTGAGAAAAAATAAATAAACTAAACTCGATCTCATGACACGATGCCGAGAGCGCAGTTGGAAATTAAAAAAAAATTGTTTACTCCAAAAAACTTTTCTAGATTTGAAGTTTTCGTGACTGCAAGGATCCATACTCTTTGGTTCTTTACCGAAAGATCCAAAATACTACCGATGAAAAATGTACTTAGGTCACTCTGGTAAACCACTCAGTCACGCTCGTAAGAAATGAAATGTGGACCATACCTTGCTGATGAGTATGATGAAATTGAGGAAGGCGAGTCTGTGTTCCATGATGAGGTTTTTGCTGGATGTTTACGGGTCTAGATCAGCCTGCACAGACCAGAGACATAACATTCTTCGTCAGAAAAAAATAACAATAAAATCAGCCAAATGCAACGCTGACAGCGCAAAAATCAACAAACACAATAGTCAAGTCAACGTGTTAGTTCCGAATCACAACATTTTTTAGAGGGAGGTCAATGGTTCGTGCCCTGCGCTGTGAACACGTAGGAGACCTCACTTCCATTCTCGGCCACGACTGACATCGTTGGCGAGTGATATCTGAGCCGGGACTGATCTCCGCTACCTTCGCCAAACCCACGCTGCCCAGTATGAAGTATGGGTTGACAAACCCCTACAAAGGATACAGCGTGGGTAGCCCCTCATTCAGCAACGGATCGATGAAGGGCTGTAAATAATTGATAGAGCGTTCTCCAGATTATAAGAAATTCCAGAAGGTAATGCGCATCCCAAACGTGTGCCGGGTATCACTAAAGTTATAAAAATCCGGTCAATACACAGACGCCGAACAAATTATGCAAGACGCACCCTGACATTTTGCCATGAAAGACAGGCAAATGAAACTGCATCTTATAACCTGGAGAATACGGCAATTCTAACGAATTTGTTGTAAAACGCGATGCAACCTTTTGTTGGCCGCTTTCATAAAACCGAAAACTAACATCTCAATTTGTCACGACCGGACCTGAGTGGCAACAAACCCAAAACTCCCCATGACGGCACACGCATTCATGTCTCAAAACGTGCAAGTATCGTGATCGATGGGACACTGTCAGCGTCGTTACATAAGCCTCCCTTCGATTGCTCAGTGGCACGTAAACTCGGACAGAATAATAGGTGCACCATCATTATAAATAGCGGATGTGACGAAGCAAGGATCTCATGCATGTACGTTGAACTTCTTTCGCACCGTACGTAGCCAACCGTGTTAATCTGAGGTGCGGGGGAAGGACAACAAACTAAAAATAAAAAGCAGTTCGAAAAAAATACGTTCTGAATAGATGATTTAGAGTGCAAATCTCCAGTGTCTTCCTAATATTGAGAACGTTCCAGACGGCCACAGAAGCACATCTGAAAAGCACGCGATGCATTGCCCATCTTTGTTCGATGGCGAGCAACAGAAGGCGCATCTGAAACCACGTGATGTGGTGCCTGTCTTTGTTCGATGGCTATCTCATGATGTGATCACGTGTCCATTCTGCCAGTGGCTCAGGGGTGATGCCACCGTGGGTCAGGGGTCGTGCGGCATGCCCGCCGTGTCGCACGACGCAAGAAGATTATAAAACGTAGTCTTCTTCCGCCGTCGTGTTGGAAACAGCAACATTAACGAGGGCTGGCTGGAGTTTGGAGAGCCGCTCAAAGGGCAATCGTCGAACGCGGAATTGAACGTTCCGCCATCCCGCCGGCAGCAAGCAAATGCGAGGTACGACGAGACGTCCCGTCGCACGAGGTTCCAAGTTCCCCCCGGACAGCGTGAGTCGTCTTTAGGAAATGGAGTTGACGCGTCTCTCTCTCTCTCTCGAGGCGGTCGCGTTGATTTTTCTGCCGAGTCCTCTGGTTCCCCCCCCCCCCCCCCGCATTTAGAATCAACTTGCGTTCAGAGTCCTGCATTTGGCCGTTTCGAATTTCCACGTGATAAGCCGCTTTGTTGAGCTATCATTTGTGGCCAGGTCGCTTCTGAAAAAAGCCACAGAGTTCAGTGGGCCTTACCTGGTCAAATAAAAAAGCACAGTGTATAGTGTTACTCATGCATCAGGTGTGATCCACATGGCTTGATGGGCAGGAACAACCCCTGCACCTTTCGATTTAAAGCTTTCGTGACTGCAGGGACTCATCTTCTTGGTTCTTTCGGTAAAGTCACGTAGAATTGAAATAATAAAATAATAAAAATAAAACATAATAAAATAATTCTCACGACGTTTCGGCCACAACGCAAGCAGCCGTCCTCAGGTGGAGAACAGGTCTGTCAATTCGACGTGACTTTACCGAAAGAACCAAGAAGATGAACCCCTGCACCTTAAAATGTTTTGTTTTGTGGTACTGCTTTTGCCAGCGGTGCAGCAGGGGGCACGTTTAGCAACTGCTCAACGCATTCATCAGTCAACAATATACGCTAAAATATACATGCATTTAAATGCGGTGATGTTTCGCGAAATGGCCCTTTAAAGGATGTCACGACTGTAATTTTGCTTCGCTCGGTAATTATTGTTTTTATTGCGAGTAAACTTTTGGTGGGATATTTCATCATGCAACAACAATGTTCATTGACAGACATTAGAATGCTTCCTCGCGGCATGTTGGTCATGGTAGGGGGTTGTCTGACCATACTTGACCCATTCTGGTCAGTGCACGTTGGTGAAGGGGGGGGGGACCCAGAGCCGGTTCAGATGTCGCTCGCCAACTGATGCGAGACGTGGTCAGCAATTGAACTCGGGTCGCCAGGGTCACAGTTGAATGTCTTTAAACCTCACGCCACCGCTATTTTTCTTTTTTACCCAGAGGAAATTCTTCATTAAAATGTGAATTTGGAATGAAAAAAAAACTAACTGGGAGTCAGGGCTGCTTGAAAAAAAACGATTAATTTACACGAAGAACAAAACATCTCTTAATATTTATAAATTCTAAAATAGAACAGCACTGGCTTGAATTAATACTCATGACTCAGCGTTGGTGAGACACCTTCCCCATCTGTTTCTTTGCAGAGACATAATGGGGCAAAAAAAAAGGCAGTTTTTTTATTGGAACAAAATGACTGCTGATTACCTACTTATTGTGTAAATATCCGGACAAGGAGTTTGCACGTACGTTCATTCCGGAAGAAGTTGGTGCGACCCAAATATTTTTTTGTTACAGCGTCTTTGACACGCGATTTCATTTACGCGCTCCGCAAATCCAAATTGCTACCGCAAGCCTCGACTCTGCTGATGAGACCCAGAGGGTCGGAACGGGTCCAGAGGTTGCTTGAGCAATGCTGCTCGTTAATATCGGTCCGGAATTCCCAACAGACTGATGAGCTACAAAAATAATTACATTTACAATGGGAGACACAGAACGGAATTCTGCTTGTATTCGCCTCGTGTTGGGATAGCGTTGCGACTCGCATTAATTATATCATCCAAATGCAGTTCAACGTTGCGTATCCCGTCCCGTGATATCCACCCCAACCAATTAACTGCCCACGCCCAGTGCGGTATTTTAACACGGAGTAAAACTGCCGCAGTCTATAGATAGTTCACAATTACGGCGTTTTCACACACACACAGAGGGAGACGCATTTTAATTCAACTTTTAACAGCTCAGAACGAAATCACAGTCGAGCATTTCTCCCGTGATTTAAAAGCAGATTGCCCTTATTTTTGCCAGTAACCTTTTCATTATTGATTCTTTCGGTAAAGTCACGTAAACTTTACCGAAAGAACCAATAATATGAATCCCTGCAGTCACGAAAGCTTTAAATCAAAATTAGTAACCTCTTTGTGTACAGTGGTGTAATTGTCATTTTACTCTCAGCTGTTCACATATCTGTCCTTTTCACACGTACGCCTATACCTTCTGTCCACCCGGCGAGTTGAAAATGCGACGTTGTACGGTACCAAACTTGACATTTAGAATCAAGACGCGTTTAGAGTATTCGGTTGCTATACATTTCCACATGATGAGCCACTACGTTGAGCTATCATACTGAGTCCAGGTTGCATCTGAAAAAAAGAGCTCTATTGCTCCGTGGGCCTTAGCTGTTCAAATAAAAAGTAGTTTACTTTGTAGTTAATTTATTTTTTTGTACCGATACGTATACGGGGTGCGCGAATATGAAAGCGATTTGTTTTGTTCACTCGCGCATCTACAGATTACCACGAACTCAGCCCGAGCCAAGAGAAACGCATTTCGTTTTTTGTCGGCGTCAAAGGGAAACAGCACAGTATCAACAACAATAACAGCATTCACGCTGTTCCCGACGCTTTTATCAGTGCGGCCAAGTTGCACCACTGTCAATGTCAGACTCTTTGCGAGATCCACAACGCGCACGTGATCGCTCGTAAACACCGTTGCTCCCTCCGTTCGCTGTGAATGTTCAGAAAGTCTTAGCGACATTATTTTTTTTAATCAAAAAATGTCCTTGCAGAATAAAATAATCTTCTTGGTTCTTTCGGTAAAGTCACGTAGAAGGGAAGTAATAAAATATTAAAAAATAAAACATAATAAAATAATTCTCACGACGTTTCGGCCACAACGCAAGCAGCCGTCCTCAGGTGAAGAACAGGTCTGTCGGGGAGACGGCGTCTGAGACGCTGTCTCCCCGACAAACCTGGTGCGTATTTAATGTGGCGCTGCACTCTGATGTTGTAGGAGAAAACATTTATTAAAAAAGTATATTTATTTAATTAAGTAGAACAAATGTCTGACCCCCCCCCCCCAGGTGCGTGACGTCATTTATGGACGGCCCCTTATCTAAAAGTATACTTTAAAACAAAAACATTGTTCAGAAATACGTGCACTCAACCAACAACATTATGATGAAGGCAGACAAGGGGCAACGTCATGAGTTTAAAAAGTGCGCTTCCATTTATGCATTTATTAAAGAGCATTAATAGATATTTGTGCTGATTAGCGGTGGAATTTTTATTAATTGCACATATTTTACGGGCATGCAAACAAAATAATCAGCGATGGGGTAATTGCTAATTGCCGCTCCAGATTACGGACATAAAACACACGTGAATCAGCACATCTAATGCGCATAGTTGCGTTCGTCCTTTGAAGATAAGTGGAATTTATAACACAAACAAACTCATCAAAGACAAAAATGGTCTAAAAATTACCTCAATCCATCTCCCTGTGGGTTTTTTTCTTTCTTTCTTTTCCAAAGTGACCAAACGAAATGCAGTCCACCTGGTCCGGTACGCTGTGAGCTGCGGTCGTGTTGGTCAATTCCACAACGACATTGATTGAGAACAGGGGCTCCCCCCTCAACAATTTAAACCACATTTTAATTGAGACCAATCCAGCGAAACTGTGACGGCTTGCGCCAC